CTGTGTATGTCAGCTAAAGTCCCTGTAACTGTGAGGTTAGCGAAGAAAGCCTTGTCAACAAACAAGTGTGTCGTTATTGGCCTTCAGAGTACTGGAGAGGCTCGAACCGAAGAGGCTGTAAATAAATATGTGTGTTTCTCCTCATACTACTTTTGGAAAAAATATCAAGTATCCTTTTTTGATTCCATCTAACTAATGTCTACGTGATTGATAATCTTTTCCCCCTTTTTTCTTACCATAGGGTCTTGAGCTTGATGATTTTGTCTCGGGACCTCGAGAGCTCTTGTTGAAATTTGTGGAAGAGAATTATCCCTTACCCGAGCAGCCTGAACCTCTGTCAGGTAACTTAATTCTCTCTGTAAGGGGTTTTGCTTTATATCCCTGGTGGTTTTTTATATCCTGTTCATAGTATGCCTCTTTTGAACTTTTACAGAGGATGATAGTGTTAAAGAACTTCAGAGGAAGAGGCATTCAGCTTCACCTGGTGTTTCAATTAGAGGGAGGGTAAGAAAGATGGCAAAGTGGAAACCAGATAGTGATAATGAAAGTGATTTGGAGTCTGAAGGTGGGTTTCCTAGTGAAAACATGTCTTCTGGTACATACTGAACAGAGACAATATTGATGCTTAGGCTGTAGTGAAAAAAGTATATGGGAAGTTTTGAATGTAGTTCTTTAAGCACTGCAAAACGTATCTATTAAACTGGAAATCTACGTAGCAGCTAATAAGCTTATTAACTTTTCCCTTATGTATTAGTATTACTATATATCTCCAATATTGGAAATTGCTCAAGGGATGACCTAATTATATTTTGGTACAAGTATTATCCTCAGATCTCCTAGTCTTTGTATTTGCACCATCTTGGTCTGTTTCTTCAATCAATCGAATTTTATATCCTCAAGGTCTGTACATTCTTCTAATCAGTAGTGTTTTCAATGCAGCTGACTCTGCTGATGATTCTAATGATTCTGATGATGAGTTCCAGATATGTCAGATATGCAGTGGGGAAGATGTACTTTACTTTAACTTGGATAGCTTGATTTCCATTTGAGGGATACGAGATTTTAATAACTTGTCTTGTGATGAAACTAGGAAAGGAAGAAGTTGCTCCATTGTTCTGAATGTGACAAGCTTTTTCATCCGGACTGTGTGGTTCCTCCAGTTATAGACTTACCATCTGAAGCGTGGATTTGCTATTCTTGCAAGGAAAAGACAGAGGAATACATTCAAGCAAGACGTCTTTACATTGCGGAATTGCAGAAAAGGTCTATACACTGAAATAGCAACTTGTGTCTTGTACAGAAGCAAAGTATTAGATATTTTTCTAAGAATGGTTATCCATTTTGTTTCTTCTTAGGTATGAAGCAGCGTTGGAACGAAAATCAAAGATCATAGAGATCATCCGTTCTCTGAATCTTCCAAACAATCCTTTGGATGACATTGTTGATCAGGTAACCATCATCTATACGTCTCTGTTTTTTCTCAGGTATGAAGCAGCTCATGGTTATACATGAGTCTCCTTTCTTTTAAGGGACAACTGTAGTGGTATCTATGAATTATTTATTCAAGTTTTGGCATCTAGGTGTGTGTTGATTATAGTATCCAAAGGCTTAATTGTGTGGTTAAATTAACTTCTGAAAACTTTAGAATGTGCCTAAATTGCTGTGCTTTATATGTACTAATGCAGCTTGGAGGCCCTGACAAAGTTGCAGAAATAACAGGCAGGCGAGGTATGCTTGTAAGAGCATCTAATGGGAAAGGTGTTACATATCAAGCAAGAAACACGTAGTCTTTAAATCTCTCTCTCTAATTCATTCTTAGTACTTTAACTTATTCAGCACTAGTAATTTGCTTTTCATCCTTCTGCTTCTTGGCTTTAGAAAGGATATTACAATGGAAATGGTCAACATGCACGAGAAGCAACTATTTATGGATGGTAAAAAGTTGGTTGCCATTATTTCTGAGGCTGGGTCAGCTGGTGTTTCGTTGCAAGCAGATAGAAGGGCAGTAAATCAGGTTTGTCGAGTTTATAAATTCTCCTACTATATAAAATTTTGTCGTTTTTGCGTGTTCTTATTGTTCTGTAGATCTAAGTTCATTGTCAAAGATGGCCTCTGTTTGGGGGTATTAATTGATTTGGAATTTTTTTTATATATGTCTGCAGAAAAGAAGGGTTCACTTGACTTTAGAGCTTCCCTGGAGTGCTGATCGTGCAATTCAGCAATTTGGAAGAACTCACCGGTCGAATCAGACATCTGCACCTGAATATAGGTTGAATGACAACGCATGTGTGTTTAATTTTGTATCCGTCCAATAGCCTAAGTATGTTGTTGAAGTTGATAGATCTTTTGTTTTGGCCCTGTCAGACTACTCTTCACAAATCTCGGTGGGGAACGCCGCTTTGCCTCTATTGTTGCAAAGAGACTAGAAACACTTGGTGCTTTAACACAGGGAGACCGCAGGAAAGTCATGCACCTTTCTTAGCCATTTCTTAGTTGTTAGTCTTTTGGCTTGTTATTGCTGAAAACCTTGCCAGGTGTTTTGTGTTTTGTCTCAAAATATGTTGTGGTGTACTGCAGGGCCGGGCCCTCCGGGCCTTCTTTGAGTGCGTATAATTATGATAGTAACTTTGGTAAAAAATCCTTGATGGTGATGTATCGAGGCATAATGGAGCAGGTATTCCCCATAAAACCCTGTAGTCTCTTAACTCCTTAATTTTGCTTCTTCAGTATTTAGGAACAATGATAACGGATAAAGCGTGAAATATAGTAAGGCTTAATTTTCAGGAGAAACTACCTGTTGTTCCTCCCGGATGCTCGATTGATGAACCCGAAACAGTTAAAGAGTTTTTGACCAAGGCAAGGGCTGCTCTTGTTGCGGTTGGAATTGTTAGGGACAGTGTTCTGGGTAAGCTTTGCTTGTAATTTCATTTTTCCGTACAGAATTAAAATTCTATTTGTAGTAATCTCCTTTTTACTTTTCTTCATTAATGATTCAGCCAATGGGAAAGATGTTGGAAAGTTTTCCGGGCGTATTATTGATTCTGACATGCATGATGTTGGACGATTTTTGAATCGCCTCTTGGGATTGCCACCTGATATCCAGAATAGGTATTATGCGTCAATTGGAAATTTACACTTTGCACTAGGTAACTTACCTTCCCTTTTAAAAGCAACTTCCGTTTGCATTAATGCTTTCTATTCTCGTGCTGTACAGGCTGTTTGAATTGTTTACTAGTATATTAGACGTTCTTGTACATAATGCTCGGATCGAAGGAAGTTTTGACTCAGGAATTGTGGATATGAAAGCTAATAGTGTTGAGCTGCTGAGCACTCCAAAGGTTGATGATATGTCTTACTTGATTATTGGTTCTTAGTGTATTTGTGCTACTAATATTTGAATTTTTCAGACCGTCCATGTTGATCAAATGTCTGGTGCCTCAACTATGCTCTTTACTTTTACTCTGGATCGTGGTGTAACATGGGAGGTACTTCAATATCTTTCACTCTTGGAAAAATTAGTGGTATTTCACTACAATCAAATCTTGATTTGATCTGTGTCCCAGTCTGCGAGTTCAATGCTAGAGGGAAAGAGAAGGGACGGGCTTGGTTCAGCTAATGATGGCTTTTTTGAATCTAAAAGGGAATGGTTAGGAAGACGACACTTCATATTAGCATTTGAGAGGTAAATCATTATCCTAGCTAATCTTTGGATAACGTGGTCCTTTAAAACAAACAATTATTAAAATACTAATAACCCTTAACAAAATCTCATTGCTGGATTTGTCTTGGATATATCCAGTGCGGCTTCTGGGTTGTTTAAGATTGTCCGTCCTGCTGTAGGAGAGTCGATCAGGTATCTACACCATTGGCGGAACCTTTACATTTCATATTTCTGACTAGAAAAACTGGTCTTAAAAATTGTTTTATTTTTTCCAGGGAGATGTCTCTTTCAGAGTTGAAAACTAAATACCGAAAACTCTCTTCTCTGGAGAAGGCTCGTACTGGTTGGGAGGACGAGTACGAAGTTTCATCAAAACAGGTATGCTTCCCCAATCAAAAATAAAGTTCAGAATACATAGAACCGAAGCAGAAAAATAGATTAGCACAGAATGCTTGAAGTTTAAGCCTAATGGCTCATAAGTCATTGCGAAAGGGTAAAAAACATCTAGATCTCCCACTACTCCAGTTCCAGTGTGACCACTGATATAGCGTTGTGCATTAAATGAGTTTCTATCTGAGTACAGTGTATGCATGGACCCAAGTGTAAGCTAGGCGAGTATTGCACGGTTGGACGTAGAATACAGGAAGTAAACGTTGTGGGTGGCCTCATTCTTCCCATTTGGGGAACCATTGAGAAAGCTCTCTCCAAACAAGTAACAAAGACCATTCCAAGAATTTCTGAGACTCTCTCTTAGTGTTGGCATGAAAACTTATCTGTATTTGGATCTTTTGCAGGCCCGTCACAGCCACAAGAGAATTCGAGTTATACGCATAGAGACTACGACGGATAATCAGCGGATAGTGGGCCTCTCCATCCCTAATGCAGCTGTAGAAACTGTTTTACAAGGTATTGTGAGCTTTTCTCATGTATTCTGATCTTGAGACATCATATGAGAAATCCGACAAGAATACAGAATGGTGTTATTTTGACAATCATTGATTTGTGTCTTTTTGTTTCCGCAGATTTAGCATGGGTTCAAGAGATCGATGATTAAGACAACGATTATTTATAAGAAGCATACACCCTCTAAGCTCCACAACCAAGTTCCCATGCCTATTTGTATTTTCTTTATTTAAAAAAAGAGGAAAAAGACACTTGACTTTCATTTTTGTGTATATCACATGACAAATTGGCAAGAAGATACATAGATGTAATATTATTTATCTAACAAGATTCATTCTTATGTTTCGTTAAAACTTTTTCTTAGAGATGTGCAGAATTAACAAGAAAAGAATTAACAAAAAAGAATTTCACAACCCACATAATAATTCTCAATAAAACAAGAAGAATTTTTTTAGTGTTTCACAGAACACAACACACATAACTTGTAAATTACATAAATGCCATGAAACAGCAAAAATAAAAACAGGCTTATTTTCCAACCAGAAACTTCAATCAATCAACGGGTCGTTGTAAAAAGCATTCAATAAAACCTCTGTTTTCAACAGATGAAAGGAGCATTTGCATAACCATCATGGCAATACAAACCTGGCTGCTGAGTAAACCCTTGCTTCTTCAATGCCTTCCTTGCCCTCGTAACCATTTCTCTGTTTGATATCTCACCGTCTGTCTCCTCCAATATCTTCTGTATCGAATTGCTCATCGCTCCATAAGCCTCAGTTGGTTTCCCCGCTGGAGTCGCATCCGCAGAGGTCTGATCGGTTTGGCAACCGCTGATCAGTATCCCACTGTCTGGAAGCGGAACCGAACCTCTGGATCCACCAGCATAAACCTCTTCTTTACTCCCAACGTGTGTCTGCATCGCGGGTTTCACATAGTCTTCATCGTTTAGTTTACCCTCAAGAAACCCTGAAGCCAATTTCCCAAGCATTCCCATTAATCCACCTTCTTCTCCATTTCCAGCCTGAAGCTTACCTAAGATCACTTTCATAAACTTCTTCACTTTCGGGCTCGAATCATCACCAAACGCATCAAAAAGGCTTGGCCTGATTTTCCCAACTTCGATATTATCATTCCCTGTTTGCTGCTTGAGGATATCAATCAAGGTCTGCAGAGGAAGAGATTTGTCTTTGGCATGGATCCTTTCTCCGTCTTCTAGCTCAATCTCCTTAGTCTCGATTTCTTCGGCCTCATCTTCATCCTTCTTGTTACCTCCAATGTGAAACCCTCGAGACTCGATGGCGCCTTCCACTTTGCTGCGCAAGAACTTCCTAAACCCGAATCTTGAAGAAGATTCTTCAGATTCATCTTCGTCCTCGGCCTCTTTCTTAGTGCTCTCTCCAATCTGCTCCTTGGCTTCATCGATAAGGCCACCACTGTGACAAGAGTCTGAAATGATTGTCATTCTGCAACCTTGAGGAACTTTGTCCACAAGATCTCTGAAATCATCATCTGGAAACAACAAAATTACATCAGCAAAGCTCCATGGACAAATTACCAAGAATATACTCGCTTACAGATTCCTTAATTTCGTTTGATCCTACTTTATTTCTCAAATCCATCACAAAAACAAAAAGAGTCCAATCTCGAAGACAATATTAAAAATTGTACAAAAATCCAAAATTCTTGTTTTTATCATCGGATCGGAGACCAGAACGTCATATACAGATCGTAGCCATCAATCACAAGAGAAAAAAAGAGAGATAAAGTTGAAACTGACCAGTAATCAGATTCATGTCGCAAGGAACAATACACTCGTCGAAACCAGTGTCATCGTCTTCCCCAGTCTCAGCCGGCAACCTCGTACCGTGTCCACTGTAATGAACGACAAGAACGTCGCCGGATTCCGCAGATCCGACGAGATCAGCAAGCGCGCGGCGGATGTTCTTGCCAGTGGGCTGGGTAGAGGATTCATCGGTGTCGATGAGAACGGTGATGTTCTCCTCGGAGAAGCCGTACCGTTCGACGAGACATTTGTACATACGACGAACATCGTTGACGCATCCCCGTAACTCCGCCTTGGTTCCTGGGTAATTGATCCCAATAAGCACCGCCTTTTTCGCCATTGACAAAAAGATCTGATAGACAAAACTCTGAATCTGATCGGGTTATCTGTCAGCGATCCAATAGCTTCTTTCTTATTCCGACAAAAAGTTTGAGATCGATCATAAATTTATATTTTACTTTTGGCTAAGATTATTTCTTTATTCATTCATTGACGCGTTTCCACGAATTGGAATGTATGATCTGACGTGGCATTGAATTTGTTTGATTTTTTTGTTGTCACGTTATTACACGACGAGACGACTAATCACAGACTCACAAATGAGAAAAAAAAACTAATCAGGTTTAAGCCCAACAAGAGGCCTAGTGTCGACCCAACTTATAAACGGCGGCGTTTAATTAACACACCTTGGACCATCTCAGATTTATCTGATTCTTCTTAGATAAACATCTCTTTATCATCGCCTCAGGCAATGGAGTTGAAATTCTTCAACTTATTAAATTGAACATCATCATTCATGTTCTCTCTTACCTTTTGATATAAATCTTGTGAGCCAAAAAAATGATGATTCTTTGTAAACGTTATATCAAAAAAGGAAAACAAACCAAAGTCATCGAAAAAAGGAAACAATCAAAACGAAATTTACTTTTTGGTTAGATTGAGATTAGTGGAAATCGGATCTAATTTAGATTTTCTCTTTAATATCAAACAAATAAAGGATCTCTTTTTGTTTCAAATAATAAAAACCCCAACGGTTAGATTAATAAAAGTATATCAAATCATCATTTAATGAAGCAAATATACTCTTAAGAAAAAAGGAAATAAACCAAAGTTCCTTCTTTGCTTATAAATACAGTCTCACGCATTCTCATTCTCTTCTTCGTTCTTGAGAAATCAAATTCTCTGTTCATCTTCTTCTTCTTCTTTGAGAGAGAAACGAAACAAAAAAAAACCAATCATCTTTCTCTTCTATTTCTCTTTTTAATACCTGATCGCCGATGATGATCCATGAAAGACTCGACATTGAAGTAAATCGTGAGTTCGAGTGCATCATCTCAGATTCGTGACAGATTGAATAAATTCTCCCACATCCTCTCTGTCTTGACCCAATCGAGGATGATTTGCCGGCGGAGAAGGAAGATAAGAAGAGATCGGGAGCAGTGAAAGCGAGGATCACCTAAGAAGGTTTTGATTAGACCATTGTCTCGATGGAGAAGGAGAATTTGCGAGCCAAATTGAGATTCCGCAGAGACCTACGTAGGGTTTGGAGAAGAGTGGTTCTGGAGATGGACGAAGATATGAGAGTGAAGCCGATCAACTTTTCATCAAAGACAAACAAAAGTTCTCAGATTTTTCCAAGCGGTGGATTCGGATGTCATCAACGACACAACTACAAGGTGGGCTCACACTTCAAATGGGCTTTTTGTATGGGCTACCAAATCCAGGTATTACTTTCTTCATTCTTATTTTTTTTTCTTTTCTTTAAAAATTATCTTAAGTAAAACTAAAATTAAATAGTTTAAAAAACTTTCACTAAAACATTTAAATAAAAATACTTTTTAATTTTTAAAATTAGTTTAAATAATAGTAATTTTTACTAAAATTTAAAACAAATTTAACACTTCAACTTTAAGAAAATAATATTTTTAACTAAAACCATGTTAATTTCACTAAAACTTTTTACAAATTATTTTAAGTGTTAAATTTTAAACACGTCGAAAACTAACCGCGCCTAGGCATCCCGTCCTTCATTGGTCCGTAAGCTTTGTGGTGTTCGAAGTTCGGCATGTTTTCACGTTATATAGATTTAACACTTAAACTCATTTTTGAAAATAATAGTGATTTTGACTTTAAAAATTTTAAACTTTAACACTTAAAGAAAATAATTTAAATAGTTTAAAACTTTCACTAAAACATATAAATAAATAAAAATTTTAAGAAAATAATATTTTTAACTAAAACCATGAAAATAATTTAAGAAAATAATATTTTTAACTAAAACTATGATAATTACACTAAAACTTTTTAAGAATTAGTTTAAGTGTTAAATTTTAAATACGTCGAAAACTAACCGCGCCTAGGCATCCCGTCCTTAATTGGTCCGTAAGCTTTGTGGTGTTCAAAGTTCGACATGTTTTCACGTTATATAGATTTAACACTTAAACTCATTTTTGAAAATAATAGCGATTTTGACTTTAAAATTTTTAAACTTTAACACTTAAATAAAATAATTTAAATAGTTTAAAACTTTCACTAAAACATTTAAATAAATAAAATTTTAATTTTTTAAATTAATTTAAATAATAATAATTTTGACTAAAAGTTAAAACAAATTTAACAATTGAACTTTAAGAAAATAATATTTTTAACTAAAACCATGTTAATTTCACTAAAACATTTTAAGAATTAGTTTAAGTGTTAAATTTTAAACACGTCGAAAACTAACCGCGCCTAGGCATCCCGTCCTTAATTGGTCCGTAAGCTTTGGTGTTCGAAGTTCGGCATGTTTTTACGTTATATAGATTTAACACTTAAACTCAATTTTAAAAATAATAGTGATTTTTACTTTAAAAATTTTAAACTTTAACACTTAAAGAAAATAATTTAAATAGTTTTAAAACTTTCACTAAAACATTTAAATAAATAAAAATTTTAATTTTTTAAATTAATTAAAATAATAAAAATTTTGACTAAAAGTTAAAACAAATTTAACAATTAAACTTTAAGAAAATAATGTTTTTAACTAAAATTATGTTCTAAAACATTTTAAAAATTAGTTTAAGTGTTAAATATTAAACACGTCGAAAACTAACCGCGTCTAGGCATCCCGTCCTTAATTGGTCCGTAAGATTTGGTGTTCGAAGTTCGGAATGTTTTCACGTTATATAGATTTAACACTTAAACTCAATTTTTAAAATAATAGTGATTTTGACTTAAAAAATTTAAAACTTTAACACTTTAAGAAAATAATTTAAATAGTTTAAAACTTTCACTAAAACATTTAAATAAATAAAAAATTTATTTTTTAAATTAATTAAAATAATAATAATTTTGACTAAAAGTTAAAACAAATTTAACAATTAAACTTTAAGAAAATAATGTTTTTAACTAAAATCATGTTAATTTCACTAAAACATTTTAAAAATTGGTTTAAGTGTTAAATTTTAAATACGTCGAAAACTAACCGCGCCTAGGCATCCCGTCCTTAATTGGTTAGTAAGGTTTGGTGTTCGAAGTTTGGCATGTTTTCACGTTATATAGATTTAACACTTAAACTCAATTTTAAAAATAATAGTGATTTTGACTTAAAAAATTTAAAATTTTAACACTTTAAGAAAATAATGTTTCTAACTAAAATCATGTTAATTTCACTAAAACTTTTTAAAACTTGTTTAAGTGTTAAATTTTAAACACGTCGAAAACTAGCCGCGCCTAGGCATCCCGTCCTTAGTTGATCCGTAAGCTTTGGTGTTCGAAGTTCGGCATGTTTTCACGTTATATAGATTTAACACTTAAACTCATTTTTGAAAATAATAGTGATTTTGACTTAAAAAATTTAAAACTTTAACACTTTAAGAAAATAATGTTTTTTACTAAAATCATGTTAATTTCACTAAAACATTTTAAAACTAGTTTAAGTGTTAAATTTTAAACACGTCGAAAACTAGTCGCGCCTAGGCATCCCGTCCTTAGTTGGTCCGTAAGCTTTGGTGTTCGAAGTTCGTTATGTTTTCACGTAATATAGATTTAACACTTAAACTTATTTTAAAAAAATAATAGTGATTTTGAGTAAAATTAAAAAAAAAAACATTTAACACTGAAACTTTAAGAAAATAATGTTTTTAAGTAAAACCATGTTAATTTCACTTATACTTTTGAAAAATTAGTTTAAATGAAATTTGAAACACGTCAAAAACTAATCAAGCCTAGGTATCATGTCCTTAGTTGGTCTGTAAGCTTTGGTGTTCGAAGTTTAGCATGTTTTCACGTAATATAAATTCAACAGTTAAACTCATTTTTTCAAAAAAATAGTGATTTTGACTAAAATTTAAAACAAATTTAACACTTCAACTTTAAGAAAATAATGTTTTTAACTAAAACAATATTAATTTTACTTAAACTTTTTAAAAATTAGTTTAAGTGTTAAATTTTAAACACATTGAAAACTAACCGAGCCTATGCATCTTGTTCTTAGTTGGTTCGTAAGCTTTGATGTATGAAGTTCAACATGTTTTCATGTTATATAGATTTAACATTTACACTAATTTTTTAAAAAATAGTAATGATTTTAACTAAAATTAATTTAATTTCACCAAAATTTAAAACATATTTAACACTTAAACTTTAAGAAAATAATGTTTTTAACTAAAACCATTTTAGTTTCACTAAAATGTTTTAAAAATTAGTTTAAGTATAATGATTTTTACTAATATTTTAAAATAAATTCAGGTAAAAAAAATTAACAAGTTAAATTAAAACTATGTTAATTACACTCAATTTTTTGAATAAATAAAATGTTTTCTTTTTCAAACTAGTTTAAGTGTGAAATTTTAAACACTGTTGAAAACAAACTGAAACAACATAAACAAACAAATCACATAACTTATTCAACAAGAATGTTTTTGAACCAAAATACAATCCTTAACAAATAAACGGAGCATTCACAAAACTATCATTGCAATATAGTCCTGGTCGTTGAGAGAACCCCTGTTTCTTAAGAAGCTTCCTTGCCTTCAAAACAAGTTCTTTGTATGTAATCTTACCCTTTGTCTCCTCGAGTATGATCTGCACAACATTGGTGAAGGCTCCATAAGCCATTTCAGGATGACCTTGAGGACTCGCGTCTGCAGAAGTTTGATCTGTTTGGCAACCACTAATCAAAACACCATTATCCGCAAGAGAACCATTGCTCGCACCTGCATAGACCTCTTGCTTGTTCCCAACATGTGTCTGCATCGCGGGTTTCACAAACTCTTCATCATCGTTTAGTTTATGCTCAAGAAACTCTTGAGCTAGTTTCCCAATCATTCCCAATATCCCACCTTCACTTTTACCTTGTTGCATCTTTGTTAGAATCACTTTCATGAACTTCTTAACCTTTGGGGATGCATCTTCTCCAAACACATTGAAAAGGGTTGGTCTGATTTCCCCAACTTCAATATTATCGTTACCTGTTTTTTGCTTGAGGATATCGATTAGAGTTTGTAGAGGCAGAGATTTGTTTACGACATGGACTTTTGCCCCATCTGCTAGTTCAATCTCTTTAGTCTTGTTTTTGTCATCTTTGTGGTGAGGAATGTCGATCCCTCTAGATTCCAATGCTTCTTCCACAGCTTCACGCACAAAGCCTTTGATTCCAAGTCCTGAAGAGCCTTCAGATTTTTTCTTTGGCTTCTTCTTCGTGCTCTCTCCTATCTGTTCTTTAGCTTCATCGATGAGACCACCACTGTGACAGGAGTCTGAGATGATGGTAATGTGTGCTTCCTTTGGTACCTTGTCCACAAGATCTCTAAACTCATCATCTGAGAATATATGAAAAAGAGTTAATTTGAAACAATATATGAAAGCAAAAAAAATCTTATTGACATGAAAAACAATCAATGAGAAAGTTCAACTGGTTTAGACCAAATGGATGAAAACATAATTCCCCTGAATCTAACAATTTTCAACATATAATCTCGATCAAACTGACAAACAAAAATTTCAACATCTAAACAAAAAACAGGACAAAGTTCTTACCGGTGATAAGATTCATATCACAAGGAACAATACACTCATCATAACCAGTATCATCGTCTTCTCCAGTCTCCGCCGGCAACCTCGTCCCATGTCCACTATAATGGACGACAAGAACATCGCCGGATTTAGCGGACTCAACTAGATTCAACAACGCACTTCGAATATTCTTCCCTGTAGGTTTGGTGGAAGACTCGTCAGTATCAATCAGCTCAGTGATGTTTCTCTCGGAGAATCCAAACCGATCGACGAGACATTTGTGCACCCTCCGGACATCGTTGACGCAGCCCCGGAGCTCCGCCTTGGTCCCAGGGTAGTTAATTCCAATCAACACAGCTTTCTTCGCCATTGAAGATATCTCAAAAGGTCTGCGTTACAATTTTTTTATTTTGATCGTGAGCTGTTACATTTCGGTCTTCATGCTTTTATACTATAATGTTTATTACTATTAAATTAATGAAGCCTTAATAAGGTTGCCAACAATTTTTTTTTAAAAAGTCTCTAATTAACAAAACTCTAATAATAAATATATATGGTTTTATTTGGTCATAATTTCCATTCCATATCTGTCTGTTGGAAACTTTGAATACATTTTTATCTAATTGTAGTCAATTACATTAATTTTTCTTGGATAAGATAGTTACATTAAAATTAGGATGAAATTATATTCTAATTCAAATATTAAAATCTCTAGCCGTTTAGAGACGAAGAAAACGTCTATGGCTTGTCCATTTTTCCAACCAAAGCTAAAACGTACAAGTATAGATTGTGAAAAAATAGTATGGCAAGAATTTTACGTATCTTCAAACCAAATAATTACGCAAATGTCGCTTGTTATTGTTTATAGCCTCTCCTGATGGCACACACAATCCCACGTTGTAATCTATAAATATTATCAAATCATATATCATCGCATACATGCTTAGCACGACGCTTTTTACTAATCAGTTCCATGTCAAAATATTATCATGGAAAATAACGGTTTTGTCTCTTGTACCGTAAGGTAAGATTTAAATTTACATAGGGGGTAAACAATTAATTAATTTTACCACAAACTAAAAATGTATGAGCAAAAATAAAAAATTTAAACCAATGAAGTGATGAACAAACAAACAGCAATTGGGATATAAATATTCAAATCAAGGTTACAACAACACACAAGTAATAAAACATATTCCACACGAACCAAATCAACAAACAACAAAAACCTCCCAAATTAATCAACATATAAACTGAGCATTGACATAAGTATCATTGCAATACAGTCCCGGTCGTTGATCAAAGCCCTGTTTCTTAAGAAGCTTCCTTGCCTTCAAAACAAGATCTTTGTTACTAATCTTACCTTTAGTCTCCCCAATTATAATCTGTATAGCATTGGTTAGTGCTCCATAAGCCAATTCCGGGTGACCCGGTGGGCTTGCGTCTGCAGATGTTTGATCAGTTTGACAACCACTGATCAGTATACCGTTATCAGGAAGTGCACCATTGATAGCACCTGCATACACCTCTTGGATCGCGGGTTTCACATCGTCGTTAAGCTTCTGGTCAAGAAACTCTTGAGCTAAACTCTCAATTGCAGTAGTAGTCTCTTGTAGGTTGCTTAGAATCACATTCATGAACTTCTTCACCTTTGGACTTGAATCTTCTCCAAACATATCGAAAAGGGTTGTCCTGATTTTCCCCACTTCGATATCATCGTTGCCCGTCTCTTGCTTCAGCAAATCAATCAAAGTCTCCAATGGCAGAGATCTGTTTCCCACTTCAATTATCTCTGCCTCTGTCTCCTTGTTGATCGTTGAAGAGTCTCCATAGTCTTTCTTCTTCTTCGTGCTCTCTCCTATCTGCTCTTTGGCTTCATCTATGAGACCACCACTGTGACAAGAGTCAGAGATTATTGTAATGGGACAATCCTTTGGCACCATCTCCACAAGATCCCTGAAATCATCATCTGTAAAACAGAGTCACCTTAAAAGATTAAAAATCAGGGTAGCAAAATCTCTATTAGTATATCTCAGGATACACAAATCTTATCTATAGCATCTTAATTCAAAACTTTAACACACATATAAGCACAATAACCCCAAAATTTTCCACATAATCCACTAGTTTTCAACACGAATTTCCGGTTTTGTGGTAACATAACTACTGGTAAAGGAAAAAGTTCAAATTGTTACGTAAACATGAAAAAATTAAAAGTCAACTTTGGTTTATGTTTTCACTAACCGGTGATGAGATTCATATCAGAAGGAACAATACACTCATCGTAACCAGTATCATCGTCTTCTCCAGTTTCCGCGGGTAACCTAGTCCCATGTCCACTGTAATGGACGAAGAGAACATCACCCGGTTTAGCCGGCTCAACGAGATCCAACAACGCCTGTCTGATGTTCTTACCGGTCGGTTTGATCGAAGTACTATCAGTATCAATCAACATTTTGATGTTCGTCTCGGAGAATCCGTACCGTTCGACGAGGGTTATACGCATCCGACGGACATCGTTTACGCAGCCTCGTAGCTCTGCCTTGGTTCCCACGTAGTTGATCCCAATCAGTAAAGCTTTCTTGGCCATTGTTGATATTTCAAACTCTGCTTGACAATTTTCTTTCTGATCCTGGGATGATTCATCCTTCATGGGTTTTATAATCATCTTTTATTATTTAACTAATGAAACCTAGTGTTTTTTTGTCTGACTTTTTTCTGTCGCGTTTTTGTATGACATTAAAAAAAGAACCTGAGAGGATATTGGAAAATTACAAGCTCTGATTTGATCAATCTTTTTTCTTTAAATTTCTAGGTAATTGAAAATTTGTTAATCAAATTTATTACAAATTGTGTTTCGAATGTAAATAATTTATATTAATTTTGGTTGCATTCCATGTAATAACGTTTATAATTTTGAATAACCATATATCAAACAACCTAACTTGAACACAAACATTAGATAGAGCCATAGAGACAAGAAGTTCTATTCCTAAAATCCGTACGAAACTTAGATAAGCTTATAAGAAATAGTCCAAAATATATTTAATAATTTTGTACAACTAATCAATTTAAAATAATAAAGAAAAGGACAATTCTTGTTATTTTATAGTTACTCCCTTTCTTGAGAGCGCAAACAATCTCACGTTATAAGCACGTCGCTTTTGTCGAGCCAATCAGCCAATTATAATGGCTTGATTATTGATTCCTTCTATCTCAAGTCAACTGGACTAAGTCTCTAGGTCTTAATTAGATTCCATGTATCCGAAGTTGATGGAACTTACACACAAACTAGTTTTTATCTAATATATTTAACAAGACAAAATATCTAATCCAACTATCCTTGTTTCGATATAAATATAACATATACATATCATATACTGTATATATAAATGATATATCTCTACTTATCAAGCTAATTATACTTTTTGAACGCAAAAATACATTATCTTCCTTGCTTTGAAAAGTTTAAACACCATTCTATATAGAAAGTTGAGAACATTTGAACACCACTTGCTGATGTTCACACTATAACGAAAAAACAATACACTGTTCAATTTAATATTAGAGTTTACTTTATCCATTAAGGTATTATCAATGACAACTAGGACTACAGAGAGCAATTTGATACATAATAATTAGCGTAGATGAAGGAGACTATTCCAAATAAACATACTTTGTAAGAAATTCATTTCAATAAATCATTTATTGTACTTCATAAGAGATTGCATACATTTTTTACCACGTCCACTAGAATCCACAAAATAGACTTGAGTGAAAAAAGAATCTCTAATCAATCAACACACCATAGTTAGCATATAAATGGAGCATTCACAAAGCGGTCATTACAATACAATCCTGGTCTCTGAATTAACCTCTGTTTCTTCAGAATCTCTCTTGCTCTCAATACCATTTCTTTGTTTGTAATCTTATCTTTATGATCAGTCTCTGACAAAACCATTTGGATGGCGTTACTAAACGCTCCAAACGCTTCTCCACTCTTCTTAACATCTGCCGATGTCTCATCTGTTTGACATCCACTCAACAGAATCCCTCGGTCGGGAAACAATCCGTTGCTTGATCCTCCTCCATAAATCTCACGATCGCTCTTCACTTGTGCCTGCATTGCGGGTTTTATGTAGTGTTCATCGTTTAGCTTCTCTTCTATATACCCTCGAGCACTTTCTTCGCTCTTACCAAGTAACGTACTTTGATCATTTCTTTTCATTAGCTTGGTGAGAATCACTTTTGTGAACTTCTTTATCTTCGGGCTCGAATCTTCACCAAAGACATCGAAAAGGGTCGGTCTGATTTTCCCAATCTCGATATTGTCTTGCCCAGTTTGTTGTTTGAGAAGTGTGATGAACCTCTCAAACGGAAGAAACCTTGCATTGACAACTTCATCTCTCTCTCCTACTTCTACGATCTCGCGAGTTTCTACATGAGAACTTCCGATTCCACAAAACGCAAGCAGTTTCACAAAAACGCTATGCAAACAGTTCCCAATCTCGAATTCAAAAGAAGAAACTTTGGTTTCTCGATTGGTACTCTCTCCGATCTGTTCCTTAGCTTCATCGATGAGTCCGCCGCTGTGACAAGAGTCTGATACGATCGTTATCTGACATCCTCTGGAACTTGTTCCACTAAATCCCTGAAATCATCATCTGCAATGCAACACACAAAACAGCGTCGTCGATATAAATAAATAAAAATTAATCCCAAATTATATCAAAATAATTCAAAACTAGCCTTAAGACTTAACAAAGTCAAAGAGAGGGGTAAAAAGATTCCTCTGTTCAAAACAGAGCACTCTGTTTTTCTACATTTAAATAAGAAACCATCCCATAAAATACTAATTGTTATTGAATCCAGTTTTGATCTACTTACCAGGGATTGGATTCAAGTCGGAAGGAACAATACACTCATCAAAACCTGTATCATCTTCTTCCTCTGTTTCCAGTGGGACCCTCGTACCGTGTCCACTGTAAGTCTGTAATGCACGAATAAAACGTCACCGGACTTTGCTGGCTTTATGAGCTCCGACAAAGCCTGACGGATGTTTTTTCCGGTGGGTTGAGTGTAAGATTTGTCGGTGTCAATCAGCACCGTGATATCTTCCTCGGCGAATCCGAACCGGTCAACGAGGCACTTATGCATCCGACGGACATCGTTGACGCAGCCTTGTAGCTCATCCGTGGAGCCTGGGTAGTTGATTCCTATCAGCAACGCTCTCTTCGCCATTCTTGCAATCTTCAAGAGTTCTTTGTCGGAGAAAAACTTCCACTGGATCTAACGATTCTTCGTTGAGATTTGTGATCAAGATTAACATTAAAATACTAAAACATTATTGGGTTAGTGAACTAACTTTATGTTTCTCTATTCATATAATGATAGGCACGTGAACATTGTGGACTAATTATCAAAGATTCATAAACATTAAAACAAAACGCCGTCTGTGGGGATCGAACCCACGGCCACGTGGTTAAAAGCCACGCGCTCTACCACTGAGCTAAGACGGCAAGATAATTTAAGATTTTGTAATTAATTTTTAAAATTAGTTTAATCAGCATGCGTTTAAGGTTCTTCTATAATTAGTCTTTTAAGTTAGCAAAAATTACATAATGATGATGATTTGTAAGGCCAAGTGAAACTATATCATCAGGATTGTGTATAATTGGTTTGTTGAATCTTGGAAATGTGATGTAAAAACTTAAATGTTTGAAATATAAGATTCTTGGTTCCGAAGAATTGGCAGAACTGAAATAACTCTAAACCACCAAGAACTTTGAAATGCTACGTAGGGAAAAGAAAATCAAACTGATAATTATGATCGTTTTCCATTCAAATAAAACTTTTTTTTTTCAAATAAAACTTACAACAAACAATACATAAATCAAACAAAAACTTGTTCAACACCAAACTCCAAATGCTCTAAAAGAAATTAAAAGTACAAACATGAAAGTTTTTTTCAACATATGAATGGAGCATTGACGTAACTATCACTACAATATAGCCCTGGTCGTTGAAGAAATCCTTGTTTCTCAAGGAACTTCCTGGACTTCAAAACCAAATCTTTGTAACTAATCTTACCCTTTGTCTCAGCAAGTATGGTATGTAAGGAATTAGTGAATGCTCCAAAAGCTTTCTCTTTGGAGCCTACGTCTGCAGAAAATTGATCAGTTTGGCACCCACTAAGCAGAACACCTTTGTTCCCAAACCCCCCTTTACTTGCCCCTGCATAGACCTCTTTTTTGTTCCCGACTTCTGTCTGCATCGCGGGTCTCAAAAACTCTTCATCATTCAGCTTCCCCGTAAGAAAATTTGTTGCTAGTTTTCCAATCTGTCCCAACATCAAACCTTCACCAATACTCTCATGCAAGTTGCTTAGAATCACCTTCATGAACTTCTTCACCTTTGGAGATGCATCATCTCCAAACACATCAAAAAGGGTCGTCCTGATATTCCCCACTTGGATATCATCTTTTCCTGTAGCATGCTTCAACATATTGATTGAAGTCTCCAATGGCAGAAATCTGTTTCTGGCATTGATTCTGTTTTCACCATCTTCTTGTTCAGTCTTGGTCGATGTTTCTTCTTTTACTACACCTTTGGAACTAAAAAGTCTAAAAGGGCATTTGGATTCTTTCTTGGGCGTCTTCTTAAAGCTCTCCCCTATTTGCTCTTTGGCTGAGTCGATGAGACCACCACTATGACAAGAATCGGAGACGAATGTAAAGGAGCAGTCTTTGGGCACCTTACTCACAATTTCTCTGATATCATCATCTGAGAACAGAACCAACCATACACACAAGAAATTAGATGAAAAACCTGATGAGCCTGATGAGTAAGTCAACACTTTTGAAGTTGAATTCTCACAAAAGCAAAGGTAATTTCCACTTACCGGTGATGTAAATAGTAGGTTTTGGTTCTAGTTTTAGATGAATAGTAATAAGAAAATAAAATCATATAAAATGGATAGATTTCTTATGAAACCGGTTCATGTTCGATTTTAGTAAACTATAGCCTTCCAAAAGATGCAAGTCTTTTTCAAATCAGTTCCGGTTTCAGTTCTTTAAAAATATTTAAGAAACAAAAACATTTTAGAAAAAGAAATTAAAGATTTGGTTTGGTTTATACAAATGTTTCTATTTGATATCAAAATCCTTTCTGAATTATACTGTCAAGAAAATAAAGATATTCTGGTTTTGAAAAATAATAATACTCGGTCACCAAATAAATATAGGGCTAAGGCAAAACGTGTATATTTTTTTTTTCAGTTACCGGTGATGTAATTGTGATCGGAGGGAACAATACACTCATCGAACTGAGTATCATCGTTTTCACCAGTCTCCGGCGGCAACCTCGCTCCGTGTCCACTGTAGTGAACAAAGAGAACATCACCGGAGTTTGCTGATTCAACAAGATCCGACAACGCTTGTCGAATGTTCTTGCCGGTGGGTTGGGTTTTAGACTTGTCGGTATCAATCAGCTCAGTGATGTTCTCCTCCGAGAATCCGAACAGTTCGACGAGTGATTTGTGCGTCTGCTTGACGTCATTGATGCAGCCCAGTAGCTCTCCTTCGGTTCCAGGATAATTGATCCCTATCAACACCGCTTTCTTCACCATTTGATTCCGATGAATAAACTTAAAACTTCTCTGTTTTTGGTTTGTTTGATGAGTAAAAAGATGGTTCGTTCTTCATGCTTTTATAATAATCTCGTTAATCTCGTGTTAGTTAACTTAACGAATGCTTTTAGTCCTTTAGCTTTTGTTTTGTTTTAAATGATTAAAATAGTTATATTTTTTTAACGTATTAATTATTAAACGTGGAGTGTACCTTGTACTATTAGCCTGGCAATGTTTTTCTATGCGGTGTATAAAATGATTTAACAAAATTTATGATTTATTTTACGACAATCATGTATGGCGTAGTTTTTTTGATAACCCAGTATTCAGACCACACAGTGATCTGACTAGTCCACTGGGCCTAACCCCGCGTAACAGAGATTTTTAAGCCTCCACTTAAGGGCCCCCTGATAAACTGGTGGTCTGGGGCGCCTGAGCAAGTCCGCAGGTAAATTCCCAGGTGGCCACAGGAGTGAGAGAGCGAAACTGCGTCTGGGGAGGATCGATCCCTGGCCTAGACCAACAGGGCGATCCTTCCAACCAAACGAGAACCACTCGCCCACCACCATGTATGGCGTAGTACGTCTACGTGTAGTTTTTATAAATTTATGTCAATGCATTCATAAAACAAAAAGTCACTTAGTAGTTATTTAAACTTCAAAATGAAAAGTCATATATGTAGAGCATAGCAAATGGAATAAGATTTAAGGGAATAAAGTTATCGGAACCATAAGATGCGTTGCATCGTAATTAATTCATAACCACAATATCATTAATCAATTGTTGATTTTAATATGCTGCTTGCTTTATTTAGATGAAGTTTTTTATATATTAATACTACTATAAGCACGTGGATGAGTAATTGATTTCTTTTCATGATTGTCTCTAAAATACTATTAACAAAATAGCATTACTGGGTGTTAACCGTGTTATGTCTGGACCTTTTCGTGTTTCTCATCCAAATATTGATATAATATAGTCTTTTTTTTTCTTTAAATGAAAAAGCGTTGATCTATTACTATTATAGTCTCGTGGATGATTTTGTGTATATATATATTATCGGAATTGTCAATCAAATATTGGTAGCGACGCTGTAGTTGGGTGGTCTGAACCGAAAACATGTGGGCGATTAATTGATCTATGATAAAAAAGGTTTTATTCAAATCATAATCATGTGTTCATATCAATTTACAAGGCTTTCTCGATTCTTTTATGTTATGATCGAGATTATATAATTCATTATGGCATGTGAAGACTGTGAGTGGATTCTACTCTTTTTTTTTTTTTTTGTCTTTACACAAACAAATTTGATTTCTTGTTTGTATGAATTCATTTTGTTGCATCAAATAACCGATAATTAACATAAATATTAGTATGTGTTAGGGAAACAATAGGTTCCTTCACTACTTTTCTCACAAGGTTGGGGAATAAGAAAGATTATCAAATTAAGAATTCTTGGAAAAACAAAACCTAAATCAGATATGTTTAAGCTTTTTAAGTTTTGCCTATTTATTGGAAAAAACAAAACCAAACGCCGTCTGTGGGGATCGAACCCACGGCCACGTGGTTAAAAGCCACGCGCTCTACCACTGAGCTAAGACGGCTGAACAATTAATCTGGCATAACAATTTACAAAAATAAAACCTAAAGAGATATGTTTAAGCCCAACAAGAGCCCTACTATCTATATTCGGCCCAACTAACATAACGACGACGTTTAGTTAACGCGACGTATAAACACGCCTGGGGTTTTCTGATTGCATAATTTTTCGACCTCCCGAAGCGCTTTTTCATCTTCCTTGTTTTGGGTTTCTCTCCAAAAATCGCCGGAGAAATTCAAATCGTCATCTCTAATTCGTCCGAGAAATCCAACGTTAGGTATATAATCACGGTTGGTTTCTGAAATTAGGGCACGAAAAAATGCCCTTGTTTATGCCTGACGAAGAGCTGGCGCGGCTATCTAGCGACGCCGCGTCGGTGGTTGCAGAAAGAGCCGACGAGTACATACGGAAGATATACGCCGAGTTGGATAGTGTTCGTGCCAAGGCTGACGCTGCTTCCATCACGGCGGAGCAGACGTGTTCGCTTCTCGAGCAGAAGTACCTCTCGCTATCTCAGGATTTCTCTTCCCTTGAATCTCAGAACGCGAAGCTTCAGTCTGATTTCGATGATCGTTTAGCTGAGCTTGCACAGTCTCAAGCGGAGAAGCATCAGCTTCATTTGCAATCGGTGCGTCCTTGTGCTTTTTTTGTGTGGGTTTTCAGTGTGTTTTTGGGAATCCCTAATATTTCACGGATCTTCCGGGTTTTTTTTTGATGCAGATTGAGAAGGATGGAGAGGTAGAGAGGATGTCGACGGAGATGTCAGAGCTTCATAAGTCTAAGAGGCAACTGATGGAGTTATTGGAGCAGAAAGATGCCGAGATTAGCGAGAAGAATTCCACTATCAAGAGCTACTTAGATAAAATCGTGAGTGCTTCCCTATTTTTGTTAGCGTATCATGTATTTTCAACTGTGTAACCCTAACTCTTGTTCTATTTCTCAGGTCAAGCTGACGGATGCTAGTTCGGAGAAGGAAGCCCGACTAGCTGAAGCCACCGCAGAATTGGCACGTTCTCAAGCTATGTGTAGTCGGTTATCTCAGGTCAGATTATTGAAAGCATTTTAAGATATATGTTTGATTGTGTTTATGTTTAGTTGTTGCCTGCTTTTGCATTGGTAATTCTTATTATCCTTATATAGGCCAAAATACTGTGTTATCTTAAGAATTTGGATGAGTTACAGTTGATTGATGACTGGTGCACTTTGATTAGTTTTATTGATACCTTAATTTCTATAATGTCATAGAATAAAATATGTTGATCCTTTTACAATGTTTATGACATATGGTCTCTGATGGAAACAGGAGAAAGAACTCACGGAAAGGCATGCCAAATGGCTAGATGAGGAGTTGACAGCCAAAGTCGACAGTTACGCTGAACTCCGTAGAAGGCATTCTGATCTTGAATCTGAAATGTCAGCAAAGCTTGTAGATGTAAGGCCAATATTCTCGGTTTATTCTAATACTTTTCTCTCTGTTTTCTTTTCTCAAGTGTTATTCCTTCTTCTATCAGGTTGAAAAAAACTATATTGAGTGCTCTAGTTCGTTAAATTGGCATAAGGAAAGATTGAGAGAGCTCGAAACACAAATTGGTTCATTACAAGAGGTATGTATGGCGTGTAACACCTATATCCTCATATCTTATCGTTTTATGCACTATGAGATTTACTTGTTTCGCTTCATATCCAAAGGACCTCAGCTCTTGCAAAGATGCAGCAACGACCACTGAAGAGCAATACACTGCTGAACTTTTCACTGTGAGTTTTGCAAACATTGAACCTCTTCTCATCTTTTTAGCTGACTGGAGAGCTAAGTATGTCATTTGAGGCATTTCAAAGTTTCAGAAGTAGACCTTCATAGGTGTTGTTTATCCAATCTAACCCACAAGCTGTCATATAGGCGAACAAGCTTGTTGAGCTTTACAAGGAAAGTTCGGAGGAATGGTCTAGAAAGGCTGGCGAACTTGAGGGTGTTATTAAGGCCTTAGAGGTAAGTTTCCCATCACAAATCAGAGGATAGTGTTCTAATTGTGTTACCATGTTAACCTCTTGAGTTTCAAATCATGACTGCAGGCACGCTTGAGCCAAGTCGAGAGTAGTTACAAGGAGAGACTTGATAAAGAAGTGTCTACAAAACAGCTGTTAGAGAAGGTACTGAGACCCTCAAGTTTATCGCTTTATCGATTATTATTTCTTAGCTCTGGTAACTTGTTTTCAGCATCCTTTTCAACATATACTGAAGGTGTTGTGTGTCGACCCAATTGCTAGTATGAGACTTTGATATTCTTTGATTGTTTTCTTAAATTTATTTGTTTAATCGGCTTTTAGATATTTTCAGATACTAGATAATAATTTTTTTTGAGAATTCTATCTTTGATTTTTGTGGGAAGTGGTTTTAGTGCATTTTACTTCGGGATGCACATTTTTAAATTTATTTTCTAGTGAGATAATTAGGTTTTCTTTTCTGCAACATCAGGAGAACGAAGACCTTAAACAAAAACTTGAGAAGTGTGAAGCAGAAATTGAGAAAACTAGGAAAACAGATGAGCTAAATCTGATACCTTTCAGCAATTTCACAAGGTATGTAAGATTGTAATATCTTGATTGTCCTAGTGTGCACGGATCAGAGAAAATTCTCACATCTTTCTCCTGACATACCTTTGGTCCAGACGGGTTGACGATTCTGGGACCAGCAACATGATAGAGGAAAGCCAAGCAGTAATTTCTAAGGTTCCTGCTGGTGTGTCAGGAACTGCACTAGCAGCTTCACTCTTACGTGATGGATGGAGTGTGAGTTTTAGTCTTAGTATACACTTCCAGTTTACAGTGTCTCAACTCTGTTTGTGGTGTATATATCGCTCTTTTTATCTTGTAGCTGGCCAAAATTTATGAGAAGTATCATGAGGCTGTTGATGCCTTGAGGCATGAGCAATTAGGTAGAAAGGAAGCTGAGATGATACTTCAACGGGTATGATCTATTTAACTTGTTATTGCCAGGTCTTTGTTTAAAATTTTGATTTCCAATCATTTCCACTTTTGTTTTGTCTATATTCTCTATGTTTAACTAGTAATTTTTCAACCGCAGTTCACTAATGACTTGAGCATAATATTTTTCTTCTCCTGTTAACTTACTCTTGGTATCCTGCTTTGTAGGTGTTATCCGAATTAGAAGAGAAAGCCGGGTTTATCCAAGAAGAAAGAGGTATGATCCAATTCTGTGCTTCTGGAGCCATATGTTTTACCCTCCCAAAGATTTCTTTCACTAGTAATATATTTGTATCTTGTTGGAGACACGCTTAAACCTATGATGCAATCTGTTTTCGTTCCCAGGGGAGTATGAGAGGATGGTTGAAGCTTATTGTTTAGTTAATCAAAAACTCCAGGATTCTGTCTCTGAACAATCAAATATGGAGAAGTTCGTTATGGAGCTAAAGGTACCTGGTATTGTTATAGTGGTTGTTCAAGATGCGTTCTTGTGCTGTTCTTATACATTTATCTGATTGATAGGCTGACTTGAGGAGACGAGAACGGGAAAACACACTATTGCAGAAAGATATATCTGACCTACAGAAACAGGTAATTTGATGATCTACTCTTCGCTGTTTACCAAGTTTTTTGTGGTCTTCAGTTTCTTGACTAACATGACTTGCAATGTTAATTGTTGAGACTTTGTCTCACTGATGTGTATGCCTGGTTGGTTGCCTAATCGATTGATGCTTTGTGTTTGTTTCTACTATTTAGGTTACGATACTATTGAAGGAGTGTCGTGACGTCCAACTTCGATGTGGAGCTGCCAGGGATGATGATGAGGAAGATTATCCTCTGCTATCTGATGTTGAGATGGATATGGAATCTGAAGCTGATAAAATCATTTCAGAGCATCTTGTAAGTTTGTTTCTTTATCTCGACGCCATGTTTTGTGTTAGATTTTATTTTGCAAAAGAAATTGTGGATGACTAATGCTTGTCCTCATGTTGGGATGAATTTCAGTTAAAGTTCAAAGATATAAATGGACTAGTTGAGCAGAATGTTAAGCTGAGAAATCTTGTTCGTAGTCTTTCAGAGCAGATTGAAAGTAGGGAAACGGAGCTGAAGGTAAGAAGGATTTTGTATGCATAGTTTCTTTGGTAAAGTGTGAAGTTTAAACAAAATTTGTGTAATGTCAGGAAACGTTTGAGATAGAACTGAAGAATAAGACTGATGAAGCTTCTGCCAAGGTAGCAACCGTGCTAAAAAGAGCTGAAGAGCAGGGACAAATGATTGAATCACTGCACACATCTGTAAGTATTTCCACCCTTCAAAATCTTTTCTCTATTGCAGCACTTGGTAAATTGATGTTGGACTTCTTTTCAACGATTTATTTTGTGACATATTTTTCTTTTTCAGGTTGCAATGTATAAGCGATTATATGAAGAGGAACAGAAACTTCATTCATCTGATTCTCGTTCTTCAGATTTGTCTCCAGGTTCTACTTCTATGCATTATTATGAGTTTACTGCACTACATGTTCTTAGATACCCTCAATCATGGACTTCACGGCTAAGTTTAATTAAATTAAAATGATGTTTCAGTTTTATCTTAGAACCAATCCTTTTCAAAATTTCACCCCAAATGTCATCAAGGTTTAGTGGGGATGCAAGAAATCTTTGACTTTAGTCGATGCTGTTCTTAAATTCAAATAAAAAGTTGGCTCGTTAGTTTTTTATTTATTTTTATAATTATAATTAGAAGTTAGGATGGAAAGCATCTGCATTTGGAACAACTACCAAAGTTTGGTCTTATTTTCATATGTATCTCAATTGTCAGTAATGAAAATTAATGCTGTACGCACAAATTTGAAGTGTATTCTGGCTTTTCAAGCCTAATCCACTTTCCTGGAAATCTCATCTTGTTTCCTTAAAGAGATTTGCATGCTGTTACATGCTTTGCTCATAAAATTGAATCATAGTTTCAGTGGCAAACTAGCTTTTCAATGGCTGACAGAGATGTATTCTTGTGTAGCTGTAGTGCCAGGAAGGAAGAACTTCTTACATCTGCTTGAGGATTCAGAGGTATGACAGATTGCTAGATCTTTCTTTCCTCTTCTTTGTTGTCCACTTTCCTAGCGTATCAAAGTAGTTGTTTGGGGCTCACCTTATTGGCTGCATTGCTTGTTCCAGGAAGCTACTAAAAGAGCTCAAGAAAAAGCTTTTGAACGCATCCGGAGTCTCGAAGAAGATTTTGCGAAGGCTAGGTATATTTTATCATCCTCTTGTCTTTTATCTTTCATTTCTTACTGGACAAGTTATTAGTTTTTATGCAAAAGGTTTTGTTTGGTAAACTAGGGTACCGCTGGATATGTAACATATTTTCCAGTCGGATAGTCAAGTTGAGAATTAGAACCCAGACTATTCTAGCGAAGGAAAGAAAGTGTGGAAAGCGTAGTGTCTAATGTGAAACGTGTTTGCAGATGCAGGTGGATTGCTGAAAATACTAATCTGAGCTTATGTGTTTGCAATACCAGTTTAGATGTCCTATATAAGTTACATAGAAGTTATAATTATACATCTTGATACATAGAGAGACAACATGAAAAACTGGGTTGTATCTTATGTAGCATATTTATGAAACTTAAACTGTAGCTATTGATTTTTGCTATTGTTTCCTGTAATTTTTTTTTACTGAATATTATCAACTTTGTTTTCATTTTTCCCCTTTGGATTTTAGGAGTGAAATAATTGCAATAAGGTCTGAACGGGATAAGTTGGCGATGGAGGCAAATTTTGCTAGGGAAAAACTAGAGGGTATCATGAAAGAATCTGAACGCAAGGTGATCTTTGTCACAAATTTATATCATCAGAAGCTTGTGGTTTCTTCAAAGTTTTCACCTTATCCGTGTTTATCTTAGAGAGAAGAAATGAACGGCGTTTTGGCAAGAAACATAGAGTTCTCACAGCTAATCATTGACCACCAGAGGAAATTGCGTGAAAGTTCCGAGTCTCTGCACGCAGCGGAAGAGATCTCCAGAAAATTATCTATGGAGGTAGTATATCCATCACTCGTTAAGTTTATGATTTTTTTTGCTTTAATACTAACAGCCATCTATAGGTTTCGGTTCTAAAACAAGAAAAAGAGGTGTTATCAAATGCTGAGAAAAGAGCGTCTGATGAAGTCTCTGCTCTATCTCAAAGAGTTTACCGGCTTCAGGTTGGAAACATGAGAATAGTGCAATTCGATCTTAAGCTGTGTGTACTCTTTTTTTTTGCTGACATGTTGTTCTGCAGGCTACCTTGGATACTGTACAAAGTACAGAGGAAGTTCGTGAGGTAAGAAAACGACCTTTGATATTAGTTTACTAATTCTATACTGCAATACCGATTACAAAATGATATACCTTTACCAAAAAACCTCAGGAAGCAAGAGCTGCCGAGAGAAGGAAACAAGAGGAGCATATCAAGCAACTTGAGGTCTATAGCATATTTGATAATTCTTTCAAAATTATTATGTGGAAAAGTAGAAGTTAACTGATGTTTTGGACGGGATTTTCACAGAAAGAATGGGCTGAAGCTAAAAAAGAATTGCAAGAAGAAAGGAGCAATGCACGGACTATTACTTCGGACCGCAATCAAACTTTGAACAATGCTGTAATTCAGGTAGAAGAAATGGGAAAAGAATTGGCTAATGCCTTGAAGGCTGTCTCAGTCGCAGAGTCCAGGGCTTCTGTCGCTGAGGTACTGTTTCAAGTCTACTTTACCTTTCTTAATAACTTAGACTCATGAATACATGAACCAATTCCATTCTGCATCGAGGTGTGCTGCATCTCACCAGCATCTTTCAGTGTTTACTCTGTCTGGCTCCTAGGTTGCATACCTAATAGCTTTCCCAGGTCGACATTTCCTAGATTGCCATTTTTCTGGTGCTGCTTTTGCGAAGTGAGTCTTTGCATGTGGTTTTACTAATTGTGAATAGACCCAGACCAATTTCCAGAAAATCATTTTACTACCTGTGAATAGGCCCAAACCAATTTCTGGAAAATCGCTACATTGTCAATCCACTAGATTTTTCAGCTGTTTGCCGTCCATTCACATATTTGCATGATCATTTTTACCTGATTACTATAATTGACTATTACTTTACATGTGTAAAATTAGGCTAGACTTTCTGATTTGGAGAAAAAGATAAGATCTTCAGATCCTAAGGTAAATGTTTTGATTTTTCTAATCATTGAATTGTGGGGTTTACTTCAAACAGCAAAATCGTGGATGGAATTTGCTATTACAAGTTTGTAACGACTTTCATTTTCTCACTTTTAGGCTCTTGATATGGACAGTGGTGGAATTGTCTCTCTTTCCGATAATGAGGTCAGTGAAGTCCTTCAAATTATCTTTTTCCCCAATTTTAAATTCTGAGATGGGGATTTAAGTTCCCTAATTTTGGTATTGTTCGGATTTCCTGGTTGCAATCTATTTGTAAAAGGCTGCTCATGTTATTTTTCTGGAAGTTGTACATAAGATGCAGGCAGGATTTAGGATAGGATCTGCAGTAAGCATTACTGAGTTAGTTGAATTTGATCATGTAGATTTGAGTCTTTCGCTTAAGCTATCGTCTGCGTTACCTTTTTTTGTTCCTATATAGCAATCCAATATTTGGATGTGTAACGTAGTCTGTTAATCTCTTTTTTGCTGTGGTGGTCATTTACTCTAGATGTCCGTAGAACTGCGTACCGGGAAGGAAGAAATTGAAAAATTGAGGGGAGAAGTAGAATCTAGCAAAAGCCACATGCTCCAGGTACTTCCTGAACTGGGTAAGTTAGTTTTAATTTCAACATGACTATTAACTGACCTTGTGAACCATCATGCAGTACAAGAGTATAGCTCAGGTGAATGAAACTGCATTAAAGCAGATGGAATCTGCTCATGAGAACTTCAGACTTGAGGTATTATTATGTTTGGATGAACAATGATCACATCAGATTTGTTGCTATGTCCACTGTGATAGAATTCGATCTGCTGTTGGTTCTTATTTTAAACCTGTTGGCTGTTTGTAGGCTGAAAAGAGACAAAAATCATTGGAAGCAGAACTTGTTTCTCTTAGGGAGAGGGTGTCAGAACTGGAAAACGAATGTATACAGAAGTCCGAGCAACTAGCCACTGCTGCCGAAGGAAAAGAAAATGCTCTTGTATCAGCATCGGCTGAAATTGCAAGTCTGAGAGAAGAAAGCTTAGTGAAAAAGTAAATGTTCTATCATGTAACAAAGTATCTTTTTTTTTTTTTTCTCGTGGACACACACATACACACACATGTTTGTCCCTAAATTGATATTGTGCAATTGACTGCAGTTCCCAAATTGAAGCAATGAATATTCAAATTTCCACTTTGAAGAATGATCTGGAGGCGGAACATGAGAAATGGCGTGTTGCTCAGAGAAATTATGAAAGACAGGTTGGTTAAAGCTCTCTATTTTAAGAAACATTTTGACCATCATGCATATTCATGTTGACGTTGGTTTTTGTTGTATGATTTTAGAAACTGACTAGATTTTATTACCCATCCTGTTGTTCCATTTCATGAAACAGTGATTTTCTGAATACTCTATTTTACTGCACCTTTGTCATATATCAATCCGAGGATATCTTCAGATATTTTCTGAATTGTGTTTAACATTACATGAAATGGTTGTTAGGTTTTTCATAACTTAAGGTCTTACTGCCATCTGCTAATTCTGTTTCTTTCTTTCCATAGATATTACAACGATCTCTCTTTTTGTTTCCTACTTCTTTTTGGAGTGCAGGTTATTCTACAGTCTGAAACTATTCAGGAGCTTACGAAAACATCACAAGCCTTAGCAGCCCTTCAAGAGGAGGCATCTGAACTACGTAAATTGGCTGATGCACGGGGAATTGAAAATGTAACTTCTACTTGTACAAAACTTATTGTGATTTCAATTCTTCCTACAATTATAGCTGATTCGTGAAACTTCGATTCAATTTTCTTGGTGTTTATCAGTCTGAGCTTAATGCCAAGTGGAGTGAAGAGAAATTAATGCTAGAGCAGCAAAAGAATCTGGCTGAGAAGAAGTATCATGAAATTAATGAACAGGTTGCCGCTGCTCTCTGATCTCTTACGTTTTAGCTTCTATTTGAGCAACCTTATTAGTTAGTGTGTTCAGGATAGTCTTTTGCAATTCTTTATGGGTCAATAATGCTTAATACTGCATGTGAATCTTTGTAGAGTTTAATTTATGGTCATGTTACAAGTACTCACGTATCTTAATTGCTCTCTACATCAGAACAAATTACTTCATAGCAGACTTGAGGCTAAGCATCTTAACTCGGCTGAGAGGGACAGCCTTTCTGGCAAAATATCATCTGGAAGCACTGACCCGGATCAACTTGAAGATTCGGGTTTGCAAAGTGTAGTTAATTATCTACGCAGAACCAAGGAAATAGTAAGAAAATTGTCTTTTTAGGATTGCTTTTTTCTTTCTTTATGCCCCTTCTTTATACTGTGGGGTTATCTAAGTCATGTGCATCCTTTTTGACAGGCTGAAACAGAGATCTCACTAATGAGACAGGAGAAACTTCGGTTGCAGTCGCAAGTGAGTTGTTACCTCCTCTCTTATGACTAATTTGCTACGACATCCCTTTTAAGCAACAACCTTTCTCAATACATACACCCATGCAAAGCGAAAACCTCCTCTATTATTCAGAGTTGTGGCTGCGGTATGATTTTTTTTGCAATTTGTTATTGTCTAGCTTGAGAGTGCCTTGAAGATGGCAGAATCTGCTCGGGGATCACTTAATGCTGAGCGCGCCAGTACAAGAGCTTCTTTATTGACCGAGGATGGAATCAAATCTCTTCAGCTTCAGGTAAAGTTGGGTTATTCGATATCTGATAACATATGAACTAATGATCTAATTAGTCTTTGTATTGGTTGGGTTGATACTATTTTCATTTTCTGACTTTAAATTCTCCTTGCAGGTTAGTGAGAGGAACTTGCTCCGTGAAAGCAACATGCAACTCAGGGAGGAAAACAAACACAATTTTGAGGAGTGTCAGGTTCGTATGTAACCTTTCTTTATGTCCCTCGAATGACTGAACTACATTCCACTACCTGATTTTGTTAGCGATCTTAGAGAAAGCTGATAAAAAATTTTAAACATCAGAGATTGCGTGAGGTAGCTCAAAAGGCTAGGATGGAATCTGAAAATTTCGAAAACCTATTAAAGAAAAAGCAAACAGAGTTGGACTTGTGTATGAAAGAGATGGAAAGGCTAAGGATGGAGACAGATCTTCACAAAAAGAGGGTTGATGAGGTACGTCATTATAAACTACTTGCGTCATATATTTATGGGCTCATACTTACAGTTACTTTTTGCTACTGGTTCATACTTACAATTACTTTCTTGCTTTGTGAAGTTGCGGGAGACGTACAGAAACATTGATGTTGCTGACTACAATCGCCTCAAAGATGAAGTGCGGCACCTAGAGGTATGCCTATAAAGAAAATATGACGGTGTCGGAATTCCTGCAATAGTTGAGGTTTTTTCCAAGGGTGTGCATGGATAAGATATCCCTACCATTTCACTATATTTGTTGTCGTGAAATTAGTTACAATGTCAATGTAGATGATACCATGTCTGCTGAAGGTAGTTAGTTCTTGCTCCTAGATCCCAACTGGTTAAAGAACATAAGGTGCTTTATCTATTTGATATCGGGATGGTCAATGAAACATGTGTGGGATGCCCTTTGAGAGAGCCTCTTTGTCTCCTAGTTTGGGACTACTCCCTAACTTGTAACATACTCTCTAAATTTCCTCCTCCTCGCTGGAACACCCCAACTCTATGTTGATTTCCACAGTTGCATTATTGATCATCAATCGCATATAGAATTCTAGTGTACGATAATTGTCATTTTGGCTGATGAGAATTTTTGGTGAAATCTCTGTTAATAGTGTCTGAGTGATATTGTTAATATTGTCTCATTATGGCTTCGATAATTTGTTGAATTTGAATTCTTGGCGTCCCACTGGTCTTTAGCACTGCTTTTCATTTAAGTTCTTATATCCTTTTTGACGCCATGATATGACTTTTAGGAGAAACTGAAAGCAAAAGATGCTCATGTTGAAGATTCTAAGAAACTTCTGTCGGAGAAGCAGAATAAGATATCTCTTTTGGAGAAGGAGCTAACTAACTGCAAAAAAGATCTGAGTGAGAGGGAGAAGAGGTTAGATGATGCTCAGCAAGCACAGGTAGAGTGAGAACTATCTCGCTGAGTGCATTTTAGCTTTTACATGTTGAAGAAGTACTATCCCATGTAGATATATTCATCTCTCTCTGTTACTTATTGTAGGCTACTATGCAGTCAGAGTTCAATAAGCAGAAACAAGAGTTAGAGAAGTACAAGAAAATTCAATCTACTCTGAATATTACCAAGGTTCGAATGCATCATTTTTTTTGTTTAACAACTTCTTCTAGATGTTTTTCTTTTAACATAGCGAGTTTTTATTATGTCATGAAGAGAAAATACGAAAAAGAGAAGGAGGATTTGAGCAAACTAAACCAGTCACTCTCTAAACAGTTGGACGAAGCCAAAGAGGGTAACTATTTTTTTTTTTAATCCGGTTAGATACGTTTATGTTGGTATCTGCTCATGTTTTCTATTGCTGCCAAAAGCTGGAAAGAGAACAACAACAGATTCTGCGGTGGAGCAGGCCGTTAAGGAGAGAGAGGAAAAAGAACACAGAATTCAGGTATTAAAAACCGTTTTAGTTCTGCTTTCATGTGTTTCTGTGTGTTTCTGTAACCCATATGTGAAATTTTACTGCAGCTTATGGATAAGTATGTTCATACACTGAAGGACGAGGTGAGGAAAAAAACCGAAGATTTGAAGAAAAAGGATGAGGAGTTAACCAAAGAGAGATCAGAACGCAAGTCTGTTGAGAAGGAAGTTGGAGACTCCTTGACCAAAATTAAAAAGGTTCGCTACATTCCAGCCTCACTTGTGTGTCTCTTGTTACTCACTTCTTGTAGGAATTGTTGGAAACTTTATACTGCAGAGTCTCCACTTTGAAAACCTTCACCATTTACGTTGTATAGTCATACGTTCCCTATCATCTGTTTCTCAGGAGAAAACAAAAGTGGACGAAGAGCTTGCTAAGCTCGAGAGGTATCAGACAGCATTGGCCCATCTCTCTGAAGAACTGGACAAATTGAAGCAAGCAGATGGCAATCTCCCTGAGGTAACAAGTTTTATGTCATTTGGATGTATATGTGTGTTTTCTATAAGGTAAAAAATTATGATTATTTTACCGGTGTGTTCTAAACTCTTTTGTTTTTCATAGGGTACTTCAGCTGTCCAGGTTCTATCTGGAAGCATATTGAATGACCAAGCCGCCGCTTACGCGTCAGCTGTAGAATACTTTGAACGTGTGGCTCGTTCTATTGCCATCAATTCTCAAGTCAGCACAAAGCCTACTGATATGGTGACTGAATCTTCCTCTGGCACTCCTGCTGGTAATCTAAAAGCACACCCAAAAACCTACCAAATTGTGATATATATTTTTTTTATCCCAGTGTAAAGTGACAAAATTAATCTTTGGCGCAGCTGAGCCTTCAACCATGGCGAGAGTCCCTTCTTCAACACCTTTAAAAGCTCCGGTGGCAACTACCCAGCAGCCACCCAAAGTAGCGTCAGACAACAAAGAGAAGAGGTTGACTCTACAGAAACCAAGCACTGAGTTCCGTAGACCAAGTAGTAGGAGGATTGTTCGTCCCCAACTTGTCAAACCTGAGGAATCTCCCAAAGTTGATGTTGATATGCCAGAAGCTGAGGGAACTGGTGATGAAGGAAAACAGTCTGCAGCCCATGAAACAGAGAGCCAAGTGACTACATCTGTACGGCCTGTTCAAACACATGTCCGTAAACGCCAGGCTGATTCGTTGGTTTCTGAGCCACAACAAGATAGTCTGACTCGAGGGGAAACCAGTTCTGAGATTGCACCACCTGCGTCAAAGAAGGCAAAAGGATCTGAGTCACAACCTGATGCTTCCGAAGGTGAAAACCTTGCAAAAGAGCCAGCCATAGACGAATTGATGGATGCTACAACTACAGCTGATGGTGACAATGAAGAAACAGAAGCCGAGAATGCAGAGGAGAAAGCAGAGGAATCTGTAGAAGCACAACAAGAAAATGAAGCTGATGAACCAGTGGAAGAAAATCCAACTGAGACAGAAACCATCCCTACGGAAGAAGAGTCTAGGGATCAGACCGAACAAGAGAACCAAGAGCTTATTACAGATATGGAATCTGATAAGGAAGAAGGAGAGCTCGATCTAGATACACTTGAAGATCTGGACGAGGGTTCAGATGTAGCAAACATGATGAGGAGTCCAGAGAAAGAAGAAGTGCAACCTGAGACGCTAGCTACACCCACACAGTCACCTTCTAGGATGGAGACAGCAATGGAGGAAGCTGAAACAACCATTGAGACACCGCTTGAAGATGATAAGACCGACGATGGAGGTGATGCAGCTGAAGAAGCCTCTGATATACCTAACAACGCTAATGATGAACAAGAAGCACCAGAAACTGATATCAAGCCGGAGACCTCAGCAGCTACAACCTCCCCTGCATCTACCGCTCTAACAACTTCCTCTACTCAAGCGTCTGCTATTACTTCAAGCGGAGCTCCAGAAACAGAAGAAACTAAAAGAGCGGCGTCACCAGGTGGTGGAAGTTCAACTATTGTGACACTAGCTGATAGAGCAATAGCGAAAAGACGAGAAAGAATAGCCAATATAACAGCAACTGGTCGAGCTCCTAATCCAGCCACCAGAGGAACTCGTGGTCGAACTGTAAACCTCCGAGGAGGTGGTCGATTGCTGACTCGTGGTGGTCGAGCCCCACGTGGTGGACGTGGACAATCCCCGAGCCCACCGTGATTTTGGTGGGTATGGTTGAACAATTAGACTTAGCCAAGCAGGCTCCTTGAAGAGAGAGTTTAAAACGGTAGAGAAACTCATTTCATGTCTAAACCTCTTTTTTCTTTTTGTATCCCGGTTTTCTTATTTCACTATAAAATCAAACCCTATCATTTTTGCCAATGATTACAAATTGCAAAACATATCATAAACACAAATTCACAAAACCCAAAAAAAAAAAAGTGAAGAAAAACCCAACATTGCACCATACAACGAAACAATACAACAAGAAGCCAACTCGCTTGTAATAAAAATCAAAGCAATCCGAAACAATCGGACGGTTTATATTAATCCTTAAAAAAACCAAATAAAAAACACTACATGTTCTTCTAGTTAGTTCACTGTCCCGGTTAACTCTGTGTTTCCCTCTTTGACTGTATTAGATATCTCCATTGTTTTGAAATCAGCAACCAAGTCTTCTTCTTTCTTCTGTTATCAAAGACATAAGAGCATTCTCGTTAGATTACAATACATAGAACTAAAAGAGGATGATTGAGAGACATAAAGAGGAGAAATTCATTACCTTTAATACAGGAGGGAACCTTAGCTTCTTCTGTACCATAACCTTCTCTCTGTTTTCATAAAAATCAAAATCATCTAATATAGATGTCTTTGCTACATAGTTCTTGAATATGTTCAACACTTCATTCCCTTGTGGCAACCTCACCTATATATGAAGGACAGTGTTTAAACAGTATGAGATGAAATTAGCTCTTGATAATGATTCACTTTCTTAAGCCTATAAAAAAAAACTATGTTACCTACCTCTTGTGTGTCTCTGCTATTGGTAACAGGCTTGTTCTCATTGTTCTCTAGTATGATATGTCGTAATTGCGGATTTGGAACATCTTTGATGATGTGCCACTTGACCGGAAAATAGCCAGTCCACTTATCTTGTTGCCAGAACTCCATGCTTTTCTCATAATCAACTCGTCCCATCATCTCAGCTACACCGCAGAATTGGCCACTTGCATTCACCTGAATCCAATAAAACCGATCAGAGACCAAGAAGACGCCGCAAAAATGAATACGAATATAGGGAAAAATCCTATTTGCATACCGAGAAGAATAGGAAAACCGGGCACTTTCCACTTTTGTCTGCAACCTTCTTCTGAGATTCTTGATATGCACTGTCTAACTTCTTGTTCCCATTGAGAGTACTAGACCAGACATTGTACTTGATGCTCTTGTGTATGTCGTCTTCGCTATACGATTTTATCACAAAAAAGATTGCTTCGTCGTATTTGGTCTGAAAGCTAGGGAGGTTATATTGATCCCTTCTGATCACAGAACCAACACCGTTGCTCCTTTCATTCCCTTCAGCATCCAACGAGCAGGACACACATTCTCCATTGGTAATATGATCTTGACTGTTTGCTAAGTCATTTACGCTATTACCATTTTCTTTGTTCCTCGCTTTCGCCTTCTCTGTTTCATCCCGATTCAAAGTTCCAGACTTTTTCTTTACCGGGTCCATCGGGTAAGCAATTCTTCCTCTTTCTTGGTTATGCAGTGGGAGTGGGGCATAGCTGTTCTGTAATGCCAATAGCATCAACCCAAAAAACAAAGAAACAGATGAGTCAAATCTCTTCAGATAATGCGAAAGAGAGGAGAATTAACGAGGGAAAATATTACTTTTCGCGGTGTTTTAGGACGATCTCCCATGCCGTGGCCCGTGAAGGAGTTCTTGCTCTTTGAGTAATAATTGTTGTGATTATGACTTGAAGAAGATATGTTCTGTTTCAAGGGTGGGGTATTTGAAGCAACACCATACACATACTTGTCTCCAACAGGGTCCCATAAATAGGTCGGCGATGCAACGTCTCCATAACCAAATTGGTTCTGATAATAACCTTGAGCTGCATATATCGGCGAATGAAGTGCTTGACTCGAAACACCAACCGGGCTTATAGGCATATAAGTTTGACTCGCATCATAAGATTGAAACCCTGGCATCAAGTAGATCAAAGATCCATTTTCCCCTTGCATAACCTTAAAATCAAGATCAACAAAATGGTCAGTTAAAAAGTTCGAGTCACCGGGTGAGTAATTCATTCTCTTCTTGACAAGGAAGTTTTGATTACCGGGTACTGAACTTCTGTTCCATAACCATAGTATCCATTATCCTTTACTTCACCAACTGAACCATCAAGACCTGTAAAAGCACGTTAATTCAGAAGTATGAACATCAAAAAACAGAATTGAAATATATTATATATTTTCAGTGTGTGAAAAGAAGAAAAACCTGGATAGTAGAATCCATAGTAGCCACCATAAGGACAAGGCAGGCCTTGATATGTCTCAAGAGTTTCATAATATGATGGCTCTGACTGATTCTTATTCTCTTTTGCAGAAACCTTTAATGTTTCAAAACAACAGGAACACAAACACATACTGAGAAATCATCCTAAGAACCAAAAAAAAATCAATCATCTGTAATAAACAAAGAAGAGAGAATCTTAATTACCACGGAAGTGGTGGAGGCAGTGACCTTAGTAAGAGGATCCACTTTAAGATTCTTCACCATATCTTCAATGGCTGAAACAAATTAAAAAAACGTTCTCAAAGTGATCAGATTCTGAAATCAACAAAGAAACAAGATCAATACACAGACATATATATGTATAAAGTAGACACAAACATTAGTAATGGCTTTATTTTCTTATCGATGTGAAGAGACAGGTTTGAAACGTGAACTGATGTCTGAATATTTAGTCGTACCGATACAAACTAACAACTAGGCGTGACTGATTTATATATATTGATAGTTTATTATTGAAGATAAGACATATGAGTCTAATCACAAGAAACAGAGCACATATATATATTTACAAACACCCACACACAGGATTCAGATAAAGGTCAAGCGCAAAAGTTAAAAAGACTTGTAAGAAGAACACAGATTAAACACGTGTGTGTGTGCGCGAAAGAGAGAGAGAGTATACATTTACGAGGATGTTTTGAAACATGAGAAGTCATCTACGAAGAAGTAGTAAAAGAAATTTATGTGTTTGATTAAGACAAAAAGACGAAAAAATCAAAACACAGATGAAGAAACCAAACCTCGAGTTATCTGTTTTGCAGAGGGTTTTGAAGTTCTCAAGAATTCTTTAATTAGAAAAAACAAAAGCTGTAGAAAATCTGTTAAATCAAGAAGAAAACATCAACAAAAGATATATTTTATTTTTATGTTTGAAAACAAAGTACAGATACGTAACAGAGAAAAACAGAGAGACGAGAGAGAGAGAAGAAATGGTAAATGGCTTACGAAGAAGAAGAAGAAGAAAGAAGAACAGAGTTTTTTTTTCCTTTTTTCTTTTGCAATCCTTCTTATTTATTTTAGATGCAAATATATAAAAAAATAGAAATTAAAAAAGAGGTTGAGAAGAGGTACAGATGGAGGGAAGAGAATGGACCACGTCATGGATTCTTGATATGAACGAAGATTGACCGTTAGATTAGACGACAAGGCAAAAAACTAAAACATCTTTTATTGCCAACTTTTCCATCTGGAATCTATTCTTAACACAACTCTCTTCAAAGTGCTTCTTCAAAAAGTTATTAAAAAAAGAGAATCTTAATTTGGCATTAACTAACACAATTAACTCTATATATATAAAAAATATTCATATGAATATATATTCTATGGAAAAAAATGAAAGTTAGGACCAGTTCTTATGGTCGGGCAAACTATAAAAAGCACAGAATATAATATAAAATAGTTGAAAATATATGGATTTGACTCTGCCTCTGCCTCTCTCTCCATGTATCCTTGAGTCCGAGCAATACCACACAAAAAAAAAACTATATTTTCCATTAGAAATGATTTATTATTCGATGAGTTTTGCCACTTTTTAAAAAGTTTTCTCAACCATATTAATTAATTTCTCTTGTGTAATAAAATTAAAAATATTCTTTGATGAAAAGAGATGAACAATTCCTATACGCTACAGTTGTTGTTGGATTTTTTAGTTTTAAAAAAATGTTATTTAAGATTGTAGATTGAGATCTCATACTATTGAGATATAGTTCCATTATTGCAATCTGAGTTTTCTTTTAAAATTTGTATCATTAGGTGTCAAGTGGCCCATTCATTTGTGTACACTTACATATGCATCTATATTACTATGTTCCCCACCAAAATCCAGATCTAAACTCATATAAAAGACATCCATAAGTTTTAACTATCCTTGAAAATGAACACTCCTAAAATTTAATTTCTCTCTATTAGATTGGGACTAATCTACATATAACATAACTTTATTTGAATAAAAGGGTGTTTTTTTCTTCATTTGTATTATATCCAAAGTAGATATTGCTTAGGGATCAAGTATAGTAATTGTCAACACCACATAAGAAGCCAAATAGCCAAAAAAGAAAAGAAACACCATATGAAACTATTTAATACAATAATCCAAATTTATGGAGCTTAAGAGAATTACAAGGTGCCACGTTTTGTCATTGCCGTGGCCTAAACGTGTCTGCTTCACATCTATATGATTTTATTTCTTTTGTTTTCTTTTCCGTCTTTTATTATATTTTTGTATTAAATCTCTGTTGTTATATGTGATTACGTATGTATAATAAGTTTATAAGATCGCATCTACAATTATTACACCAAATCTATATAATTGTAGTGACTTAATCTTACTTTAATCGGTTGACTTTGCGTCGATAATAACTTGGGTGTTCATCTTATAATTTCTAAAATGCATTTGCAATGGTATAAAAAGAAAATAAATATTGGGACAATCCTGTAATTATTGAAAGTTATTGTAGTCAATTAGAATATCATTAATATTGAGCCTTCAGATGCTAAATTTGTACGTATTAGGCCTTATTAGACAGGCACTAATGGGCCTATTTACTGTTATCAAGAAAAGCCCATATAATGGGCCTCTTCACTGTTATCAAGAAAAGCCCAATTAACTTTCGAATTGTCATCATCTTCTTAATTCTGCTTACAAAAAACAAAACAAAACAAAAACCAAAATCTTACAAAGAGTACCAATGTTGTTACAGTGTGATTCTAAAGACAAAAGCATTAAATCGGTCGTGAGAAATTGGCAGGTTTCGATTTCAAAGCTTATCGAGAATGGCTTTGAGATGTGGTTGAAGAAGAGGGTTTGTGGTTGTACTCATATGAACCACGTACGATAGTTTTCCATTAACCAATTCAAATTCTCTACTTATCTCCTTCACCTGTTGGAGAAGACAAAACCAAAATCACCAATTAGAAATAAAATTAAAAAAAGTTGTGTGCAGAGACAGAGGAATTGAATTAAGAACTACGAAAGTTCATCTGAAACCTTTGATGCGTTTCCCACGAGATCACTATTGAGTTTGATTGATTGTTCATCTACATTGAAAGTTCCTTTCTGAGATCAGAGAAACAGAAACATAAGATATGATTTTAAAAGGTTATGGTTACAGATCTAAGGGAAATTTGAATTTTTACCTGGACTTCGACGAGACCTGTGCTCTGAGCTATGACGACTTCAATGGAACCATCTGGCTTTGGACGAAAGTAACCACTCTCGGCGTGCATCGGAGCTCCTGATTCCAATTTCCATGTCTTTTGCGTATACGATATCACCGGCTACACAAACAACAGTGACTGTTAGCCATCTCGAATCTATCCAATCAATTAGCTTCGAATTCGATTAGTAATCGTGATTTTGGTAAGAAGAATGAATCGGAGATCTGATTGGTTACCTTGCCGGAATGTGAGAAACGGAGCTCTTCGCCGTAGCGGAAAGAAGGTATAGTTGGATATTCACCTTCTCCTTGTCCTCTCCAAGTTCCCAGTAGATACGACAACGGCGCTACGAAAGGGTGCACCGGCGGCGATTCCGCCGGAATTGACCGTGGGTTTTCGAGTTCTTGCAGCTGATTCATCGCCGGAAATAGCAATTTTCTCTGGACTGATTATCAGACTCGCGTGATGATTGGTTAATATGCTAAAGCTGCCTACAGGCCCAATAATATTAGGCTATGTTCTGGGCCACTGGGCCTAAACTTTTTTTTTTTTTAAATCGCTATAATGAATTCACTCATATTCGAACTTAACATAAATGGTGGGTTCGTTGAAAAACATTAAATAAATAGTGGACTCAAAAACTAAAAACAGATTGAGGTGTTCTAAGATTAGTGTTTAGGGGTAATTATGTTTATGTATACTATCTAAAGGATATTCTGTTGTGAAAGCATTGAATCACTGGTACACCAATTGATATAATTTTTGGAAGATATTATTGATAGCAAACTAATTTGATTATTTTTGTTGGGTGAAGAAAGATATAAGAGATAATTAAGGGGACATCACAATTTCCTTTGTCTTGAAATTCAGACCATTTCCTCCCTCCACTTCTCCACTTTCTTTGGAACTCATAAGATACTTTTTCTCCATCCATTTCTTTTCCTCTCTTTTCTTAATTAATCACTGTCTTTTTCCCTAATTTCCACCTTCTTTCTTCATTCCAAGACAAACTCATATGTTCACCAAAAAAAAAACAAAATTGAACAAAAAAAGAAACACACACCATAATCTTAAAAACTAATCAATAATATATAGAAGTTTTTTTTTTTCTTGTAAAATTTTTGATCAAAATCCTTAATGGCTTCCGAAAACTTCAGACGTGGAAGGTAAAAATGCTGCAATCTTCTGCTCCATTTCTTTTTAATTTTCCCTGCCAAAACAATAACTATATATACATACGTACCTCGACGTGCAGACCAATCCTTTTGCTAGATTCTATTCACAAGACATGAGGAAGGGCTTTAACATTCGTGACACCAAGTAATGTCCCCATATATGATAAAGGAACTCAACCCATATTGACCCCTTTTTTTAACAATAAAAACTTTAATAAGCAGGTTTCTCTGATTTGGGAGACTCGCTGGCGATGTTAACGAAGCCCGGAAAGAAGCTTGACTCTTCAGAGGTATACGAGTCTCGTCTTGATAATGAACGGAATTTGCATACCTACTTGCAGTTTGAGATCTTATCTTTTCTTTTTCTTATTCTTGTGCAGCCAAGTCACCATGTCTCGTCCTTGGGGCCAAAAGAATCAACTCATCAGACAACGAGTTCGAATTATCCACCGTTAGATATTGTTCATCAAACTCCACAACCACGTAAAGAGATGCAACAAAAGCCATTGTTCGATCACAAGAAGATGGATAATCTTATAAAACCAGAGCCATCTGGGTTCAGCAATCATCACCGTCCAATCCCTAGTCCAAAAATCCCATCCTCACCTGGTTCCAGCATGGCCGAGTCACAATCAAACCTAAACACCAAACCAGGCAACAACAACAGTAACAACAATAGCAATATGAGTTCAAGAAGCAACAGCATTGAGAGCACTTCCTCTAATCCCTCTAAGCCACACACAGGTGGTGACATAAGGTGGGATGCTGTGAATATGTTGACCTCCAAAGGAGTCCAGCTCGGTATCAGCGATTTCCGGCTTCTTAAACGGCTCGGTTATGGAGACATTGGGAGTGTTTACCTAGTCGAGCTCAGAGGAACCAACACCTATTTTGCCATGAAAGTGATGGACAAAGCTTCCTTAGCTAGCAGGAACAAGCTGTTGCGAGCTCAAACAGAGCGAGAGATCTTGTCTCAGCTTGATCACCCCTTCCTGCCCACTCTATACTCACATTTTGAAACAGATAAGTTCTATTGCTTGGTCATGGAGTTTTGTGGTGGTGGTAATCTCTATTCCTTGAGACAGAAGCAACCAAACAAATGTTTCACAGAAGACGCTGCAAGGTTAGGGAAATCAAATTTACTGCAGTAAGTAGCACAAAAGACAACTATATCGACAATGTTTTTGTATTTTTCTTACAGATTCTTTGCTTCTGAAGTGCTATTGGCATTGGAGTATTTGCACATGCTCGGAATTGTTTACCGTGACTTGAAGCCAGAAAATGTTTTAGTCAGAGACGATGGACACATTATGCTCTCCGATTTCGATTTATCCCTCCGATGCTCCGTCAGTCCAACCCTCGTCAAATCATCCTCTGTTCACGCCGCCGCCGGCGGAAGCGGAAGCAATCGGCCTGTAGGTCTCATCGACGAGGACGCGGCGGTGCAAGGTTGTATCCAACCGTCCACATTCTTCCCGCGGATTCTACAGTCGTCGAAGAAGAATCGAAAAGCGAAATCGGATTTCGGACTCTTCGTTAACGGATCCATGCCGGAACTCATGGCTGAGCCAACGAACGTTAAATCAATGTCATTCGTCGGAACACACGAGTATTTAGCACCGGAGATTATCCGTGGTGAAGGACACGGAAGCGCCGTAGATTGGTGGACCTTCGGAATTTTCATCTACGAGCTTCTCTATGGAGCGACGCCGTTTAAAGGACAAGGAAACCGTGCAACGCTTCACAACGTGATCGGACAAGCTTTAAGATTCCCTGAGTTTCCTCATGTGAGCTCGGCGGCGAGAGATCTAATCAAAGGATTATTAGTTAAAGAACCACAAAAACGAATCGCTTACAAACGTGGCGCGACGGAGATCAAGCAGCATCCGTTTTTCGAAGGTGTGAATTGGGCGCTGATTCGGAGTGCAACGCCACCACATGTACCGGAACCGGTGGATTTTTCGTGTTACGCAAGCAAGGATAAAGAGTCTATGGCGGCTGTTGACGGCGGCGGAAAGAAAAACAATATCGGTGCCGGAGGTGGTTGCAGCAGTGTCGGCGGTGGTGATAACAAATCTAACGGCGATTGCCATGATCCTGATTACATTGACTTTGAATATTTTTAGCAACTGATATACGTATAATGACTAAAATTCTTCAAACAATTTATGTATACCCTTTTTGTTGTTGTCTTTACATTTCTAGAGAATTTTATTTTTTGATAATTGGTTTTATTCAACCTTTTTATTAGAGCTCGATATGAAGTGTGTAATTTTGAGGGATTTTTTATATATAAATTATGATTTCGTTTCCATTATTTGTAAAAACAAACTGTATATAAATTAAAAGTATCAATTTAAATTTCGAGTCGAAAATTAATTCATGTATTTTTAGAAAAAAATTGCGGATCAATTGGTCAATTGTTTTTTTTTGCTTTTTTTGCTTTTTTTTTTTTTTTTTTTTTTCTGAACTGGACTAGGGCATTGAATGTTTACTAGTTTTTAAGTGGATTTTGGTTTTTAGATTTTTGTTTTTGGATTATGGTTTTTAATTTTTTGGTTTTTGGTTTTTTGCTATAAATATAAAAATTAATAAATAAAAAATAAAAAATAAAAAATGAAACATCATCACGTTGAAAAAAGAAGTTTTCCCCAAAAACCTCAAAATTATGGTTTTTAGTTTCTCTTTGAAATTTGAAGAAACCACTCAAAAACTAGTTTTCCTAAATTTTAGGGAATCTAATTTTTTAAAATCTTGAATGGTAAAAAATTAGATTTTTCCATAAACAAAAATTAAAAACCACTTAAAAACTAGTAACCATTCAAGGCCTAGGTCAACTGTTATCTCTCTTTTCAACAAGACAACAACTGTTATCTCACCAATAAAACCATGCTTAAATTTTTTTTGGTCATCAACCAGATTAAAATATATATTTTGGGGTCAATTAACCATATTTAATTTGAAAAATAAAATAAAGTTAGGAAAACAAAATTTGGTGTAGAAATTGTTGCAAGAATTCGCGTGTGATAATTGAGGCGCCAAGGCCCAAAACATTTAGATATATCTAGTTGGGCCGGGCATGATAGCAAAAAGGAAATAGAAAAGAATCTAAAATAGCAAAAAGGAAATACGTGTTGGAAAAAAGGAAAAAGACAGTCAACGAACGCCAGCTGGACAAAAGTCAAAGTTGTTTGACTACCGACTTTATAAATTTTTAATCTTGACCGTTGAAACTTACATGATCAAATCTAGACCGTCAATTGCTTTCATACCTCATCTATAAATAATGCTCTTCTCTTTCTCAATCTTCATCTCTAACCACATCTTCCTTGCTCTAGATAGTTTTCTCTACGCGTTCGCTGTTGATATTCTTCTAAACGCGTCTCTGATTTTTTTTGAATCGATCATCGTTCCTACTTCTGGGTTTTCACTTTCCATGGATTATTGATTTTTCTAGGGTTTGTTTCTAAATTGCATCGATGGCTTTTTTATGTTCATGCGATTTACTTTTCCCTCTGGCCTCTGCTATTCTAGATTGTGGTTCGATGATTTGATCGTTTGGTGATGGCTTTGATGGATCGTTGTCACGGGTATTATCTACGCAACTAGGTCTTCAGGGGGTGTTTTTTCTCTTTACGCGTCTCTGATTTTTGTTTTCTTCTCTACGTTTCTTATTCGTCTCGAAGGTTTTTTGGAAGCTAATTACGATCCGATCATCGCTTACGATTCTGAATTGTCGTCTTTTACTTATTTACTTCTCGTTCTGTTGTTGTAGATTGTGGATGATGCTATGATCGATCGGTGATTGTTTTTCTGGATTTTTGTCACGCGTTTTCTCTACGGATACGTCTTCAAGCGAATTTTTGATCAGATCTTCGTTCTCGCATCTGAGTTTTTCTCTTTTCACTGATTATTTATTTTTATAGGGTTTGGTTTCTAATTGCATCGAGTGGTCTGTTCTAATCCATATTATTTGCTTCTCGTTTTATTGTTGATTTAGATTGTGGAGGATGCTATGATTGATCGGTGATGGCTTTGATTGATCCTTGTCATGCGGTTTCTTAGGATCTTTTGTCTTTTAACTCCCAATTTTTAATTTCGATGCCGATTTTTTTCTATATAAGCGAAAAATATCATCTCTCTTTGATGTCGATCTTCAAGGCACCGGGATTGCTCTGATAAATATCTCTTCTCGTCTATCATCGATTTAGGTTTCTTCTGATTTCTCGTGCTACATCTTTTTTTATTTTCTATACCTCTGTTCTATTCCGTCTCTGTTTATCTTGAAGGATGTGTGTGATCTGTCGTCGCTCCCTGTTACCTCTTTGGCGGTTTCTTCTTTCCCTTTGCTTCCTTTTTAGAGTTCTTAGATTACCTGATTTCTTTAATATTGGCTATTGTTGGTGAGGTATGATTTTGTCCTCTGTGTCTTGTTGTGTTTTCCAGATTCTCTGCTGTGTACACATTCAGATGAAAGATGAACATATATTCCTTCCAGACGAGTGTTTTTCCTTATAGCTTGTCCTTTTTATATGTAGTTATTCTATTGAACGTCTTCAAGTTTCTCAGTACTGCTATGTCTTAGCTCTTCTCATGTTGGGTTTATCAGGTTTTGTTCCTCTTTGCCTCCGGGATCTGCTGCAATCTGTTTGTTCTAACATACGCCCTGGTTAACTGGTCTATTCTTCTTTCTCTCTGTTGTTGTATGTTAAATCTATTTATAGTGATTGATCCTACTCTCATATGCTTATTACGATGTTTTTTTTTTGTGAAGTGTCCTCCTTCTTTTAGGGTTTTTGAGGATGCAAAGAAGTCTAGTTCTGTCTCAGTTTATTTTGAAAGATGTCTTTGATCTCGGTTCCCTGTTACCTCTTTGGCGGTGTCTTCTATCTCCCTTTGTTTTATTTTTAGGGTTTTGAATTTCCCTATTACCTGATGTTTTTCGTTTTAATTCGTAGAGGTCAAGGCATTGTGGGAGGGATGAATGGTTTTAAGTATAATTTTGTGTTTCTGGTTACTTCTCATCTATACACTTTTTTCCCTATAGATTGTTTGATCTAATATTGGCTATTGTTGGGGTGAGGTATGATTTGTCCGCTGTGTCTGTGTTTCCCAGATTTTCTTCACCAATCACTTCACTCCGTTTCTCTACTGTGTAGAGGTCAAGGCATTGTGGGAGGGAAGGATGGTTTGAGTATAATTTTGTGTTTCTGGTTACTTCTGATCTATACACCTTTTTCCTATAGATTTTTTTATATCTAATATTGGCTATTGTTGGTGAGGTATGATTTGTCCTCTGTGTCTCTGTTTCCCAGATTTTCTTCACCACTTCACTCCGCTTCTCTGATGTGTACACACTTGAAAGATGATCATATATTCCTTCAAAACGAGTTTGTTCTTATGTCTTGTCTTTTTAAGTAGCTTTTATACTGAACGTTTTCAAATATATTAGGATATCTATCTCTGACTTCCTGAGGTTTGGACTGTGCCATCAGGGAGTTTTCAACATTTCTTGCTATTTGATGTTTCAGGTTAAAAGTAGATCTTCCTAGTGATGTTGGATTTTCTGTCCTTCTATTCCCAATTTTTAATTCCTGTGCCGATTTTTTTCTTCTATATAACCGAAAAGATCATCTCTCTTTGAGGCAGATCGTCGAGGCACCGCAATTGCTGTGAGAAATATCTCTTTTGTCTGTCAATTATTTAGGTTTCTTCTGATTTCTCGTGCTTTTTTTTTTCCCTGTTTACAACCACAATTACCTCTGTTCTATTTCGTCTGTGTTTATCTTGAAGGACCTGTTGATCTGTCGTCGCTCCCTGATACCTCTTTGGCGGTTTCTTCTTTCCCTATGCTTCCTTTTTAGGATTGTTAGATGACCTGATTTCTTTTCTTTTCTGATTTTTTGGAAAAATTTCCATGTTAGATCGTAGATGTTCAAGGCATTGTTGGAGGGAGGATGGTTTGAGTATGATTTGGTGTTTCTGGTTTCTTCGCATTTATACACCTTTTTTTGCCTTCTAATTGTTTTATTTAATATTGGCTATTGTTGCTGAGGTATGATATTTTCGTTTGTGTCTTGTTGCATTTTCCAGATTCTCTTCATCAATCAATTCACTTTGTTTCTCTGCCGTGTTCACATTCAGATTGAAAGATGACTATACATTCCTTCCAAACGAGTTTTTTCTTATATCTTGTCCTTTTTATAAGTTGTTTTTCTATAGAATGACTTCAAGTTTCTCAGTACTAACATGTCTTAGCTCCTCTCATGTGGTTTATTCAGGTTCCGTTCCTTTTTGCCTCCGGGATCTGTTGCAAGATGTTTGTTCTAACATACTCCCTGGCTAACTGGTCTATCCCTCTTTCTCTCTGTTGATGTATGTTAAATCTTTATAGTGTTTGATCCTACTGTCATATGCTTGTGACGATGTTTTTTTTATATGTTAAGTGTCCCCCTTCTTTTAGGTTTTTTGAGGATGCAAAGAAGGCTAGTTCTGTCTGAGATTATTTTGAAAGATGTCTTTGATCTGTCGTGGTTTCTTGTTACCTCTTTGGCGGTGTCTTTTCTCCCTTTGTTTTATTTTTAGGGTTTCTAATTACCTGATGTTTTTCTTTTCTAACTGTTGGAGAAATTTTCGTTTTAGATTGTAGAGGTCAAGGCATTGTGGGAGGGAAAGATGGTATTTGTATAATTTTGTGTTTCTGGTTACTTCTCATCTATACACCTTTTTTCCTATAGATTGTTTTATCTTATATTGGCTACTGTTGGTGAGGTATGATTTGTCCTGTGTGTGTTTCCCAGATTTTCTTCACCAATCACTTCACTCCATTTCTCTACTGTGTAGAAGTCAAGGCATTGTGGGAGGGAAGGATGGTTTGAGTATAATTTTGTGTTTCTGGTTACTTCTCATCTATATACCTTTTTCTTATAAATTGATTTATCTAATATTGGCTATTTTTGGTGGGCTATGATTTGTCCTCTGTGGCTCTGTGTCTGTGTTTCCCAGATTTTCTTCACAAATCACTTCACTCCGTTTCTCTGCTGTGTACACACTTGAAAGATGATCATATATTCCTTCCAAACGAGTCTGTTCTTATGTCTTGTCCTATTTAGTAGTTTTTGTACTTAACGTTTTCAAATATCTTAGGATAAATATCTGAGCTCCTCTGATGTAGAAGGCTTGGCCTGTGGTCTTTTCAGGTTTTTGTTTCTCTTGCCCTTTAGATAATTCAGCAATCTGTTTTATTGTTTACATGCCAAAGGCCCTGTCTTTTGTTATAGATATTCGAGGTTCTAAAGAGAAAAGCTTCAGGTTTACTAAATAGATTCTGTCCCCTTTATCTCTGTTGGTGTTATCTCTCATGCTACATCTATATTAGTGATGGCTTGTTTTTATGTGAAGTGCTCCGCTCCCCTTGTTTATAGGTGGTATGTTGAGGATGCAAAGGATGCAAGTTCTATTTTGATTTATTTTCCTCGAAATTTTCATCTACAGTCTTTGTCTTTTCCTTGGAGATGTCTCTATTTCTGATTTTATGCTCTAAATGCTAATCACTTCGGCTTGAGATCTTCTCTTTCTATATGAATTCATTATCTTCATTTAGGAATTTGGAAGATGCAAGGACAAGTTCTGCTTCGACCTGTTCGCCTAGATTCCCATATATCTGTGCATCGGGAGTTATGCTAATCAATTCTACAGGCTGCCTCAATAGGGATGGAATTGGAATCTAGGGATGGAATTGGAGAGATTCCATCTTTGGTTGATTCAGGTGTCATTTGTGAATTACTATTTTTATAGTTTTCTGGGTATTCAAGAGAAGTAAGCTAGAGTTTCCTTGATGTGTGGTTATTACGCCTCTGTCTATTTGTGAATTACTATTGTTATAGGTTACTGGGTATTGCTTTGAGGTCCTCACTGGTTGCCTTAAGGGTATGATCTCAATTGGTATGTTTCATTTTTGTGTTATTATTTCACCTGTGTGTGTCTTATTGTGTTTTCCAGGATTTCTTCATCAATCACTTTACTCCGATCCTCTGCAGTATACTCGCAGTCAGATTAAAGATGATCACTAATTCCTTTTAAATGGGTTTGTACTAAGTAGTTTTTGTATTGAACATCTTCAAGTCTGTTAGGATTGTTCAAGTCTACGCACCTCTTATGCAGAAAGCTAGACATGTTGTTATTCAGGTTTTTGTTCCTCTTTCCTTTTTGGATCTTCCGCAAAATGTTGATTCATACTAACTGGATTTTGAAGTGTGTTTCCTTTCCTGTGCTTTCGACTGCAATAGTGGGTTTCACATGATTACTTGTCATTGGGTGTTTCCCGTCAACAGAAATATTCCTCATCTTCCTAGTGATGCTGGCATTTTTTCTTATGCCTGATAGTCTTTCACTAAGTGTTAATCATAGATATTTCAGGTTACTACTTGGTCTCTTCCGTTGTTTATCCCATTTGGATTTTTAGGCAACTGAGGGATGGATTTTTATTTGCAATTTTTTCTGATACCTGTGATGTTTTTTGTCTTATTTCATGGAGATGTAATCTGCTTTCGTTCCCCTTATCTGTTTTTGCCTTTTTGGTTATGCAGTCTGCATCTTTTCTATGGTTTTACGGTAATCTCTTCTGCTTGAGATGAAATCATTATCTTCACATAGGAGTTTGGATGTTGCAAAGTGGAAGTTCTGTTTTGGCCTGCTTGCCAACATTCCCCTGTATCTGTACATCATGAGTTTATGAGGTGGCTTATTTCTGTTGTTATCTATAGTGTTGATTGCCGAGGAAGGAAAAACAAGTTTCAACCTTCTGCGTGGTTGTCTCAACAGAGATGAACTTGAAGGTTCCATCTCTGGTGGATTCAGGTGTTTTGAGCTACTCTTCTTTTGCGTTTTGATTCTTAGTTTTCTTTGGCTAGGAAATACTGCGTCTCTGTTGAATAGTGAATTACTTCTGACTGTTGTAGTTTACTGGGTTTCCAAGAAAAGTGAGCTGCCACCTCCATACAGTTGCCACAAGGAATTGTTTCAATTGACGGTGTCTCATCTTCTTCCTTGTTTCTGATTTTAGGAGGCAATTTTTTTCTCAGAGTTTATGCTGTTTATTATGGTTGCATTGTATTTTGCTACTCAGTGAGTAAATATATGTGCTGTAGATATCAAGGATCCAGTACATTTACTTTTGTGTTGGTCTGTTTCTCCAACAAGACAAGGTAACGCTGAAGGTTCTGAGTTTTGCTCTTCGGTTTTGTTTTGTAAACGTTTTTGTTCTGGTCTCTCTTCTATTTAATAGTCTCTGGGGATTAGTTGGCCGTGATGGTGGAAGCTCTGTAGGTTTACTTCTCTACCATACTTGGTCTACCGATTTGAAGATTTGTCTTTTGTACCTTTGATGATGATTCTCAGTTTTGCAGCAATGTTTCAGTTTTGCGCCTTCTAGTCATTAACTGCCACAATGAGATCTTTAGTGTTTTTGTAGGTACTTTCACACTTGTTAGAAATGTTATGATTAATCATGCTAGCGGGACATCAGATTTGTTGCCGTTCTCAGAATTTGGTAGGAATGAATCTTGTGATTCTATGGAACAGATGTCATTGTTTATATTTGATAACATAAGTGATTCTTGCTGGTAGTGTGACCTCTTGAGGGCAGGCTAATAGAAGGTGAAGAGCCTCTTGGTTTTGATGATAATGCTCCCTACTTCTGACTTCTGAGGTTTCTTTCTTCCTGGGTTGTAGCTGGTTTTAATGGTTCTGTAGACATTTGATAATGAAGTCCTCACTACATTTTGTCTGGGTCATGTAATATGTTATCAGTGGATTTCAGGTGAGGCTTAATCTCATGGATTATTCTTGTGGAATGCTCCCAGTTAATCAGTGAAAATTGAGAAAATGACCTTACTTCTGGTGAAGAAGTTGATTGCAATATATTGTTGGATTGTTACCTCCAACTCCAAATCCTAGTTCCTTTCTTCCTTGGACATACATATTGGTTAGATTATGCAAATAAGCTGTTATGTGGCTTGTAGGTCAAGGCTTGCTTGAAATTCCTGATGGTCTCCTGACACTATACATAACCTCCGTTCTGGTTACTTTTATTCACCTTCTACGACTGGGGAAGTGATGTTTCCTCAACTCCTCATCTCTTGAACCTTAATTTGCCCTGTCACACATTGAATCCTATTTTTGGGTTGCAGTTTGTTAAGTTTTAATGGGAAGCATTGTCTTTGGAGTTGTTCACTGAAGTTGATTTAAAATCATGAACTTGTTTTTCATGGGAAGCACTTTCTTTGGAGTTTACAGAAGTGCCTATGCTGTTTCAGTATTCGAGGTTCGCTTTTATTTGCCAGTCGTTCCTTGTTACTTTTTTTGCTTTTGGGGTTCTTACTGGCCTTTCTTTTCTCTGGTTCATGTATTACTTGATGCAAGTCTTGACACTTTGCTGAGATTTGACCAAACTCTTTTTCATTCATGTTTGTTAGGACTGCTAAGTATGAACTCCTCTGACGCGGAAGGCTCGACATGTGGAAATCAGTTTTTACTGGTATTCCTAGTACTCTGGGACTTCTATCTATGCAAAATATTGTCTTGTTGTTATAGAAAACCATAAGGTCACTATTTGTAATTTCAGTGCCAGAACTATTCCAGACCTTTATCTTGTGTTGGTGATTAGTGTTGCTCATATTCCACCTACTGAAGGGAGTTTGCTATATGGTACGGATGACATTTGTCTTTATTTATGTGATTAATATAAGTCGTACTTGTTGATATTGTGGCCTCTTGGGGACTCATTGAAGGTAGAAAATGTCTTTATTTTGGTGATAATGCTCCTTATTTTTGAGGTTGGGCGGTTTTATTGTGAAAAATGAAATGAATGTCTGCTCTTGTTATATTGTTGTTTGCTATTGATCGCATGTTGTTGGTTTAGTTCGGGAGAGGTTTAAACTTGTGGCCTTGTTGCGTAGTGTTCTCAGTTTAGTCAGCGATGATTGAGTGAACTTACTGCTGATGAAGAAGTTGATTGCAATATGTTGCTTGCAGGTCAAAGTTTGCATACTGACACCGGTTTCAATGAAATTACTGATGTACCTTTTTGTTTAACTCAGAGTTGCTTTGACTTGGCCTCTACAATCTCGCAAGTGATGTTTTCTCAACTCTCACTGTTCCAACCTTGAGGAGGCTCATATTGGTTTGTCACACATTGAAGTCCACGCTGGTGTTGTAGTTTGTGAAGTTTTCATGGGAAGCAGCATTGTGGTTGGAGTAGACCGAAGTTGATTAATGTTTGTTTGATTAGTGATATTGTTCACTTATCGACTTTTGTATGTAATTTATTCTCTGAGGGAATTGAAGTCTTGTTCCAGAAGTCTTTGGAGCCGTTGAGTCTGAAAGTCTTGGATGCATATGATTCTATATCTATATTGTTAGAATAAATTTTCATTCTCTATACCATTGTTGCATCTGCTGTTGTTGAGATACTTCCGTTGTTTGGTTTGGTCCGGATGTGAAGGTTTTTAATTTCATGTCTCACTGGTGTTTGCCTGGATCACGGTCAGTCTGGACTTAAAAAAGCATATAAGAAGAAGTTGATCAGTTAATGTGCCAGCTGAGTTAGTGGCATTTTAAAGGTCCATCGCATTTACGTGAGAAAATCTTGTCAGAAATCTTCCGGAAGAAAGACGTGAATACATGGAATAAAGATTCCGATGTGATGAAGGAACGCTTATGCGGCAAAAAGATTCTTCTTGTCCTCGATGATGTTGACGATATACAACAGCTAAAAGAACTGGCTGGGAAACTTGAGTGGTTTGGACCAGGAAGCAGAATCATTATCACCACTCGAGACAGGCGTGTTCTAGACCTTCATGATGTGGAACGTATCTATGAGGTGATGCCTCTGAGGAGTACCCAAGCACTTCAGCTCTTTAGTAAGCATGCCTTCAAGCAGCCTCGTCCAAGTGAAGATTATAGAGAGCTCTCGATAGATGTTCTCGGCGGTCTTCCCTTAGCTCTTCAAGTCGTTGGTGGATCTCTATATCGTCGGGAGCTGGAATTCTGGGAAGACAAACTGGATTTACTGAGGAACAATAGTGATAATTCGTTGTTGAAGGCGTTAAGAGTAAGTTATGAGGCATTGGATGAGTTAGAAAAGAAGATCTTTCTTTACATTGCACTTTGTTTCAACGGAGTTGATATGGACAGAGTTAGAAAAGTACTAGACCTGTTTTTTGTGTCTTCCAGGCGCAGAGCGTTGCCCACCAGACCGAGTATTTAGCTCTGATAGAGAAGTGTATGATTAGCTTGTCAAACACAAATCGGTTGTGGGTTCATGACTTGCTCCAGGACATGGCCGAGGATATTATATGTGATGGCAAAGATGAAAAGCCATGGAAACGTTTAATGCTGTGGGATTTTGAGGATATCAATCACGTCTTCTCCTCCAATGTGGTAAGCCGAGACTCTTTATTAAGCTCACTATTATGTCTCATTCTTGCATCTCGACATTTAAACGTTTAATTTATCTCTAGGGGGATGAAGCAATTGAGGTGGAAAGCATATTTCTCGACATATCTAAAGGAAATGAGATTAACATAACCCCTGAAATCTTTAGGAGGATGCCAAATCTCAAACTGCTTAAATTTTATACCAATTCCAGCATTAAACAGAGCAGGACAAGGATGATAGATGGCCTCGACTACCTCCCTACGTTGCGGTATCTTCGCTGGGATGCTTATAATTGTAAATCATTGCCATCTCAGTTTTGTATGACCTCTCTATTTGAACTCAACCTCTCACACAGCTCAATAGAAACAGCTTGGAATGGAAGTCAGGTAACATTTCGATGCGGTATTCACATGAGCTCTCTCATCTTCTCCTCTTGAATGAATCTTGCTGATGCTTTTTTACTATGTTTTTATGATGCAGGACCTTGCAAACTTACGGATCCTAAACCTCACTAGCTGCAATCACCTTACTGAGTTTCCAGACCTTTCGAAGGCGACTAATCTTGAGACTCTCAAACTCTCTCATTGTGATAACTTGGTGGAAATCCCTGAGTCCTCTCTTAGACCACTCAACAAACTCGTCCACTTAAAACTGAGCGACTGCAAGAAACTAAGGAACCTCCCAAACAACATCAACTTAAAATCCCTAAGATTTCTTCATCTGGACGGATGCTCTAGTTTGGAAGAGTTTCCATTTATCTCAGAGACCGTTGAGAAGTTGCTGTTGAACGAGACAACCATCCAATATGTACCACCATCAATCGAACGCCTCTCCGGCTGCAAGAGACTGATGAATCTCCCAGACAACATCAAGAACCTGACGTCTCTCACTGATCTCGGCCTTGCAAACTGTCCAAACGTAACATCATTTCCAGAAGTCGGAACAAACATACAATGGTTGAATCTGAACAGAACATCAATAGAAGCAGTGCCTTCAACAGTAGGGGACAAATCAGAGCTTCGTTACCTCAATATGTCTGGCTGTGACAAGCTCGTGAACCTTCCTCGAACACTAAGGAAACTAGCACAACTTAAGTACCTGTATCTTCGTGGTTGCATCAATGTCACATCGTCTCCTGAGCTCGCTGGTACCAAGACAATGAAAGCATTGGACTTACATGGAACATCGATTACAGATCAATTGGTTAACTCCAAGAGTGAAGAGCCTCCTCGGTGTGAAGTACCCGTCATTAGACGGTTCTTTATGAAGCAAGTTCGAGAACACATCAAGAAACGTAAATCCAACAGAGGATAAGGATCAAAGCCGAGTCCGTAGGACTCACACGTGACTAGACTTCTGAAGAACTGCCACGTCTTGGCCATGGGGCAGGTTTCAAGAGCACGGCTTGAGGGTATAAATAAGTTTTGGTGGGGAGAAAAGGGAACTGAGTGAGAAATATCGGTATCAACAATGTCGGGAGCACAAGGAGCAGAGCCGATGGGGAAAAGAACGGCGACAACGTACGAATTGGTGGAAGGAGGACAAAACAAGACGAAGCTTGATATAAACATGTCTTGGTGTTACCGGTACCGGCTAGATCTAGTAAAATATGTGCATATACGTTTCTTTCTAGTCCTGTAATGTTAAAGACATGTTTTAAGAATAAAACTAATCAATATAAATCTTTTGGGGATTACGATGTTGTTGTTGTTACTGATATTAATTACTCAATATGGTCCTATTTTTCAAAACGTAACCCGCTTGTTAGTTGTTGTTACTGATATGTACGAATTAGGAGAAAATCATAAAAAATGAAAAATGTAAATGGGCCAAATACCGAAAACGAAAAGGCCGATATTAAGAAAGCCCACACTATAAGATATTTGTAAACAAAATAACCACGCGCAACATAAGCGAGTTATAACCACGCGCCTCAAATCTATAGGTTAACCCCTTTGGAAATTAGCTATTTTTGTATAGTTGGAAAAATCACGCGCGTGAAGCATTTAAGTTTTAACTCTCTCCCTCAACTAAATTTTTTGCAGAGTTTTGGAAAAACTATTTTGCACTTTCGATGAGATTCCATTAAAACGGTAAGCATTTAAGTTACGGCATATTAGAAAATATTATTTTCTCATACATTGTTTAAATCAGGCAAAATTTTACTATTACACGATTTTCAATTTTGTTAATCAAAATTTTAAGCTTGCTCGTCGAAACATGTTTTTGTGTTAATTTTTGTTCGGCAAGAGTGATATGATTACTCTCTTTCTTGTACTGTTAATTAAAAAAATTTAAAGTGTTATATAATCCTAAAATCTAATGTATTCGTCTAATGTTTTAAATACTTTCATTATGCTAATAAATAGTTAATTTAATTAGCCAATTAGATTTGTGAGTATAGTTTCGTTCAAGCCACGAAATGGGTAAATAAAGAATTGTGTAAGGCTGTAAAAAAAAATACAACGACCACGGTGGGACTCGAACCCACAATCTCCCGCTCCGGAGGCGAGCGCCTTATCCATTAGGCCACGCGGTCTTTCTTGATATATGCCTGTTGATGTGTTATATATACAGTGATTAACATAATCTTTGCTTCACAGTGTGTAGTGATTAGTGAACGTTAACCATCTGCTGAAAAAACTTGTTTATTATTGTTTCAAGATCTCTGTCTAAGAATCGTTAAGCAATTTCCTGTTTCTTGATTTTATTAGAAAGAAAATAACCTTTTGTTATCTGAAGAAGATGAATCCAGAAACGAAAAGGAAAAAAATCCAAGTTCTATAGATACAGTCCTCTTCGACTTGAGGGTTGAGCCAAATTTAAAGCCAGGATTATGATTACTTCAAAGTTCAAACCAATCCCTCAACTTAAACATGATAATTATTTCCGTCTGTGGCTTGTAATCTTGTCGCTAGTCTTTACCATGGAGGCTTTCATGAAGAAGATTCTTCACCCTCTATGGGCAAGTCTGGTTGCGTCGCCCATTCAGTCCATGACCCATCATAGACCGGCACGTCGGTTTTCCCCAGCCGGTGAAGCCCCTAACAGAGCAAGTCACTAAGTCAGTCTCCTCTCCTTTTATATATATAATCTCAAATAAGAAATGGAGTTACCATTGCCAGGATGCAAGCTGTTACGCCAGTCCCACACGAGGCCATAATAGGCTTGTCCAGTGAGATGTCTGCACCAAAAAAGCCTTGAGATCTTAAGAATGAATGCTTTATATAAGTAAGATTGTGAAACTCATTCTCCAAGATGAAATAGATTACCTTCTTGTTCAAATCGTTTCTTCAGCTCTTCTGCTGGTAACAGTGTGTTACAAGAATCAAACATCTGCAGAAAGAAGGAAATTATCACATTAACTCTGGGGACAAGATGCAGAGGAAGTGAGGGAAGGAAACAAATTCTCTAGGGTGGCTTTACCTGGGGAAAAGGGACACATTTGCTTCCAGGTATATGGCCGCTTCTTATTCCTTTACGGGGTTCTGGAGCAGTACCATCAAACCTGTGATAAAACCCGTAATATAATCAAAATGCTACATTGAGTATCAACTTAGTACGAAGGAGCCTAGAGAAAAACCCATCATCAGTTAAAACAAGTTATTACTCGGTAAATTATAGTACCTGGCTTTGGAACGAGCGTCTATGTGTTGATAAGTCGGATCCTCCATATTGTTCTTGACCTGTGAATTCACCAAAGAGAGTCATGACATAAAATAAGAATCTGAACAAGATATTATAACACAAGCGCAAACTCAAAACAAAGTATCTACAGACATCAATCTACCAAACATACTGAACTATAGTAGAATGGATACTATCACAATCACAATTCTGAAAAATAGGGTACTAAAATAGACCAAATTAAAGAACTTGAAGTTGGGTCTTCTTTAGGATTCTCTTACGAAGATTCAAATTTATGGCTCAATAGACAGAGTGATAGTAGATATGATTAAATTATATAACATTAATGCGAAGACAAAACCATTCAGGAAATGCCAACCTGATCAAGTGTCCACACTAGATGTGGCTGGAACTTTGTCTGAAAGGTTATCGGACTGACCTGTGCAACCACGAGAGAGAAAATTGATATGACAAAAAAACACATCTTTACTGCTCAAATCTCATCATGAATCTACAGAAATACGAACTAGAAACCATTATCCAAAAGAGCGACTTACGGTTTGTCCTTGATAAATTTTCTCTATAGCCTCACTTGCGGCACTGGCTTTCAGAATAGCATCACCTGATGCACTAGATTCAACATCATAACCTGATGCACGCCATCTTGGTAGACCTCCATCAAGCACCCATATTTTTTCATGTCCAAAAACTCGGAACATCCTATTTAAGGGTAAAATAAAGAAGCACATATCAATTATAACAATACCCGGAAAAAAACACAGGACAAAGCATAAGGATTCAAACGAGAACCATAACTCACCACCATACACGGGCTGCACTAAAGATCCCCTTTCCATCATAGACAACCACTTCATCTTTGTTATCAATTCCAAGAGCAGAACAACCAGCAGCAAAAGCTTCCTCAGAGGGCAACATATGTGGCAACTGTTACAAGTAGTTGATATATCATACAATACTTTAGATGATTGCGTTACAAATAAGATCAGGGTAAAGAGAAGTCATAATGAAAACACATATAACATATATGACCAGCAAAGAGTCCAGTTTTCATTTGATCTCACAAAAGAAACAGCTATACGATGTATATACTATCTTGAAAATGGCAGCAAAGGAAGATAATATATATATTGACAAGGTTTCACTTATTCATAAAATCGATATCAATGTGAATTGAGAACTCCAAAGTAAACTACGGGAGTACATCTTCGGTAAAAGAAAAGATGGTGATACTTACACTAGTTCTTCGATCTGATATTCCATCCAAATCAAAGAAGAGAGCGCGGGGAATATGAGCGACCTATAGGAGAGGAGACAGTTTAAGTCCGTCAGTATCGAGTAATGTACTATCTTAGCTACTTAAGTGTGGTTGCGCTCATCCAGAACGAATACAACCCAAACATTTGTGAAAATCAAGAGCTTCTCAAATATCTATATGCTCATACTCTCACCTGATATTCTTGGATTGGATTTCTCTGCTCATCTGGCATGTACCATGAAGCATCCAAAATCTGAGTAGAATAGAAACAGGTAAGTTTAGGTGTATGACAGACATATTCTTCAAGAAATGAACTAGCGCAAAGGGCAGTCACCTTCAAATCAGGCTCTCTAAGATTAGCATGAAGCCAATCAACAGAAACAACAGGTTCACTGGTTGATATCGATGATGTCGAGTAACCGGCTTTTGTCTCAACTCCAGTAGAAGCCATGGCTCGACGAGCCCATGTAGTTGATTTATAGGCTGTAGAAACGGAGCCTAACTGAGAGTGGAATGATCTCTTCAGCAATTAACATCACAAGAAAAGGAAGACCAACCAAAGAGTCAGATCCATAAGCAGAGAACGAAACTGAGCAATTCACATAAAATTTCACTACCTTAATCTGATTATAAAACTCATAAAATCAAATTTCAAACTTTGATAAGAAAAGCATCGATTGACATAGACTTCATCAACAAGTATGTAATTCTCTATAGTCTATTCAACCTTTCCAAAGCTCGAAAGCCACTGTCAAATCACAGAAACGATCCAAACGCTCGAAATCAATCCAGGAACATTCTCAAACCCAGAAGCTAAAGAGCGGTCAAACGAATGGCCAATTGAGAACAGATCGCGAATCAAATTCGATATCGACTTACAGTGAGAAAGGTGGCGGGACTAAAGATCTTTTGCGGAAGAAGAGAAGACAGAGAAGGAGCAATCATGCGGTGACTAGCAGCCAAGAAACTTCTGGAGAAAAGGGTCGAGGCCATATCCACCTCAATTCTCTCTCGATACAATGTAACTAAACAGAGATATTATGGGTTGATTTAGAAAGACGCCAAATTTCTTTTGCTGTCAGATTGATTCTCTTCAACTACTAACCCCAAAAAGTTTGCAACTTTGCAAACGTTTTTATTAAAAAAGAGGATTTTGTCACTGCCGCCACGAACGGGTCTGGAAGAGAGACACGTCTAGGGCGTCTTTGCCCGTTTCACTAAACGTGGTTCTTCGCGTTTGTGTTTCTATTCCGGTTTAACTAAGCTGAACTAAACCAAAACTGTATCAAAATGAACCCATTCAAAAGCCAAACCGTAAAGAAAGACAAGCAATTGTATTTGTAACCTCAATAAAAACAGCATCAAACCAAACCAAATGATGTATCATTCATTGATGAAGCTCATTATTTTATCAAATCTTGCAATGTGCTCAATGTGAAAAAAATTGGAAGATCAAAAATTCTACACAATATTACACGTTGAGTGAACAAATTCAAAGAAACAAGAAAGACAATGGAAAAGAGATTCAAAAGGGGAATCCTTTACGGATGTATTTCTTGTATTTCTCAGCCAAACGTTTCATGTTTTTGGATTTCTCGTAAAACTCCATCAGTTCGGCTGCAATATCTTGTGGATGACACATTACATAAACCTTCAAGAACCGCTTCTCGCTCATCCTTAAGGCTGTGAAAATGTTCACCTCTTTTATTAGTGGCTTCAGACGCATTTCCAAGACTCTCTTAACGAGATCCGCACGAGGTTTTAGACGAGACTCGAGGTTGAGGAGAAGCAAACAAGGGTGCTTAACCACGGAATGAGCTGGAAGTTTCATCGAGGCTATGATGAAAGTCATGTTTCTCTGTACTTTCTCAACTGAGAGAGAGAGAAGGATTGGGCATTTTCCACACACATGCCAAATCTCTTCTTCTGAGAACCCAAACTTTTCCAAGTTTCTAACTTTCTCTTCGATTGTCTCCATCCTTGAGACCCCAATGATGGCTGCAACATATTTAAACATCTTGGATTCTCTTGTGACCCCAGTTTTCTGAATGTATTCAAACTTCTCTTTGTTAAAGTTTGTTCTTGGAATCAACGTGGGTCGGGATATCAACATTGCGACAAGATCCTGTTGGCTACAGCCCAGCCCTTTGTAGAACTCTATCGCGGGTTTGATCTTGTCATCGAGGTCATACAACATGAGTGACGGATTCCGGATAATGACTCTGCGCAACACCTCTTTTGACCCCAAAATCTCCATGAAGTAGTTGATTCTTTCATCAAGGACAAGGTGAATACGGCAACTAAAGAATCTCGGACGACAATTAAGAATCTTCACAAGATCTGAAGACGTGATCCCCAGCGGCTTAAGAAGGCTTAACTTAAACTCTAGCTGAGCAACATTGGCTCTCTGCAAAGCAGGCCTACGAGTAAAAAGCTTTGATATTTCATTATCATCACAACCCCATCTTCGTAGAACTTGTAAAGGACTACTAGGAATCTCTCTCACATTCTCTTTTTCACCAACACATTCAACTTTTTTTCTGTGATTCACTCTCGTAGACGATACAACCGATTCTTCAGCGTCGTTCAGGCATAACGTCGAACACCTGGTGGCAAAGGTAGCAGACAAGGAATTTCTAAAACCAGCATTTCTGATCAAACTCGAACTAGTAAACAGTAATCTGATAACAGCTAAGAAATTTCTCTTCCCGGTCGAATGCATTTCAAGGTCGTAATCAAGAGACTAAGAAACTGGAGAAATAAAGGAGCAAATTTTCACCAAGAATCAACAATGGTTCTACCTCAACAACACAAAAAGTGACATATACACGCGTATCTCAGATGCTTATTCCATCCAATTACCGAAACGAAGAAAGAGCGATGGTGGAGAGTTTAAGTGGAATAATTACCACCATGGGTTTCAGGCAATTCAAGAATTCTTCACAGAGAAGAAACAAACTCCCACCGATGGTGGAGAGTTAGACAGAGAAGCAGGAAGCGACGGAGAGAAACACAGCGCCTTCGGACCAGCTTTGCGAGACTCCGAGTCTGGCGCGGAAGAGAGAGAGAGAGAGTAGGGTAGTAAATAAATAATGTGGTCAAAACGAAACTAAATATAAAATATTGGAGTATTTTGCAATATACTGTAAGTGTGAAGCTGACAAAACGTCGCCGTTTCGTTGTTCTCTTTTTTATTTTTTTTGCTTGTCTTTCTCAAGACTCCACTGCAACCCTTTGTGCAAGAAAACCTTGAGCTTAAAATTCTTCACTTGGGTCATCTCTCTTCTCTTCTCTTCTCTTGCGGCCATTCCGTTCTTCGATCCATATATCAAAGGTTTGTTGCTTGATTGAATAGGTTTCTTTTGTTGAATCTGAATTGAAAACTGAATTAATATTGGATTTGGGTTTAAGAAAAAGTTGTCAATTTTCGTCTCTGAGTTTGAGCTAAGAACTGATCTTTGAGTTTGATTTTATTTCCTCACAATTCTTAAGTAGCGTTGTTATCTTGTCTTTTTCATCGTTTTCCTTACACATTACCGATGAGACTCTTCCGGTTTTTTTCATCCTAAGCTTTGTCAGATTTGAACGCTTCAGTGTACTTACTTTCTCAGACGTAATTTCGTTTCATTTAAGTTTGTTCTACTAATTAGTTTTAGTTTGAACATTGTTGATGAAGAACAGATTTAGAGATGACACTATTTTGCATTTTTGCAGAACTTCAGCTTGCTTAAGGTTTTCAATGGGGGACAGTCAGTACTCGTTTTCTCTCACCACCTTCAGGTATTAACTTGTTTATCATATAAATGTAATCTCTTTTTGAACATTTGGAACGGTTTCTTCGGGGTTTAATTTTGGTTGTGGTTTATGAAACAGCCCATCAGGGAAGCTGGTTCAGATAGAACATGCCCTAACAGCTGTTGGATCAGGCCAAACATCTTTGGGAATTAAAGGTTTTTGTCAATGACCTAATCAAATTCGAGAGGAGATTTTAACATTGTCTTCGATATTCATGCCTGTGGTTTTCTTTATGCAGCTTCAAATGGAGTTGTCATTGCAACAGAAAAGAAACTTCCTTCTATATTGGTTGATGAAGCGTCTGTAAGTTTGATTATCTCTTTATGTGGTCAACATGTTCTGTAAAATTTTATAGCAATCAGTTTGTTTTCTTTCTACTCCAGCTTTGGTACTTTCCTTTCGGTTGCATAGTTTCAGTAACTCCTACGAAACTAATGTTTTTATCTAATGTCTGTTTCAGGTTCAAAAGATTCAGCATTTGACTCCCAACATTGGAACTGTTTACAGGTTCTTCTCCACAGCTATCCGTACTTCTTTTTTTTTTATAGCGGATTTGGTTTATAGCTTGAAAATTGGATTTATGAGAGGATTTTTCATTTTGTTTTGGGTACTTTGTATCTCTCATCAGGTGCTAGTGCTATTGATGGAAAACAACCTTTTCCTTTGTGCCCTCATGATTTCAGTGCTAACTTTGGTATTGCCTTTTATGTAGTGGTATGGGTCCTGATTTCCGAGTTCTTGTGCGAAAGAGTAGAAAGCAGGCTGAGCAATATCTCCGATTGTACAAGGTAATCTTAAATATCTTTTATTTTTTGTCTACTTTTCCTGGAGTATCTACTAGTACATGTATGATAAATCTTCAATCTTTGTTTGTTTGGAGAAACTTTGGATTGATGATTCCAGTTCATATAAGTTCTTGCTTATTTATAATCCCGTTAGCTCTGTTGATTCAACTTCTAAGGAGGTTTTATTGTTGCAGGAACCCATCCCCGTTACTCAACTTGTAAGGGAAACTGCCACAGTGATGCAAGAGTTCACTCAATCGGGGTAAGTACTATATCGAGAGTGTGTATTACAATATCTATATGGTTACTTCCTCCCATATGCTCAAGAGGGTTAAAAAGAGTTACTGGCTCATAGATTGCAACTTAGAGCGAGTCTCTATGCACTTTTAAGCTCAGTTTTGATATTGATTTGGCGTGAGATAATGTTGTTAATGCAAATCTGTATACACAAACTAGACTACTGAATCTTGCTTCTAATTTCCGTCTCCTTCTGCTATCAACAGTGGTGTTAGGCCGTTTGGAGTTTCTCTACTGGTGGCTGGGTATGATGACAAGGGTCCACAACTGTATCAAGTATGTAGAGCTTTAAAGAAAATATAACCATCCTGCCAAAAGTTGAAGTCAAACCCATAAATTGAAAACATCTTATTTCATATTTTTCATTTTCTACTAGGTGGATCCATCTGGCTCTTATTTCTCATGGAAAGCTTCTGCAATGGGAAAGAATGTTTCGAATGCAAAGACGTTTCTTGAGAAGAGGTGATAATAATGTACCGTTTGTGATGATGAGTTTATGACCTTGGAAGCATGTCTTTTCATCTTAGTCTTTGATCAGGTACACAGAAGATATGGAACTTGATGATGCCATTCACACGGCAATATTGACATTGAAGGAAGGGTGAGCATTTTTTACCAAAACTTAATTTACTTTATTTCCATATTTCTGAATTTCACAAAAGCCTATAACCTCTTGTCTTTCTTTCTTTCTTTCTTTCTTTTCACAGTTTCGAGGGAGAAATCTCGAGCAAAAACATCGAGATTGGCAAAATCGGTGCTGACAAAGTTTTCAGGTAAAAAATGTTCAAGATTACAAACTAATATAAACAATAATCTTTGTTATTGCCATCAATATCTGAAAAGTCGCCCACCAAAAAAAAAAAAATCAATATCTGAAAAGTGAATGTTATATGCAGGGTGCTAACACCAGCAGAAATCGATGATTACTTGGCTGAAGTCGAGTAAACTTTGACCTAACCGTGCAACCAACCGGATTTGAATCTCAATATACTCTCAGAGTTGATGGTTCTTGCTTTTGTAGAACTTTTGGAATTTGTTAAGACTTAACCGTGACCCAATAATTTAGAATCTGTTTTTTGAACTCATTTAAAAATGTTTCTCTTGTGAAAATCCAATTTCATATAACCAAAATTCATGCACACAAATTACTTAGCCAAAGCTATACACTATGTTGTAAATGCAGTAGGAAGATGTACATACTGTCAAAGACCGGATTTAAATCAAATCCAATGGAATGCAATAACCGGATGAGGGAACTAAAATCGCTTAACCTGAATGTTACATAAGGATTCATCAGATAGTTCTTCAGTAACTATGGATATGTAAAGTTTTTCTTACTCTGAAAACCGACTACATATCTCTCCACGACAATCTATCTAACTAGTTCTGCAACAAGAGGTCTAGGTAGAGTAACTAGATAGAGATATATCAACCTGCAAGTGTACAAGAAGCAAGAAGAGAGGTAACCGACGAACCACGGTAGAGGAAGGTATTGCTTTTTTCACCTATGCTTGATCATCCAGTTGTGAGCTGTTCGTGGGGCAGTGGAGATTCCCTCGTAGTATCGAGATTCGAGTTTCCCTCGGTTCCATCTCTTGACAAAACGTGAGAACAATTCTCGTGCAGCTTCGGTAGTGAGATCATTAAAGTAAGTACGCTTTTCTTCTTTCAGCCATGTAGCAAATTCGTTGTTCTTCGAGAAGTAGTCCTCCATTGATAGCTCTGGAATCCCCTCTTTCTGGAAGAAAAAGACAAAAAGAATAACATTTTATCAGAATCTTAGTGTGGATGACAATCCGTCAAAATTTACAATAGGGCAGCAAGACATTTGTAATTGTAATTAAGCAATGACTAAACAACTGAAGAGGCCTGCGAAGAACCACACATACAGAGTCTCCAAAGCAATATACTTGGAGTAAATATACAATCAGATGTTATTATGACTTTATGAGTATATATTTCAAAGGGTAAGTTAGAGCTCACTAGCTTGTGGTCGCCTTCTGCATGTTTCTTTTTCGGCTTATCATCCTTGGACTTCTTTGCTGTAAAAATTAAACAATGTCAGCCGCAAGAAAAACAGATTATACTGAAAAGCAAAGACACAGGATATAAGTCATGCTGATGAAAGATAAATATCCCTTTTAGCCGAAACCAAAACAAGATAATTTCTTGATGCCTATAATCCCGCTAGCCAACAGGTTTCGACTACAACCTCTTTCTTCTCTAGGAGAACATAGTAAGGACAAAGCTAATTGATGCTCCGTCAATGGCATACAAGAAAAAGAAAACTCCAGCTCACATGGTAGAACTATGAACGCACCACCACTCACTAGATGTCAGAAGCAACAACAAAGTAACAGCTCAAACCAACAAGATGAAGAAGCAAACACATCAAATTAATCATACTACAAACATGAGAAACAAAAATCATACATGAACTGGATTTGTGGTGCTTGTGAGATTTCTTATCCTTCTTCTCACTTCTCCTACTTCTCCTTTCATCATCTTTCTCTGTTCCTCGATGCCTCTTAACTTTCCCTTCGTCTGTCCCATTCAGAAATCACAAGTTATCAGAATGATGTCATCCACAAACACAACAATAAGTCACACTTTCAACGCCAACTACAAATTCATAATCAAATAGCTACGATGCTCGTAACTTACACGGATAGATAAATCACAATGACTGAAACCCCAAAACTAAAGAAACCAGAGAAGCAAATTGATGGATTTTCTCGGGAAACGGAAGAAAAAGTATATACATAGAGGAGAAGAAGAAGAAGAACATACAATCGGAAGATGAAGAATCTTCGCTCCGAGCTCTGCTTCTCTTCTTCTCCTTGGGGCTCCGTTCGCTTCCCATTATTTCCCGACGGACTAAAAAAATTGATCGGTCAAGGAGCTGACATATTTATTTGGACCCCGAGATCAGGATTCATAATCCCGGGTCGGGTCGGGTCGCGATGCCAAAATTACACTTAAACCCCTTACTCTTTTATATTTTGCATCTCGCCCCCAACGTTTTACCCCAATACAATTAAAATCCCAATTTACTAGCTTTGCTCAATGTGACACTTGAAGTCTTGAACTATATATTAGCAAGTTTTTCTACCCATGTTTTCAGAAAAGTATTTACTACAAGCAAAGCATTAACAATGCATTTGGTCTACAAAGACAAGAGACTGCATTTTCTTAAAGATTATCTCAACGGAGCTAAACTCCAACTCAAAACCATAGCTTCGACCACCGTACTCTACGTAGAGAAACCTTGTCCGAGAATCTTCTGCCGGCCGTGAAGGCAAAACCTTAGAGATATCTGGAAACTCCGGAGACGGTGGAAGAGGCAAATCTTTCTTCTTGAGAGAATAATACACATCAGCTAAGAGAATCCAAATGAGATCAGGATCAATGCAAGCCAATCCTCTCAACGCATTCAGAGCCGATTCTCTTAAACCAGTTAAGCTGCTGCACGCAATCCCAACGACCAATCCTGCAACTTTCTTCAAGACTGCATCTAACGCTGAAGCACTGCGTTTATCTCTGGAAAGCTCAGCGATCATATCGAGAAGTGCAGCCTGCACTTTCAAGCTGGAAACTTCAGCAATCGAAGAAGATGACTCGGAAATGGTTCTGTAAGGAAGCCGGAGAGCCGATTTGTTGTCTTCCCGGAGGTTCTTCGCCGTCATAATGTGGAATGGAGACGTTGTTAAAAGCTTCCAAAAGTCCGAGCCATCGATGCGGAAACGACGTGAGAAGAAATCTCCTCCTGATGTTTGAATGATTCGGGTTATCACGACTAAGCATCTCCGCACAGCCTGTGGAAAATGCAGCAGGTTTTAAAATCTATTAATCTAGAGATAAAATCGGAAGAAGGAGAGAGAACGTACCATGGGATTTCTGTTTCGTATGCAAGCAACACAGAGTGGCCAGATTTTGTTGATAGCGGGTAAAAGCCGGTTTTCATCTGCTCCATCATCGCTAGCATTCATGTAGTCTTTAAGCTGATAGAGTGAAGCAAATTCAATGACTTCTTCAATTGTTTCTTTGGTTTCTGTCTCAGCTCGATAAGCTTCCTCGACTTTAGCCAGCGCCACTACTCCTTCCTGTATAATTGGAAAGTTAAGGATTTAGTTCGTTTGTGGAAATGTCCTAGAGAGAGCTCAAGAAAAACTAATCCGACAGGAATAACACCTCAATTATATCGAGGGAAACTAAGCATGAGACTTGATTTGATGATACTAGGAGAGGCGTGGCCGCTATTAAACAAGAAGAGGCGATTGATCCAACTGTTCGTCTGTATCGTTTAGAACGATTCAGTTCAAGCAGTGTGTTTTCCCATTCTTCTTCGTCGTCAACTATTTTGTCAGAATCTGAATCTCTCTCTTGCCTCAATGTTATCGCATCAGTTGCTTTGGCCTTAACGTGGTCACTATATGACTTGGCTCGTTCTGGTAATAAGCAAGCCTCGCTCTTTGATGCATTTACAATCTCACCAACAGCCTAGCAGAAGCACCAACAAAAGTTATGATGTTTCTTAGACAAGAAAGCCAATGATTTTAAAAGACTTAAATAGAAAAAATGAAAGATTGAATCTACCTTCAAGAAGGGTAAAGTTAGATTTGGATGCTGTTGTCTACCAACAATTTCAAGTTCCTGAGAAACTAATCGCATCTGTAGATCCCAAAATGGAAAAAGAGAGTTCTTAACACACTGAATATGAATCGGAGGGTGATGAAGATCCAGCAGAGGCAATTTTTCATGAAAGAAAAAACGGTTCACTGCAAATGGCCTTACCGGTTCCTCCAACAAAGGCAATATATCATGGGCAACCCCGATATAAGAAAGCATAGCAGCTAGAACATTTGGGACATGAGGATTAAGATCCAGGTGGCGCAGCTGGCGACAAATAGAGTCAATAACATAATCCGCATTTGCAACAACCAGATGCCCAACCTGCCAAACAAAGAAACAAAAAACAGCAAGATTTTGATTTTAAAAACGATTTTATGATGTGACTGAATATTCCGATTACATGATTATAAATTCTCACTGTGGGGTGGCCTGAGGTGGAAGCAAGAAGACGTAGGACAGCGTCTGAAGCATTTCTAACTTGGAAGCTCGAGCAGGTAAGACTCTCAAGCAGAAGGTAAAGCGAAGAGTGAAGAAATCCACTTGAAGCAAAGTCAATCCCTAGACACAAGGAAAACACACCTATTCCTTCTATTATAACTTGGTGTAGCATTGCACTATCTCTTAAGAAATGCAGACTAATATGTTGCACATCTGTATCGGTTTGGCCCAGAATTGTCTTTTGGTCCACAGGGAGATCCCAAACTTCAAAAGATTGGTATTCATGCAGGATTTTACCAACGCAATCAATAAGATTTGTTTTTGCACGTTTGTTCCATGAGATTTCCCAGGATCTTTTGTCTCTTCCCTTTCTTGACTTCCGAAGCAGTCTTGAGAGAGCATCCATTGCTTGATCCGATAGACCAAAGATCATCTCATTCAAGATACAAGCAGCAGTTGCCGCCTGGCGAACTAATTGTCCTGAACCAGTTCGATTACACCACAACTGCCAGTCTTCTCCGTTATACTCCTTTACACGAACTTCTGAAACCAATTTACGGACAAACCCCAAAGGAATATCCAGGATGACTGCTAAATGCCCTTCGTTTTTAAATCCTATCAAACACAAACACAACGGACATGATTTACTATCAGTAACTAACTCATTTATAAGTTAACTGCAAAATAATTTTCAGAAAAATGGTTCCAAAGGAATATGAAATGACCTGCCATTAAGGATAAGCCTACAAGTCTAAGGATTCCAGCGAGCATCTCGTAGAGCTTCTGGCTACCAACATAAGAAAACCAAGGAGGCATGCGAGGTAACATATAGCTAGTGGGGGACGATATCTCCATTTTTACTTGATCTGTTTCTGTGATATTTGGGACAGCACGGTTGTATCTGGTCTCCCGGAACCCCACTTTTAGTTCTGTGATAGAAGGGAGGTAACCTGTCGATGATGAAGGCCTTTCTGCGATGAGTTTCTCAAGAGAACCGGTGAATGCTGAATTATGGCTCAGACAGAGAGAAAATATATCCAGGAATCTGCTAGCTGTTATCTACATAACAGAATGCCAAGAACTAATCATATATCACAAGCCATTATTATATCATGTTTTTGAAGCTAGATTTGCTATTCAAGAAAGAAGTAGCACCAAACCTATGAGCGTGTCAAGAAAGAATACATACGGGAGACTGAAGATGATCCGCCAAAAACTGAGGACCAGAATAATAAGTGATGACGAGTAACTGCTTCACCACCGAAAGTGCAGGCAATTCCTCATTCCCCAGAACCACTTTTGGAAGCCTCTCAAGTAGTCTGTTGTCATAAACAAGCCATGGAAGAAGAATAAAACACACATCTATGTTAAGAGATCTGCATACTGAGCTTCAAAGGAAAGAAACAATATACAACAAAGATAACAATACCTGCTAAAGATCTTAATTATATCACTCTCTATGTGGTATTTCGTACTTTCGGAGAATAAATCATCGAGAAATTCCTGAGCTGCTACAGAAACTTCATCGGAGTCATCAATAGCCAGAGTACATACGCATTCCTGCATCATTATAAGGAATTTATATGGTGGCAATCCTTGAAATGGATATACCCAATATCATGTGTTGTTGTTAGTTATGAACCTACCAACATCACTAATCTAGCACCCTTCAATGAGCAAGAACTCTTAGATAGCAATCCACGTATTGCTGCTAGAAATCCCCATCGAATTTTGCCGGCTGGGTGAATAAGAATCTGAAACCAATTAAGATTTACCACTAAGAAAAAACAGCTCCAAAGGGATTTGGGATAAACGTGTTGAAACTAGCACGAGAAAAAATAGCATACATGAGGAAATGTCTCACACAGCAGCTTATTCACGTGAGATGTAGTGCTATCTAACCATTTCTTCGTACGTTCAACATGAAAGGAGTCACGACTCAGATTCAGATTGGATTTTTCAGGTACATTGATGGTAACAATCTCTTGGTTTGTAATTTCTGTCAGCTCGTCGCTCTGCCCTTGAGATTTTGTTGTCAGAGAACGAAGTTCGTCTAAAATTGAGTGTGCAGATTCATGCTTCTGCGACTTAGTATCATCATCAGAAACGTCGAGAGTCGATGAATTAGCCTCATCCTCAAGGACGATCATAAGAAACTCCGCTAACCCTCTAATTGCTTGGTCCAATGCATCAACACTTCCTGCAGCTCCGCTTATCATTGCTCTCGAAACATGCAACACTTTGGCAATTTGGCTAACAACACCAGGTAGAAAAAACGCCAACACATCAGCAGTACCAATCTACAACAAGAATCATGTTATCAGTAGGACCCATGAGTACCAGAAATTGCCCAAACGATATATACATAATTTAAAAGTTACCTTAGCCACAAGTATCCGTAAAGCCATAAAGGCTTCAACTCGAAGATTTGCACTTCCTCGATGTCCTCGAGAAGCCTCAGCATCAGCGACCTTGTGCATTGATCAGAATCGATATACCTTAGAATGTAAACAACTACATGACTCCAGATGAAAGAAAAAGGAAAGCACAGGAGAAAAGAGGATTACTTTGAGAAGAATGGAAAGCCAATGACCCACAGCAGCCAAAGCAGACTGAGACTGAAGAAATGCGAGCAAGCATTCTCGAGTTTCAAAATCATACTTATAAGACTCTGAAACTTGAGTTTGATAATCTCTTCTATCTGACAGTTGAGGCCAGCCAACAGTGCGTTTACATGAGCAAGAATCATCAAAGCATGGAAGCAGACCAGATATCATTGCCCGGAAACATTTGATGATCCCTTCACGAAACTCTTCAGCAGCCTCAGATGGTGATAAAATAGCAGCACTAGTTAACTTCTTCATAATTACAACCATCTGTACGGAAAAAGAAATTCAACACAGTTTCCACAACTAAGCTGAGAATATGTTACCCAAACGAGTAAAGGTACGAGACAATCATAAAAACGATAGTGAGAAATCCAAACCACTTCACCTGATCTATGGATCCAATGTGACATTTCTTTAGAAGTTCCTCGAGACAAGAGATTACACCTTCTGCCACTTTATCACTCACTATATGAGGTACTGTAGGAAATTCCCCTGGCTGATTTTTCCCTTGACTTCTGCAAGCAACTGCGGCGTCTAACAGAAGAAGCAATGGGAACAAAGTGTAGCTGAAACGTACATAAATCCAAAACAGTTCACACTTAGTAAACAATCGACAATACACCACAAACGAAATACATAAACTCTTTTAAACCTTAAAATTGAAACTTTTACTAATGTATCTATAAGAAAAATAATCAGCGTTCATGTGAAGATCACCGTTTATCAAGAATTTTCTGGGTAATAAAAACTCAAACTTTACAGCAGAAACAAGTAAAAAAGATAAAGAGATACGAGAAAAGTGGAATAATTACTGGAAGAAGGACTGGAGAGAGGACGGAGGAGTACGGCGGAGGAGATGAAGCAAAGCAGGGATGGTGGCCGGATCCTTTTCAGGGTTTTGCGATAGGTTTAGAAGCTCCAAGCAGAGAACTTTCAGCTGTGCAAAGACGGCTTCTATTTCCGCTTCTCCCTCAACGTCGTCTCCATTGGTTTCACGGCGGATTACGACGGACTTTTCCATTAATTCCGATCAATTATACAAAACCCACCAAACAGAGAGAGATGGAACCGCGAAATTGAAGTCAATTCTTGAAGCAGAAAATCAGTAATTATTGAGGGTGACTAGCCCTGAAAAAATGACCCGACCCAACACAATTTGACCCGATCCGTTGCTATTGACCTTTATAGGTCGTCGTCTCGTAAGTGGCCGGGGAATAAAGACCGGCAAGTTTTTCCCTTTTAGGGTTTTAGGAAAAAAAATCAAAAATAAACCTGATATTTGTATAGAATTGCAAACTAAACCTGATATTTTATACAGTGTCGTAAAATAAACCGACATTACTTTTAATCGACTTAAGAACCCGATTTTCTTGAATCACAAACTCACAATCAAACTAAACCAACCGGTTTAAACCCCAACGAATTTCCTTCACTGTGGTGGAACCAGTGATAAAGAAATTGAGAGTAGAAGTTAATTTCTTTAAGGTAACTATATATATCTTCTCTAAATCATGTTTCTTCAATTTCAAGCAAACTAATATTTATCAGAAGCCATTGAAGACAAAACTGAGATCTTTTATAAGCTTCCAATTATTTGTCTATCTCCATTGAAATTCAGGTAAACAATCGGAGATGCAACATTCTTTTATGATTAGCTTCTTCAGTCATTAGGAAAAAGAAACCTTGCTTTTGCTTACCTTAATTCGTTGATAACTTCATAATTATTTACTTCTTCTTCAGCTGATGAATCTATCTCCAAACAAGAGCAAACTGGTCTTCTTGTTTTGTCTTTTCCAGTTTCAAGATGGTTGTTAGATGATGGACATTACTAAACTAATCCTACCCATTATTCTTCTTCTAATAACTTGACGACTACCAAAATTTCAATACGAATCTATCAGTCAATTTTCTTCAAGATTCTTTAGACTAGAGAAAGAATCTTTTAGATAGTAATTAGTCTTAGTGTATCTTTTGACCAGCTCTGTTTTATATATTTACAGGCTACTAATAAAAATGCCAAATACATTTTCTCTCTACCTTTGCATTATATATATTGATATCCAAAATAAAGTTTATCTTTTATAGAAACCATAAAGTAAATCAGCCTTTTGGATTTCATTAATGTATCATGACCTCGTAGGTCTTCAACAGTAACGATGAAGATTCTTCTTCTTTGTGTTGTGTTCCCTGTTTATGTTGTTGTTGATTATCATCTTCTTCTAACCCGAGTTCGCTTTCCAGGTGCTTGAACCATTTCTTAACCTCTTCCTCATCAGACTCTTCTTCTGTTGTTCTTGAACCTGAGCTGTTCTCATTTGCAGTGGATTCTTGAAACGAGTTTGAAATATCTAAGATACTCCAAATGTCAGGATCTGAATCAAAAGGTATCTCCAGCAGATCGGGTTTGTCTACCTCTTGAATAATGTCGTTAAATTCACTATAAGCTTCTCCTATATACTCAAACGTGAGGTCGTCTATCTTTAGATCATCTTGTTGGTTGGAACCACCAGAAGACAGAGATGTAGACAACTCATTCCTCGATGATGACTCCTGATTATTCTCTCTGTTCAAATAATCTTCTACTTGAGACTTATCGTCTTTCCCACGAGAAACAGAACCACTGGAACACGGCGAGACCGGTTCATCTGCAGTTCCTGAGCTCTGAACTAGTCTTTTCTTTAGATGAGTGTGCCACACATTCTTGATCTCGTTGTCAGTTCTACCTGGAAGTTGAGAAGCGATTTTCGACCACCTGATCAAAATGCAGAAAGCTTAATAATGTCAATATGAAATCACTTTTTGATCCACCATATATGAGCATAATACTAAAGCCTAGCTGATGATTTTACTTGTTCCCATAGTTGTGGTGAAGCTTAATGATTGTTTCTTCCTCCTCTAAAGTGAAGTTGCCACGCTTCAGATCTGGCCTGAGGTAGTTAATCCACCTTAGACGACAACTCTTCCCACACCTCAATAGCCCTTCATTCAGAATCATAAAGAAAAAAACCATTGAAGAGGCTTTGCTTTGATTATGATATCCATTGAATGAACACAAAGCAACAACATACCAGATTGTTTGGGGAGAGATCTCCAGTTCTCATGACCAAACTTTTGAATGAAAGAGATGAGTTTTATGTCTTCTTCTGGGCTCCATGGACCTCTCTTCACTTTGGTCTTGTCACAACAAGGTGCTCTTCCCTTCCCCATTCTCTCTCTCTCACTCTCTCCCACTCCCTCTCTCAATATATATGTATAGCTTTATATCACTCAGTTTTTGAGATTCACTTTTACCAAAGATAATATGGTTCGAGATTTTATATATATATGAGAGGTAAGAGTGTGATCTTGACATGAGAAAGACGAATGTAAACAGAGAAATTGATAAATGTCAAATCAGATTTGTTAAGTGGGAAAAAGGTTGTCTGTCTGTGGTATGGTTGATTATTTGGTATGATTCCATTTTCTCATTTTTACTTCATTTGGCATCCTTATGATGCATGCAACTTATCTTTTCTTTATAACACCGATGCATATGAATATTTCACATTTGTTTTAGAATGCAAAAATCTTAAATAGTATTTTCTTCCTTTTTTTTGACATCAAATAATAATGGAAACTAGCATCTCTGGTAGAAATTATCAAATTTGACATATCTTATCAAATTGTCTGAAATTGTATTTTGCTAATCTAAAAAAATTACATGTCGACAAGTGTTAATTGAAATGTTCTTAGGAATTTACAGCCATAATGATTAGAGATGTATGTATATCTATATAAAAATATTTGGTGGAGTAATAATAAAATGGCAAAATATTAGGTAGTGTTTTTTTGACTAAATAAGATTGTAATTTAAAGCTGCAACTTGTTAATTAAAAATTAGCTTAAGGTATACATTGGAATTGATTATATTATATTTTGTCTGCTAGTCTTCTGTAATCAGACTCAGTGTATAATTACCAACTTTGGAATAATAGATAATCCCGTGATCATCATGTTCATGTAGATACAGTACAACACGAGAAAAATGAACTCTCACTAGTAATCCTGTTTAGTAATAACGCATGCAGTCACTCCATACGTCATGCCATGGAATATTTTCACATTTCGTCAACAGTCGATATTAATTAAAGGGAACTTTTATGAAAGTATATATATTTAAAAAAAAACATAAATATATAAGCCTTAAATAGAACATTTAAATTAGAAACAGAAAAAATAAGAAAATTTTATAAAGTCCAGGAAACTTTTATCAAAATATATATTTTTTTTGAAAAAAAACATAAATATATAATCCTTAAATATAACATTAAAATGAGAGACAGAAAAAAAATAAGAAAGTTTTATAAAGTCATTTCTAATCACATCCGTAACACCAAAAAGCGTAAAGAGTGTGTGTGAGCATAGTGCACGAACTCACCAAACTAAAAGACTAAAGAGAGTCGAAGAGGTCAAAGACTTACGTCTTTTTGACTTTTTTAATGTTTGGTGGGTTTGGTGTTGTTGTTGGCACTTGGCTACGTTAATTACTTAATTTCACCAAACCTTCATTACTTATTTAATTCCTCCCTACCCATCCAAAATTATTCTAGCAATTACGATATAGACATCACTGCATATATTACTCCAAACATTTTAAAGTACTAAGTATCGACAATAATTGAAGTTAATACGAAGTACTTCGTTAAAATATGTTTGAAAAAGAAGAAATATTGCTCACTAGTGTAAATTTTTGAAAGAATTAGTAAGATGGACGTGTTTGTATTGAAGTTACAAAATGATTAATCCGGAAAATTTTGTCGACAAAAGTCTATAGGATCAACATATAAAAATGACGGCCTATTAGTTTTGCATTTTATACAACGCTTGGTAATCAGAAGGTTGGTGAACAAACAAGTGTGAGTGGGAACACTTTACTAAGAAAAAAAGGACAACTATGAGTGGAAAAAATTAAATAAAATTTTCAACGTCCCTATGGAGTATGGACCTTATCGAAACGATGGAAACTGTGGCATAAAAGTAAAATAAAATAAAATTATGATGAAAAGAACACATGTTGCTATTGGTAATACATACGTCAATATCAATTGTGAGTGTACTGACTTTAAAGTTCAGATTTTAGCTATTGGAATAAAGCTCTGCATGTGTATGTTTTGTGTGATCATAATAGGGACACATATTAATATATATATCATTTAATATCAACTATATATATATATATATATATATATATATTCGTATATTTTTGGCACGACAGTTCATTACTGTAATATTAATTATGTGAAGGTTTTATTTGACAAAATTTTAGGTTTTCTACGAGTTGTATAAGACTATTTAAATATATATGCTTCGCTTTTTGCGTTTGTTATTGTATTATTGTATAGGAGATGAAATAACAACGACTTATCTAATCCAACCGAATTCTCAATTTAGAAAACAACTCATGCGCCAAAGATTGACCCGTAAGGGTCCAATCTTTCAAAAATGTTAGAAGTTTAGAATTCATAACTAGATATACAATAAGACGAAAACAGGTAATATTTTTAAAGTTTAAAAAGGGAAAGACAATTAAATCATAATTAGAATAATCTAATAATCACCTAAACAAGATTTTTCCAAGAGACCAAATAAGACACCTAATCTTGAAAAAATAGAGATCTCAAACAATATTATCCATCCTTGGGTTCGGTTGGTAGGACATTTGCTTAATAGTGATGGTTACTTTTTTCCTGATCACCTAACTAATCACACTCATAAGGTCCAAGCACAGTGCTAACAATTCCAAATAAAATAAAATAACGCCATAACATTCAAACATAGATAAATCATGAGATTCATGACTCAAAAAAACTTAAAAGGTAAGCTGAGAAAATCAATGATTACGCATGCATGACGCACTTGTTATGGGATCTATTTCAACAGAAATGTGTTGGTTAATATTTTAGGCTTTTTTTTTTGTAATTGGAGAATCTCCAAAACATGCGAAATACCGGATATCCATACCATATAAAATACTCATTATATACGGTCAACCATAATTAAGATTGCAATGAAAATACTTGAACCCTAGCTAGTCTCATTACTCCATAAGTCATTAACGTTAATATTCTGATATTATAAAACTTTAATAAAGGCCTCTCAATTCTCTCCATCTTTTAGAGTTTTTTTTTTTTCAAAACGGACTAACGGAGTACATAAATAACACTTTTTTTTTTTTTTTTTGTTCAAACATAAATAACACTTCATGCACCAATTTTAAAGGGACTTGTAGATGGAGTTGGGCCGAATTTCGTAGATAATGGGCTCAAAATACTATAAATGGGCCTGTTTATTTGAAACGTTAATAGTGTTTCTTTTAAATGAAGTAATAAATGAAATACTTGATCTTGAGTATTTTCGTGGCACCGTATTTTAACATTGTAGCCGATTAATCTATTTTGGATATCGAAATTTGAAGCTTTGGTATAAAACTCAGATATCCACAAATATATTTATCATACATTTTTATTACATTTTCGATAAAAACATGCATTAAATTTTTCACATAAAAAAAAACAGAAAATAGACTGCAGAATGAGTAATGGCCTGGGTATTTAAGGTTTATTATACTACTATGCATTTAAACTTTTTTATACTATCATTTAATTTTCAATTTAATAACCCCACCAATCTTCCATTTAAATGCATTGAAACCCCAAGACCACTATCACTGCCATATAAATAAATAAATATACCAAATTTAATTTCACAGTGCATTTTTAAAATTGGTACGGTTACACACATTTAGGGCCAGCCGTCTTATCAGGAATACGTATCCTCCAAAAAAAAATTCCAAAAGCCAGTATTTAAAATCTTATACTCCCTCCGTTTCATAAAGAGTGTCGTTTTAAAGTTTTAATCTTGTTTCACAAAAAGTGTCGTTTTATGTTTTCAATGCAGTTTTTAAGACTAATTCTCTTTTTTATTCCTACTTTTTCAGCTTATTAATTAAAGAGAGGATATTATCTAGTACTATATTAATAAGGGGTAGAAAAAAAATTTGTTTACTTTTCTTAATTTGTGTGAAAAATGGTACAATGACACTCTTTGTAAACAGAGGGAGTATATAAACCTCAATGTATAACCTGTTATAAGTTTTAATTTGTTTTTTTTTTTCTTTACCAAATTTTTAAAATAATATGTTGAATTATTTAGTTACTTTTGACGTCAATTGAATCAATCCCGATAAAGTAATGTCATTTTTTCACACATTCGTCTATGTTTGTGTATGTGTGTGTATAAGTTAATAAAAGCTATTAAATGTTAGGTGCTACAAAATTGTCCATGAGCATCATCACTTCGTCACCCTAAACCTAAATAGAAAAAAATAGAAATAACTTCCAACTTTCTTTCACAAAAAAAAAAATAACTTCCAACTTTATTAGTATTATTATTCAAAGCTCTTTGGGTCTGTTCTTAAATGCATACACCTTCCTATTTCCTAAAAAGCCAATTACTACTAATTAATATCCCACCACATTTTCTTTGCAGAGTAGTATTTCAAATGTTGACAGCCAAAAAAATAACGAAAACATTATGTCGGTATAGTTTTGCTAGAGATTGTAAATAAACAATTTAGGAAGTGTTACTAATATGTTATGGAAGTCAACACGGCAAGAAACTCGAAACAGCAACTGAAAATTTCAACATATTAAAACTCGAAACAACAACTCAAGTCAACAACACATTGATATTTTATATCTTTAGTGAAAATACTAAAACTATTTTTTTTTAAAGTTACTTTGTATATTTTTGTTGCACATCATCATTGTTTATTATATTTAATATCGCAAACAAAAAAAATGAAAAACTCAATTATTAATCTGAAAGATCTACAAATTCAAAATATCTTTTTTTAGTTTTCATATTTTTTGTAGTTTATTATATTACTTGAGGTATTTTTTAGTGATGAACCAAAATGCATGAAATAATAAGCATTTAACTATGAAATTTGTTTGTTTTTTTAATAATTATGTATATGACTTTTATTATTAATTTTTATATTTTATATATATATATATTATCATAGTAATATAAAATATTTGATGTTTTTTAATACTTTTTATAGTTATAAATTATACTATTTATCTTGATCATTTTCGATATAATTGCTGTGTATCCGCTACATTAATCACGGGTGGCAAAAAGAGAATTTAGACATTAATCACTAATTAAAGTCGTAAGGGAGGTTTGAAAAGTAATTTATGGAGAGACGCTTTGGCAATTAATGCGTCTCATTTTCTATCTCTCTCTATCTATCGTATTTAATACACTTTGGCTCCTTCTCCTAGAATTCCTCTCCTCCATTCGACGATTCCTCTTGTAACAATCACTAAATGAAAATAAAATAATACTCTATTTTCGGAAATACATATTTTGAACAGTGTTTTCAAGAAAAATACTGCTCGAGTAGGATTATCAGGGTGCTTGCATGTAAATCGCTGCATTTTTTTTGTATTACAATTTATATTATTTTATTTTTAAAAAATCAAAATCTCTCATATAGATGTGAAAATTAAACAGGAACTTAAATGTGAGAAAAATATGGTAAGGGTATGAAGAAAACGAATAGTGAGAAAACGTGTAGAGCGTGAAATAGGGGAAGAAGAAAAAGGTTAGAGATCAACACACATTAAATACATAAAAATTTAAATGCTAGTCAATAATGGTACAACGATAAATGTAACCCCTCATTAAATACTAGTATTAGCTTTTGTGTACACCAGAGGAAAACAATTTTGAAAACAAAATAAAAACGAACATTAATCGTAAAATATTTAATACTAGCAATTGAATTTTTTTAAAAAATTATAATAACGTGCCGCATTTAATTATTTCCCCTAGACTTATTAAAACAATTTCTACATTTCGGCCTTAAATATTTGGCTCCGTCTATATAACTCTCTCTGCGTTTCCACATCCCCATTGTTTTCTCTCTATCTCTCTCTCTCTCTCTATGATTCTTGATATGGCTGCTGACGTCAGCTCTCTCGTACGGTTACTAAGCAGTTACAAAGATGATCGAGCGGTGGTTAAAGATTCTGCCGGAGCGAAATCCACGGCGGCGCTGATGACTCGTGACCTTCTTGGAAGCGGCAGAGGAGGAGGTGATCGGTCATTAGAGCTTGACCTCGATCTTCAAGTCCCATCCGGTTACGAAAAACGTCTCGACTTGAAGGTTCGTGTTGAATTGATGATTCCTCTTTGCTTTTGTGGTTTTGGCTGATAAGAATCGTATTGTTGTTTTTGAACAGTCAGGGAAAGTGTATTTGCAACGATGTAATTCAACGAGCTCATCGTCAATAACAAACGCAGCAGACCAATCCAATCAAACAGTACCAACGTTTCAGGATTTGAATTTTCCTCCGAGTTCTAGTAATTCTCCTTTGTTGAACCTCTTCGACGACACGACAACCCCGGAACTGAAGCTACTTCCGTCATCTCGTTGTTCTCGTCCGAACACTAGTAATTTCCAGAGTGTTTGCACACTCGACAAGGTGAAGTCAGCTCTTGAGAGAGCGGAGAGAGATCCGGCTATGTTCAAGAAACGTCAATCGCCGGATGATACGGTTTTTGATCATTATCGGACGGAGGTTGTTGGCTCACCGGTGGCGGCTGGATGTCCTGGATGTTTATCGTATGTTTTGGTGATGATGAACAACCCGAAATGTCCGAGGTGTGATACCATTGTTCCTTTGCCTACAAATTCTATGAAGAAGAAGCCTAAGATTGATCTCAACATATCGATCTGAATCCTTTGGGGTTTTATTGGAACATTTTTCATTTTTGGGGGTCTCGGTGTTGTAAATGATAGATAACAATTCTGGGGGTTTATTTTGTAAAATTGATGGAGAAAGAAGACTAATGGTATTTTTGTTAATGCTTTAGTTCATTTGTATTACGATAATTAATGTTACAATTTAATTGTGGCTCCTCATACTCTTATTTTCTAATTTTGAATAAACCCAAAGTCCATGGTTGGTTGGAAGGTAGTTTGAATTCATTGAATTTGTCCATCTAAATGCACTTTGTTTTTTTATGAAAATAAAACACTATTATTAATAGTATTATTAGCCAATTTTGTTAGTTTATTTGGAAAATAAAAAAAAAAACTTTTACACTGTTGGACTTGAATTGGATCCAAATGCCTCTCTGATCTGAGTGGTTATGATTTCCTAATTGATGAGTACTAGATGAAATGAGGAAATGGTTTGCATGCATGCATAATACCTTCAACAAACAAGTTTCTCAACCCAATTAAAGATAAAGTTTCAATATGTGTGTTTGGACAAAAACTGATTATTAAAAAAGGCGAATTAAATGTGACAACTGTTTATATTTTGTTTGAAGGATTTAATGTTGCAATTTGTGTGTGGTTAAGTAATAAGTACGGGATATTTAATTTGATAGTAAGGTCATTCAAAGATATGCTGACCTAACTTCAAATGCTTAGGTCAACAGTGCACACATATTCGCATATATGAATAACTGCAAGTTTGCAACTAACGTAATAAATCGCAGATATGAAAATCCGATGTGCATGTAAACTTATTTTATTAGTAGTATAAAAAAATGTCAACGACGTAAGGAAAAGTAGAAAGCAAATACTCTATTAACGAACAACATATCGCATGGCCGATATTATACTACGGCCGACGAGCAGATCTGCAGATGAGTTAGATTTATCAGTAACTAGTATTTTGGCCCATGCTATGCATGGGCATTTTAAAATATTAAAACCACTTATAAAACTGATTTTATAATATCCAGAAAATTAGAAGAACTACTTTCTTATGTTTTGTAATTAAAGTAGTTATTCTTGATAATAACAATGTAAAAGTATGTAAACAGAAATAATTGCATAATAGAGTTTTCATTTTTGTTTGTTTCATTGACTACTTTCTTATGTTTTGTGATTAAAAACATAACATAAAATAGGTCTGTGTGTTCAAAAATATCAAAAAGGAGTTAAACTCAAAATCTCTATATATTGATGATCTAGATTCTTTGCATTTGTATACGCACATTAAGTAAAGTTTCCTAAACTTTGAATAAATTAAAAGATGAATTCTAATAATGTAAAAAAAAAAAGAATTGTGGAGCACCTCCAAATACCACATTGTACTTTTAATGGGAAACGCGACAATAGCTACAGTTTTGAACTTCACTAACTAAAGGCTTCCTTCTCATCACCTTAACTTCTTCTTGTCACTTTCAGTTATCTTCTTCTTTGCTGAAGAAACTTTTGATATCTTCTTCAAGCCCCTGATCATTTGATTGTGCTTCTTTGGCATCTTTTTCATGATCGAAGCATATGATGATATTCCACCATTTTTCTTTGAATTAATCGAGATCAGATATCAATGATCGATGCCACTCCGTCAAAACAAAAATGGACGTACGGGTGGATATCTGAACAGACAATTGGATGAGAATGATCAGAGTGGTAAAAATCAGTTAAGTTTCCATATGTTATAATAATAAAAAATATAGATATATTCATGTAGACGTTAAAAAGAAACACCGGCCAGATAAGTTCCATAGGTTATAATAAGTTGCTTAATTATGAATGAAATCGTAGAACTTACAATGAAAAACTTTGTAGTCTCTTCTTTCCGTCGTTTCTGTCGGTTGTCAAGTAGAAAACACGATTCCATAAAAATAACTACAGTTTTTGTTTTTGCAGAAGGGATGGTGATTTGAAGGAGGTGAATTGAAGGAACAATTGTGATAATGGATTGTGAGATATATATATATGGTGATTTAAAGAAAGTGAGTTGATGAAGTTAATTTGGGGATCGTGGATTGCAAAAAAGAGATCGTGGATAGAGCAAAATCAGAGATCGTGAGATTCTTTCAGTTTTGATGCAAAAATTATGTTTTTCAGAAAGGTAAATAAAAAAAAATGTAAAACAAATAGAGAAGGATCGTGGGTATTTTCAATTTGAAAAAGGATAATGATTACGGAGAAAAGAAAAAATAATAACAAATAGTATAATTAATTAAATTTGGAAATTGAGAATGACACGTGTCATAACCACAATTGCCGACTGACTTCTGTTTTATATAATAAAGGATGATAGAATTATACTACTGGTGGGACCAGAAATTATAATATTTCGTAGGTAGTATAGTTTTTGCATTTAACATTTTTGTATGTGTGTGGCATTAATACATTACTCCGGATGGGATATTGGGATATATACGTATATATAATATATGGTTTGATATTCGTCTTTATCCATAACAAATCTAGAGTATATTTTTTCGTACGTTTACTAGTTACTACAGTTTCAAAATTATGTTTACGTCTATAATTATAGGACACACATATTTTTAATATTTAAGTCTCATCTTCAGTGGAAACTAGTCCTAATTTCATGTACGATTTCTTTTTCTTATTAGGTGGATTTCAGATTATAGAATGGATATGAAAATGAGAAAAAAAAAAAAAAAAAAAAAAGAGAAATTGAGAAACTCATCCTAATAGAAACGAATTCAATTAATGGGATCGTGACATCTAATAAATTGTAATTAATGCTCCTGCTACATTTATGAACTTTGGTCATTTCCTTCACGGAAACATTTAAATTCCACGTGTCAACTTATTTGCCTTCTCCATTAATTGATTTTGGCATATTTGTTTTATCTTGTGCTTTTTCAGGGAAAACCTATTAGGACATAATGTCCCACATCGGAAGTTGGAAGGGATCCTAAGTAATATATAAGGGATATGGGCCACTCCACTCATTGCCAATTGGTTTTGAGTTGGAAGTCCATAGAACTTAACATGGTATCAGAGCCCGATCCACACATGTCCAACCCGATCCGACCCAAAGATGGTCCAATCATCGACAAGGCCCAAAATTGATGCCGTCGATCTAAGCCCGAACATTCCGAGATTAATGGCCAAAGAGCCATCATCTCGAGGGGGCGTATTAGGACATAATATCCCACATCGGAAGTTGGAAGGGATCCTAAGTAATATATAAGGGATATGGGCCACTCCACTCATTGCCAATTGGTTTTGAGTTGGAAGTCCATAGAACTTAACAAAACCTCCCAAAAAAAAAAAAAAGAAACGGTGATAAACAATGTGAAAATGCGATTGTTCACAGTTTCATGTGATTATGGCTCTGATTGGTTGGTGCTTTAGAGTCTTTACAAAGCAAAAAAATTTCTAAAGCATTGAAATAGATCCAATCAAGCTTTAGAAGCTTTGGCTTTCTTTTTTTTTCTCACAGCCAAAATATTTCTATAATTAATTTTTTTGGCTGTAGAAAGCCTTTTTTCTAAAGCATATAATTTTCAACTTTCCAAAATTTTAAATGCTACAGCAAAAATACTACAGCACTAAAATCTACAGTCACAGACAAAACATCTACAGCCTAAAATCTACAGTAAAAAATCTAAAGCTACAGCCGGAACCAATCAGGCCCTATATTTCGTACGTATATCCGAAAATGTGAAAAATCAATATTTGTCTTGTCCATGCTTTCATTATTGAAGCGCTTATTTTCTCTTAAAAAAAATTATTTTTCAGTACGACACCGTTTGACCAGCTGAAAATTATCCATCTCTCTTCGGCCCAATTTAAACGTAGCCGTATCCATAAATGGGCCTGGCCCATGTTGAGGAGGGTGTTTATTTTAATTTTAATATTATTTTAGTATTTTCATCATCTTCACAAAACCCTCAACCCTAATTTCAATTCCATTACTGCCTCTTCTCTGTTACTGCTTCAGAATCAGTGGTGATAATGGGCAAAAGTAGGCGTAAACAGAAGGTTATACCTCCACCGCAGCTTCCGCCGGATGTACCCGAAGAGGATATTGAGTTTTCCGACGAGGATTTGAAGTACGTCGAAGAGAACACTGAATACGCCCGATTCGTCTCTCGTCTTGACACCGCCGCTATCGATAAGTGCGTATAAGTCTCTTTAGACATTGTTTAAATTTGGTGATTTTTAGTATTAGTGTTGATTTTGTTTGTTTTAGCGTGAAATATTTACGACAGTCAATACTTGCTATATCCGAATCGATACCTGGAATTTGCATCCTCATTTTTGAATCGAATCTCTGTATTGATAATATATTGTTACGCTGTTGCTAGGCAATGCGGTGGTAGAGTAAAGACAGTGGAGGATAAGTATGAAGAAGAAAGATCAAAGAAGAAGACACTCCAGGAAGAGAAAGGGAATGGCGAGATTCTAGTGGATCCTGTTGATGTGCTCCCTGTCAAGACTTTAGATGGAAAACTCCACTATCGAACAGGTAAGAAACGAGAAGACTCTTTTGTTGTAAGTCTAATGGCTCAATTTTAGTAGCATTCTAATTGGAGGTTTTTCTGTTTCGTGGCTACTGCATTGGTATGGTTCAGAGTCAAAGAAGTCAAAACTAGCTGAAGCCGACACAGATGAATTAGAGAAGGATGTTCTTGATGATGAAAATATATTGAACAAATCTCAAAGGAGAGAAAAAGCTAAAAAGAGTAAAAGGGAGGCAAAGAAACATGAGAAGGATTTTCCTAATGAGATTTTACAAGAGGAAGAAACTCCCCAAGCCGCAGTTCTGGTAATGCCTTTTTTTGAGTTTCTCTGTTTTTTTTTTCATTATATAAGTAGCTATAAACATTTCAATGTTCATTCTTTGACATGACTTTTCATTGAGCACCATAGTTGATAGCTTTCTGCATCTTGATCGTGTAATAACTTCTTTGGAGTTAATCATTCTGAAAATTGGATATTTTGTAATTTGGAGCGTTTCAGTGTTTTCCATATTCATTCATCATGTTTTTTTTTTTAACGTGTGAATGATTTTCTTTCTCCATCAGGCTGAAGTGAAAGAAGAACTATCTGCTGCAGAGACATTTGAAAATAAGAAAAATAAACTCGCGGAATTGGGAATGCTACTACTTTCTGATCCTGAGGCAAACATAAAATCTTTAAAGGAAATGTTAGATATCTGCAAGGATGAGAATACGAAGATTGTGAAACTTGGCTTGTTATCTCTGTTGGCCGTATTCAAAGATATTATTCCTGGGTAATTTTATTAATCTTCTATGTACCTTTATTCCTCATTTTATTTTCTAATCATTCTCTTCGTTCTCCCCCTTCGATAGTGTTGGTAATTAGCCCTTCTTATTTTTTTGTGGTGCCAGCTATCGGATTAGACTTCCTACAGAAAAGGAGCTTGAGATGAAGATCTCAAAGGAAGTGAAGAAAACTCGGTTCTATGAGTCTACTCTATTAAAAGCGTACAAGGTGTGCATGTCAATTATATTTGATTCCTGATTTTTCCGAGTATAATTGTAATACGTTTTCCTTTGCTTCTGATGTCCTTGACAGTCATATCTGCAGAAGTTGATTAGATTTGAAAAACTGTCAGTATATAACCAAATTGCCAATCGGTGCCTTTGTACATTGCTGGAAGCAGTTCCTCACTTCAACTACCGTGATAACCTGTTAATTGCTGTTGTCAGAAATATCAGCTCCCCAGATGAAGTCGTAAGGTCCTGGTTTTAACTCTTTTTCAGAGTGACGAATTATGTCCAACTGATATACCATGGAATCTAACCCATAGTAGAATTGTTAATATCTCTTGTGTCATCATGTCATTTTACTGCAATTGCATCCTTTTCGTTCCTATCTAACTCATTTCTTGCACCTGTTTGTGTATGCAGGAGACTCTGTTGCTCTACTATCAGGTCTCTTTTCTCAAATGAAGGGAAACATGGTGGTGAGCTGACTGTGCAAGCTGTACGCTTGATTGCTGATCATGTCAAAGCTCACAACTGCCAACTTCATCCTAATGCTATCGAGGTATTAATTGGTATTATCTTAGCATTCTAAAAACCACACATTTATGCACCAATCGCTGAGTAAAGGTGTTAGAGCTGCTCCTGATTGAAAAACTAATCACGAAGTACACATTATCATTGGAAAACATTTTGTAAGACTAATACAAGCCGCTTAATAACTCGGGAGCAATCTGGTTATATTTCTTATCTCTGTGTTTGTTGTCATTTACCCTTGCTTCCATTTTTCTAATGGTCCTTAGGTGTTCATGTCCATTCGCTTTGACGAGGATATCGGAAAGCGTGACAAAGAGGATGAACATAACAAGAAATATAAGAAAAATAATAAAAGAAAAGCCCAGGAGGAGCAAAATCAAGTGCAGGAAAATGAGAGGAAGAAATCAAAGCAAGAAATGATGTCTAAGATCAGAGACGAGGTAATTTACTTTCCTTCTGTGCCATATATTTGTTGGTGGGAAAGTTGATGTTTTAATCTTGTTTTCTCTTGCATGGACAACCATTTATATGACCATAACATCTAAAATTGGTTTCTGTTCTACTATTGGTTTGCTATAAATTGATATTTCTTGATGGCTTGTTCTTAGGTTTCTGCTGATTACAGAGGAGTTACCTATGAACCGGATGCTAAGGAGCGGCGAAAGATGCAGACAGAGACACTTTCTGCTGTTTTTGAGACCTATTTCCGTATCCTGAGAAACACAATGTATACAATTGGCGAAAGGTATTTTTATAGATTTTAAAAGCTAATTTAAATTGTGTTTTCAATTGTCGTGATTAGGAATTAAATAATGCTTCTGTTCTTATCAAATCTCAAAAGATAGAATTCCCCGTTTGCAAAATCAGTTCCAGTAAAATTCTTGGTGTGAATTCTCGTTGGCTTTACAGTCACAGATAACTATTTAACTGGTCATATGTCTGCGTCATTTTTAGTTCTTTTTTCACAACGTCACTTTCACTTATTTCAGAACAGAAGAAAATCCAACTTCAAATCCGGGTGCCTTTGGATCACACCCTTTGCTTGCTCCATGCTTGGATGGGTTGGCAAAATTCACCCAACAACTGGACTTGGACTACATCGGAGATCTAATGAACTATCTAAAGAAGCTTGCTTCTAGCAGTAGCGTCTCCAACAACACAAAGCAGAAAAACTCAAAACTCTTGACAGTATCTGAACGCCTTAGGTGTTGCCTTGTCGCCTTCAAAGTCATGAGGAGCAACTTAAATGCCTTGAATGTTGACTTGCAAGACTTCTTTGTCCAACTTTACAACCTCATTCTTGAGTACCGCCCTGGAAGGTTTGTTATAACTTTTTCCTCTTTTAACCGCAACATAAGTTAAATCTAGTTTAGTTTAAAACACTTTGTGATGTGATACAGAGATTCAGGTGTAGTCTTGGCTGAGTCTCTGAAGATAATGTTGTGCGACGACAGACATCAAGACATGCAAAAAGCAGCCGCATTTGTAAAACGTTTAGCCACATTCGCGTTATGCTTTGGATGTGCCGAATCTATGTCTGGTAATAAACTTTACAAACACTTTGAATTACACATCACATGTCCCTTATCTCAAATCTGTCTCTCAGTCTTGAATTGTCTTCCTTTTACAGCGCTAGTCACTTTGAAAACGCTGCTTCAGAAGAACGTGAAATGCAGAAACCTTCTAGAGAACGATGCTGGAGGCGGCTCTGTTTCTGGTTCAATTGCAGTAAGTCACAACATTTTACCCTCAGTATACAGATTTAACTTGGGAATATGATTTGTTGCTTAGCGAAATTTCGATTGCAGAAATATCAGCCGTATGCAACAGATCCTAACCTAAGCGGGGCCTTAGCAACAGTGCTTTGGGAACTCAGTCTCTTGAGCAAACATTATCATCCGGCGATCTCAACAATGGCCACAACAGTCTCCAACATGAACACTTCTCAAAGCCAAACATTTCTGTCTGCAGTGACTCCACAACAGGCTTTTGCAGATTTCTCTCTTGTAAAGGAATCGTTTGAGCTTAAGAACGAGTCTCGGAAACTGAACAAACGGAAACGAGAGAGTTTGCCTGAAGAAGCAAAGAATGTTCCGGAAATCGACATGGTTAAGCTCAGCAAGAAATTGAAAGAGAACTTTACTATTCTTCTAGATATAAAAGAGGACGAGAGAGAGAGAATGGAGTTGCAGTCTGAGAAGAAAAAACCATTGAAGAAACAGAATAACGTGGTGAAGAAGAAACTTAAGAACCCTAAATCCAAAAAGAAAATTTGATAGGCTTTTTGTCTTATTCTCCCTTTAAAGGTTATATACATTGCGTAACTTAAAACGCATCAGTTAATGTTGTTCATTCTAAATTTTGAATACATTTTTGTTAGAGTGACATTTTTTGTCAACAAGAAAAGTATTTTTATTCACATCGACCTTGGTAATCCTGAAAACTTGGATAACAAAAATAATTGTGTATATGTGATGATGTATTCGTATTATTTCAGGATTATTTATTTGAATTAATTTCTTAGAAACTAGTACCAACATCGTATAAAATCGATCATTAATACAAAACAACATAGTGATACATGTGCCTGCAGAGTTAAAAGATACGCAAGATCTTCTTCTAATCCACTCACAGTTGGCCACAAACCGTTTACTTTGTTTATAAAAATAGAAATGGAGATCCTTCTCAGCTAATATATGTTGTAAGCTGTGAACAGCAAATTGTTCTCCACAAAAAAAAAAAGTCCAGCCGTACATCGACGGTACATGGAAGATACGGCCATGTTGAGACCTTTTGTTCTAAACACTATTTTAATACACATATAGTCAATCGTCGTTATTACAAGATATTTGCTACTTTATAATATATAAGTTTTTCGAATCATCATTTCTTCAATTAATAAGTATAAAATTTCAATAAAAAAATGTAAGTAATCTTCGTAGTGTAAAGAATCAAGAGTAGAGATGAAAGAGTTTTCTATATCATTGCATTGAGAATCGATTACAGATATATATACATTACAAAGGCGTAGTCACCAAGCTAATCAAACGTAAATACCAAAGATTTGGAGAGAATATACAGCGGAGATTAAGGGAACTAATTACTGTGATTTGCATAACTTACGGGATATGATTTCCAAAGGTAAATGATATCCCAATACCCCCCCTCAAACTGGAGCATGGAGATTCAAAATGCCTAGTTTGAGACAAAATTCTTGGAAACATTTGTGAAGATGTCGGCTAGTTGAGAGCTGCTTTCAACGTGAATAGGAGTGAGATTACCTGACTGTATCTCGTCACGAACAAAATGGCAGTCGTTCTCGATATGTTTTGTACGCTCATGGAAGACGGGGTTCGTGGCAATGTGTATTGCTGATTTACTATCACAGTAAAGGTGCATTGGCTGAGAGTGTGTCTCACCAAGGTCTTGGAGAACACGTTTCAGCCATATAAGTTCCTTTGTTACATACGCCATGGCTCGATATTCAGCTTCTGCTGAAGACATACTAACAGTGTCTTGCTTCTTCGTTTTCCAAGAAACAGGAGAAGTACCAACCTGAACAAAATACCCAGTAACAGACCTTCTTGTAATTGGACAGCTTGAATAATCTGAATCACACCATCCTGATATCTGAAAATTTTTCTGAGCCTTCAATAATATACCTTGGCCTGGATTACCCTTCAAGTATCGCACAGCTCTTAACGCAGCTTCCCAATGATCTTCTCTTGGTGCTTGCATAAATTGTGCTAAAATGTGAACACAGAAAGCCAAATCAGGTCTCGTCGCAGCCAAGTATATCAGGCGCCCAATCATTCTACGGTAAGGCTCTGGATCCGGTAACAATGGCGAAGTAGACAGAGCAAGTTTATGATTTTGTTCGAGAGGAAACTTGGCTGGTTTGGAGCCCAACAGACCAGCATCTGCAACAATCTCAAGAGCATACTTTCTTTGACTTAAATAAAATCCTTTTGAGCTTCGAGACACCTCGATTCCCAAAAAATACTTTAGTGCACCAAGGTCTTTCATCTTGAAACAGGACGCCAAATATCGTTTAAAAACAGTAAGCGCTTCATCTGAATTACTCGAGACAATCATATCATCGACGTAGATAAGAATATTAAGTCGTATCCCACCTTTGTCGAAGGCAAACAATGAGTAATCAGAGAGTGATTGAATAAAACCGTACTCTCGCAAGGCACTTGTCAACTTCTCAAACCAGCAGCGAGGCGCTTGCTTCAGCCCGTACAAGGATTTGCGCAGCCTACACACTTTCTTCTCATCATTTGTAAAATAACCAGGAGGTGGTTTCATGTACACTTCTTCGGTTAGATCACCGTGCAAAAATGCGTTGTGCACATCCATCTGATGCACGGGCCAATTATTTCCTGCAGCTACTTCCAGAAACATACGAACCGTTTGCATTCGCGCCACCGGAGCAAACGTTTCGCCATAATCCACACCTTCGACTTGCCGGTTGCCAAGAGCAACTAAACGTGCTTTATAGCGTTCAATCGTCCCATCGGCGTTATGTTTAATCTTGTAAACCCATTTTGAACCAATCGCTTTTTTTCCAGGTGGTAAATCCTCTATTGTCCAAGTATTGTTGTCCTCAAGAGCTCCAACCTCAGACCCCATTGCATTCGTCCACACCTTACTCTTAATTGCTTGTTTGAAAGTCTTTGGCTCAACAGCTTCAGTGATTGCAACCAAGTATGCTCGATGCGTGGCTGAAAATCGAGTACAGCCAACATAATTTTCAATCGGATATAGAGATTTAGGCTTACCCAAAAGCTTTGTCTGTGCCGAATTTGTCACAAAATCTTTTAAAGTGACAGGTTGTACACGAGGTCGTGTCCCACGACGAAGAGGAGCAGCCACCGGAGAGGGATTTTCAGCTGCTTGAAGAGGAGAATCCGGAGCTGGTGATGCAACCGGAGAGCTCGTCGGACTCCGTTCAGGTGTAGACGGCGACGGTGAATCGGAATCATGATCGGACTGAATTGATTTCGGTGATGAAGATTCTGTTGGAGAAGACGACAATGAGTGTGGCGTTGTAGTGGATATTTCAACAGATGGGCTCAAATTAGATAGTGTTTCTAATGGGCCATCCATAATAGTTGGGCCTGCTAAAGAATTAACTCTTGTAGGCCTGATTTCTTCTTCTTCAAACGGGCCTATAGAATTTGAGACCCAATTTCCATCTTCTCCTTCTTCTTCTTCTACGTTTCTTCCATATGAATTTCCATCTTTGGCAAAAGGAAACTCTGTTTCTGAAAAAACAACATCACGGGAAGAGAAAAATTCATTTGTATCAAGATCATAAAGTCTCCACGCCTTTTTCCCATAAGGATATCCCACAAATATACACTTTCGACTTCTTGAAGCAAATTTGTCTCCCTTGTGCGTTTGGTTATGCGCATAGCAAAGACTCCCAAAAACCTTCAAGTGTTCATAACTAGGAGCTGTTCCATGTAATCTCTCATACGGCGTTGCCCCATTCAATACTGAACTTGGAGTTCTATTGATCAAATATCCAGCTGTCAAGATGCATTCTCCCCAGAATGTGATTGGCAAGTTCGATTGAAACCTTAAAGCTCTAGCAACATTCAAAATGTGTCGATGCTTTCTCTCTACTCGTGCATTCTGCTGAGGCGTACCGACACATGATGTTTCATGAACTATTCCTTGACTTTGAAAGAACACGCCCATGCTTGTAAATTCTGTCCCATTATCACTTCTAACACGTTTCACTTGTTTCTGGAATTGTCTTTCAGCCATAGAGATCAAAGCTTTCAGATTAGTTGATGTTTCAGTTTTGTCTTTCTGAAGATAAACCCACACACTTCGTGAAAAATCATCTACGATTGTAAGAAAGTAACGAGCACCAGAAGATGAAGAAACTCGATACGGTCCCCAAATGTCACAGTGAATGAGCTCAAAAACAGAAGTTGTTTTATTATCACTAATCGGAAAACAAGACCTTGTTTGTTTAGCGCGAAAACAGACATCACACGCTTTATTGGAAATTGTAGAATCAACAGAAACAGAAACATGCGGAAGTGAACCAACTACTCTAGCAGACGGATGTCCCATCCTATTATGCCACAACTCGTAAGCTTTTGCCTCCTGCGTTGTAACCGACGCCACCAACTCCGTTCTGCAAAAGCGGAAGGTTCCACCGTCTCTCTTACCCGCACCAATCATCGTCCTCGAAACGCGGTCCTGGATAACAAGGAACTGATCAGCTAATTGTACCACACAATTATTCTCATCCATCAACTGACCCAATGAGATAAGATCAGACTGAAATTCTTCAACAAAGAAAACCGATTTCAAAACCAGACTTGATCCCAACATAACAGTTCCTTCTTTACATGATATTCTTTCTCTACCATCAGCTAGAATCACTAACACTGGTTCCATATCCCTCACGTTGGCAAGAATTTCATAGTTTCCCGTTAAATGATGTGAAGCTCCTGTGTCTAAAATCCAAGAAGGAGAGAACGACTTACCAGAGAGTTTTTCCTTGCTCGTGCTGGCACCACCATTCGCATTCAAAAGCTTCACAAGATTCTCCCACTGAATCTCACTTAGCCCGCTGACGCCGTCACGATCCTTCTCCGTGATCACATGATTAGCATGATGTTCATGAACCGAAATATGAGCTGCATTAGCAACATTCATGTTACGACCTCTTCCAGCAAAAGTCACACCACGTCCTCTACCTTGCATCGTTCTTCCTCTTGGTCTATCACCCCACCACTCCGGATACCCAACAACCGCAAAACAGCTCTCAGAAGAGTGGCCTCCACGATTACAGTGTTTGCACACCGGCAGCCCTTCATCAGAACGAACTTGTGAATTAACACGAGCTCGTTGTTGTACCGCATACGCAGTGACTTCAGCAACTTCATCACTCTTCTTCACATTGGTCCTCAAATCTTCCTCTTGACGGACAACATTATACACCTCCTCCATAGGCTGAATCGGTATACGAGACACCAAACTCGACCTCACTGTCTTGAAAGCATCATCAAGACCAGCCAAAAACTCGTGAACTTTGTCTTCTTCACGATCTTGTTCCTGGAGAACATTGAGGTTGCACTCACACTTGCCGCATTTACAGACACGCAAGGGCCTGTGATTAGCCATGCTATCCCAGATCCGGCTCAATTTTCCATAATAGGCTTCTATCGCTAGCCCTCTCTGCTTACAGCAAGCGAGCTCCGCCTTGAGCTGCTGAACGCGTGGTCCATTGGTTACGGAGAACCGCTTCTTCAGGTGATCCCACAGATCCTTGGCTACGTCCCGATGAGAGATGTTGGAACGCAGTGAAGGATCAATGGTCATTCTGATCCATGATACCAGCAACGCCTGAATGGTCCACCAATCTTCCAAATCGGAAGACCCTTCTGCTGGTCGAGCAATGGATCCATCAAGAAATCCAAATTTCTTCCGTGAGCAAAGTGCAGTTTTCATACCACATGCCCATTCTTCATAGTTCATCCCCTTCAGCAGAGGATGAGAGATCACGGCGCCAGGGTTGTCAGCGGCTGTCAGGTCATAAGGAGAGATCTTGCGTCTCACCTCCACAATCGTCGTCGGGTTCGCTGCTCTGTTTTCACCATTTCCAGCCATGGTTAAACAAAGATCAAGAAATTCAAAGTTTTTGTGTTTCAAGCTCTGATACCATAAAGAATCAAGAGTAGAGATGAAAGAGTTTTCTATATCATTGCATTGAGAATCGATTACAGATATATATACATTACAAAGGCGTAGTCACCAAGCTAATCAAACGTAAATACCAAAGATTTGGAGAGAATATACAGCGGAGATTAAGGGAACTAATTACTGTGATTTGCATAACTTACGGGATATGATTTCCAAAGGTAAATGATATCCCAATATAGTGGATTTACGTCTTTTCATAGTGGATTATCCACGCAAGCTTCACATCGCATCATATATCTGAACTTTTTAATCAATTAAAATGTTAGGTGTTGGGACGATATCATGGATATATAATCAACAACTTTATCAGTTAATTCATTGACTTCAAACTTTAAAATATTATTATTATTATATATAGTTGATGATGATCCGTAGTACGGTACGTGAAATAACTTGCATTTTGTCACTTCAATTTTAATTAAATTGATAATTTGGAGATAAAATCGAAAAAAAACAAATTTCATATTATCAATCATAAAGAAAATTTCTCCGATCAGTCAAATAAAAAAGGAGAAGACCGAAGAACAATTGCTGTTTATCCACGAAACTTGAAAAAAAGAAAAAGAAAAAAACAGAATCATGCATGTTCTACTCTGTAGATACATCTTCACCAGATAACGACGCAATGAGCTCTGATGTATCAGCGATTCCAGAACGGAGAGACTCCACAACTTGCTCGAACACGAATACGTTACAAGGAATATGAAGAACTCCTTTCTGAGCGTATCCGTATTCTTGAGCTGATCGATTCAGCAATCCAACGAAAACAGGGTGATTCAGCAGCTCTGCACTCACCACGAACCTCTCCATCTCTTCGCCGACGTTGACGGGGACGTGGCCGGAGGGAACAGTCGACGAGACGGTTGCTCTCTTGACCAAGAAAATGGACGATGACGCCGCCGTCGGGTGATGGATATCTCCGCTACGATTTCGGTTGCAGGAGGATGAGTCAGCGATTCGTGAGAGACGTCGAATCAGAGGCTTCATCTTTGATTCTAGTCTTCTAGAGAAAAAGAGACAGATATATGCGATATATATTGGTTTATTATATATGGAAGAGAGGTGGACTCACCTTAAGCTTATCGGAAATGTGTATATTAAGTATTATTTTATTTTGAGATGACACAAATGGTATTTAATTTACTTCATACATATATATGTTAACATAATGAGTCATGGTCAATTTAACAATTGAAAGAACTACCTAATTTTGATTATGCAATATGAGAAACTCTCTAAATGTGGTTGATTTTCCAAACTTTCCTCACTTACAATAGTCAAAATTACAAATAGAAGAGTAGTTGTTAACAACTTTATGAAATGTAGATTGCCAAAAACACAAAAAAAAACTTTTGCTGTACAAATTAATTTTATACCATTTTGGCTTTTTTTATATGATGACATATACAGAGTAAAACCGACGGAGATGGAGTGGATAAAAAACGACGTTGCGTTTATTAATCTACTTTTTTACCATATTATGCAATTTTTGGTTTATTTTATCCGTGTTTATTTGTTGTTTGTTTGGATTTGATGATAAAAAAAATAGTATAAATTAACAAAACAAAAATACTGATAGATGGTTTTTGTATACTGTATTTTGGGAAAAATCGTCATTGACTAGATTTTATAAGAGAGAGTAAATAAACAAAAAATTAATGTTCATATTTGACTTTTTTGGAGGGAAAATAGTCTCTAAAGAGTTTTTAAACGTGGGAGAAAAAAACAGAGCTTGTGGCAAAATTCACCAGAAGACGAACAATCATCTGTGAGAAAACTCTTGGATTCCTCTGAAAAATCAGAAACCCTAATCTTCTTTGGGGCTTTTTCAACAAACCCTAGAAAGATTCACGTTATTGAGGAGATGTCGAGACTTACCGGTCGATCGGATATCGAGCTTCCTGATGAGATTCTATCGATAATTCCGACAGATCCTTTCGAGCAGCTGGATCTCGCGAAGAAGATCACGTCCATGGCGATCGCCTCTAAGGTGGAGGTAGAGGTGGTCGGATTAAGGCAGGAACTCCAGGTGATGGGAATGGGTATCCACGAGCTCGAGGGTAAGGCGTCTCGTTTCGAGAGAGATTTCCGAGAAGCCGATTCAAGGTTGAAGATCATCCTCCATAATAATGTGAGAAAATTTTCTATTATCTCTTTTCCTCTGCCCCTCCTCCGTTGATTCTCTGTTTCGTTTCCGTTTACTTATGAATTGGTTAAGTGTGTCGGATTTTAATCACTAAATTGTAGATTCCCATTTGAGAACAATTTTGTGTTGCTATACAATCTTTATTTAGCTTAGTCGGCATATTGAGATCTATGATCAGCTCAATAGTTGTGAACGAACATATTTTCAAGAATCACATGTTTCTGTGGCTTCACCCTCTTTCTTTTCCGGTGAAGATGAGTCTGACAAAGGAACGTGATTCACTGACAACAACAGTAACGGATTTGAATAGTGAAATGGCTAAGGTAAAGCTCTTTTTTATATTGTTGGTTTAGTGATTACCTGTGTTTGCTTGTGCAGTGTACTCTGGGGAAGAAACAACTAATCTTTATCTATATTTTTTTTAATTTCAGTTGGAGACATTCAAGAGGAAATTGATTCAATCCTTTAGTTTTATCAGCTTTTCTCATGACAGATTCTTCTTCTTCTGTAATCGCCTCTACTACGTTTGTTTCTGCAGCAAACAGAACCTGTTGATATCAGGACATCTGACCAGTCAGTTCCTGATTCGTATCCAGACAAAGGTACTGTATCAGTATTAAGATGCTACTGAAACTCTTAAATCACACACACGAGTTGCCTTGTTTGATACTCAATATCTCGCTCTGTGCACTGCTTCCAACATTCTTACAGTAAATCTTCAGACTTGACTCATCCACTTGACCATAACACTGGATTATTACCTCTATTTCACAACTAGACAAGTATATGAATATATGAATGTACTCAAACTTATGCTGATATTTTACTTAGCAGCTTCGAAGTACACAGGACCAAGATTTTCTGTTTCTCCCTGGATTAGGCCAACTAGAACACCGGATATAATCTCTCCTCGAAGTAATTCTAGTGCAGGACCGCCCAAGAAAACTTCAGGTGCAATGTCTCCCACATATACAACTCTTTGGTACCCCTCAAGCCAGCAATCATCAGCTGCAAGTTCTCCTCCTCGTGGCCTCCCACTTCCAGGTTAGGGTTTCAATACATAGAACTATTCATCTTTCTATATATGTTCACTTTCTCTGATTTTAATGCTTAAGCTTACGCAGCTTGTACACCTCGGATCGATGCCAAGGAGTTTTTCCGTCAAGCCAGGTTAGTTCTTTATCTTCTTTTTTTCCTTTTTTGGGGAGAGATTGATTTTACGAATTTAACCTTTAACCTATTCTCTGTTGATTATCATCCAGGAGCAGATTATCATATGAACAATTCAGAGCCTTCTTGGCTAACATCAAAGAACTGAATGTTCAGAAGCAAACCCGAGAGGTAAGCAAAAGCTGTTTTCAATCTGTGTTTACAAGTGTGTATATATACGCATTAAAAAAAATGATGTGCATTTTTTAGGAAACTCTGAGAAGAGCGAATGAGATATTCGGAACAGAGAACAAAGATCTTTACCTGTCTTTCGTAGGACTTGTCACCAAGAACATGAGCTAAAACGACAAAAGTTAGACTCAAAGAGATATAAATATAATGGCTCTTGGATCCGAAACTAAGCTAATCTTGTTTTTCTTTTTCTTTTTTTTGACATCAGTTAATCTTGTTACATTGTGAATTGTTCATGTGTGTTTCTATCTTCTAAGCTCAAGACAATATTTACTTTTGTGTACGAATAATAAAAAAAGAGAAAAAATATTGTGAACTTGTGATTTGATTTTTTGTAGTATACACATGAGCTTCAAGCAACAATGACTCCCATGTCTGAGATTGACGACAAGAAAACTATCTAGTATTAGATAAATGGGTCGACTTATTGGGCCTGAATATAAATATTTGGAAGCCCATAAAAGAGATTTTGTTTCTGTATATCGATTTAGAGAATGACCGCGAAAATTACACTCTCAAAGTCCTGACTCCTGAGAGAGTATGTATATTTTCTAGGAAGATATTGGGGAAAATTGCAGTGTTAATCAATCTTCCTCGGACCCGGAGAAACTGTTATTGTTTGTATTTTTTTGTTTTTCTCAGAGAAGTTTAGAAGTAGAAGATTTGTATTTCATTGTGGGTGGCGAGGATTGTGCACATAAGGTGTTTGATAGAATGTCTAAACCGTTATTATACAGAAGATGTTCCATCTCTTCCGGTCTGATCCAAATTTTGAGAATCGATATGCTTAGAGAAACTGAAACTTTCGTCTTGTTTCCTGGGCAATCATCTAGTAGATCGCAATGGACGGTTTTTCAGGTGAGACACAAGTCTGGTGGAGGAGGATGGAGACCCAAGCAGAAAGTATATCACAGAGTTCATGAGCTTGATAAAGCAATAGACTTGAACAAGAAACCAGCTCTGATACTCCAGTTGAAATCTATTATTCAGGCGCAGAAACATGGAAGCCTTCTTCTTAGGGATCTTGAGAAGCATGTTGGGTTTGTTCACAAGTGGAACTTAATGGCTGCCATTGAGAAATACCCTTCGATATTTTATGTAGGAGGTGGAAACAAGGAACCTCCTTTTGTTATGCTGACTGAGAAAGCTAAAAAGATTGCAGCTGAGGAAGGTGAAGCTACAGAGTCAATGGAACCTATTCTGGTTAATAATCTTAGGAAGTTATTGATGATGTCTGTTGATTGTCGAGTGCCTTTGGAGAAGGTTGAGTTCATTCAATCTGCAATGTGTTTGCCTCAAGATTTTAAGAGTACATTGATCCCTAAGTACCCTGAATTTTTCTCTTTAAAGGTGATCAATGGAAAAGTTAATCTTGTCTTAGAGAATTGGGATTCTTCACTGGCAATCACTGCACGAGAGGATAGGTTATCCCGTGAAGGAGTCCCCGAGTCAGTTGGGGACAGAAAGAGGGTCAGGATAGCAAAGGATGGCAATTTCTTGGGACGAAATGCTTTTAAGATTTCTTTTCCTCCTGGTTTTAGGCCTAACGCTAGTTATTTAGAGGAGTTTGAGAAGTGGCAGAAAATGGAATTCCCATCTCCTTATCTTAATGCGAGAAGATTTGATGCCGCAGATCCTAAAGCTAGGAAACGAGTTGTAGCTGTGCTTCATGAACTGCTCAGTTTAACAATGGAGAAGAGAGTGACATGCGCTCAGTTGGATGCATTCCACCCTGAGTATCTGCTTCCGTCAAGACTAATACTTTGCTTGATAAAGCATCAAGGGATCTTCTACATTACTAACAAAGGAGCAAGGGGTACGGTATTTCTCAAAGATGCTTATGCTGGTTCTAATTTGATCGAGAAATGCCCATTGTTATTGTTCCATGATAGATTTGTTGCACTCTGTGGTCGAAAAGAAGTCAATCTATCTAATGAAATGCAGTCTTCAAGTGTTTTCTCCTAATCTTATATCAAGCAAATAAGATTCAGTTTTTAGGACCCTGAACCTGATAAGCATTTCACTGTATCATTTCTTCTTACCGTCAGTGTCTTCTCATGTGAAGAAAAGAAACGTACTTGTTAAGATATTAAAGTTTTCACCAACAAACAGAAGTGTAAATACTATCTGGTGATTGAGGATGCTAACTTTCTGAAAGCCAGAACGTGTCACAGCGTCTGATATGGTACCCAAGGGAGATGTGACTGGCTTATTGACTAGGTACTGTGAATGTGATTTGAACTATCTCGTCCATGTGGAGGTTGTGGATGCAGTTAGTATTACAATACACTTGTTTTTATCTCTGTGTACACGACTCTCTTGATTGTTTTCTGGAGAAAACGATAACGGAATCTTCTTCGTGTTTACACACGACGGAACATTTATTTGAATGCAGGGAAAGGGGGTCCAGAACTCATGTGGCTTGTGAAGGCATCATGGGAAAAGAGCCAAAGGGAAAAACAATTAAGTCGCACTCCACAATCCCCCATTTTAGACCTGAGTCGCATTCATGTTCAAAAACAAAAGGTCAGTGTTTTCATTATTAGCCTCTTTATTTTTCTTTTGACAGTTTTATGGTAAAATACACAAGTGCATTATAACAACCAAGTCCTGTCTGGTTGTTTTCTGCTGGCCCCGTTTTTGTTTCTACATTGAAAGCCATCATTTTTAAATTGGTTTTTGGAGATAAACAACAAAACTCTCTTTTTCATGGCGTTGGATGGTAATAGGCTGCTGATACATCAATTTTTGCTTTGCTTTGTTGGATAAACGACTAGTAAGCATTTGGTTTCTCGTGATAAACTGCGTAGTTAGTTGTCTGTTTTTGTTCTTAGTAAGGTTCCGTGTCTTGTTTGAACATGTTAACTAACCTATATATAGTCGAAACCTATCAATTTGAAATCCATAAAAAACGCTTATTGGCACAAAACAAAATCCAAAGTCAGATTCTTTTATTTTCTCTTTCTTATAAACTTTAACAAGTAAATGGATTCCTGTCCTTGTCATTTGGCATCTCATCCAAATGAAGGGTACACAATTCAAAGCATAAAGACAAGATCTTGAAGCTGATTGAAGCATCAAGATCAATTAAACACCCATCTTTGAATTGTTTTGTTCTCTTTTCCTTTTCTACCTTTATAAAGCCAAATCACATACCAAAACGTGAGGATCATCCGGTAACATCACGGCATATAAACCACGAATTCGAATCGATACGCTGATGTTGCATTAAGAAAACTACTGACAAAGACTTATAACCACACTCTGATATTTGAATTTTCTTCTTCTAAATATTGAAAGACACAGTTTCTATTGATTGATCTGGGAAACTTGTCTGTACATAGACAAAGACATTGGCTTTCTTTTTAAAACCAAAGGGAGCCCCATTTAGATACTTTTTTGGATGCTGATGCAAAATAAACAAGTTGACACATAAAAGATCAAAACTTTAGGGGTATCATTTTCATGTATGGAGGTTTTTGATTTCCCTGGGACAAAATTCTATGGTCCATTATTGTACAGTGGTCCTACAGTCCCAACCATTTTTCTGTGAATTATATGTGTACTGTTTTGGACAGAAGAACACATCATGCAATCCCTCAATATTATTTTCCTTCGTTGTTTGGTCCAATCTGAAACCTCTCTCTCTCCTCTCTACTTTTTCTTTTGAAAAATCGTTTTCAGCATTTCCAAAACCCCAATCTAATTCAGTTGTCAATAAATAATCGAGTACATTTTCCAGAAGTATTTGTACTGCTTTCTCTGTATAGTATTAGATCTCACCTTATTGCATCTTCCTTAATTGATCTAGTTGTCCATAACTAATTCCATGATTATGTTATAATAAATATTGCTTTTGTGGTCATTACTTGGTGTTGATTAAAAGAATAAAGATGCCATCTTCAGCCTGAAGCTCCTCACGCATGTCTGTTCTTTTTTAACTGTTAGACATTGCTATTTTCAAAAAGTAAATCATAGACATTGTACAAAACTTTTGATTTCTCCCCATTTCTCTTTTCTTTTCTTTTGATACCCAAATCTTTTTTATTGTTGTTTCTTGATACCCACATCAGCACTTTAGTTACCTTTTCCCAACAAAATATCTTTTTATTCCATTGACATATAGTCCAATCTGATTACCCTAATAACTATCCACATGAAAAAGAGTACTTTCATATACATTAACATTAAACTATCATATGTGTATCTATAACAGATACTTTATGCAAACATATTCCATCTTGGATATGATATCTGCCCACTAACCCCAACCAAACTACATAAATGATTTGGGTAGTTGGCTTTCTTTCTCTTCTTTTAAAATTTGATTTCTTTTAAAACTTTGGGATATGTATGGGTGCCTAATATAGACAAGAAGGAACTATTGCAATCACCTTTCTTTTACACTTTTCTCTGTTCAAGAGAGAAAAAAAAAAGGTATCCATGAACAGTTAATAGTTGTGGGGATATCAGAGTGAAAAGGAAAGAGAGAGAGAGCAATCATATAGCCATATTCTATAGGTATTCAGATGGGTCTATAACCACATTACCACTCTTCTTGAATCATCAAAATCAAGTTCCAAGTTATGTTATGACATAATAACATTATAAAATCTGACATCAATTCTGCATAAAAACCAATTACAGGAACAGGTCCATTGCGATCATAATGATTCATATTGTTGTGACTTGTGAGAGAAAATAAAGAAAGGGAAACTCTTTTGAGGTCTAAATCAAATTCACATGAGCTTTGCAGTGCTGTGGTTCAGTGGGATATGACTGATTGTTAACACTACATATATTTTCTTTATATAGTTCTCTTTTAATTATTCATCTTTTGAATTGGATGGTACTAATGATGAGAAATAAACAAATGTCTTTTGTGGCTTTTTCTGCAGTGATTTTCGGAAGACTTCACACCAAATCCACTCAGTCTAAAAGAGGGAAAAAAAAAGAGAAATAGCATTTTGCTTTGGCGTTGGTAAATGGTAGGTCACTGATATTCCCATGTAAAAGGAAAAACAAAATGCTCTTCGTGCTTTTTTTTTGTATCGTTTTAAATTTATCTCTTTGTGATTGTCTTTGCCAAATTCTGTATCATCATTAACCCTTCTAAGATTTGTAATTTAATGAACCAATATTATGTTTTTACAGAAAAATAAGCTCTTAGAATTAATCTTCGAAACGAGATGTTAAATTTAGTGATCTATATAATTATATAAATCGTTGGCAACAATTGATGTCTACTAATCTAGACTTTTCAATATTCACCACTAAAATAAACTTTTTTTTTTCAAACAAACAAAAAAGTCAGTTGCTTAAAGGATTGGTTTGGGGGTAATACTCACTTTGAAATTTGAATTTTCTATTCTTTTTTTGTGGGATTGTGATTCCGATTCACATTATTGACAAGAGTGTTAAAGGTTAAAAGAGGTGACAAATGTATTTGTTCCCATTTGGGCTCATCTAGTCATAGTTATGTAGTCAAATCGAATTGATGGCTTAGGGGTGAAAAATGATAAGTGGGCGCCAATTTCCCAACAATAAGATACAATAGTTAATTTTTAATTTATTAATTTAATAATTTTCTTAGGAAATAGAACAAAAAAGGCAAGAGCTACCAAAATCAATAGGGTAGTGAGTTTGGACCATTTCATGAGTGCCCCCTTTCACAAGGTAATCTATAAAGTTTTGGTGTTCCCCATCATGACCCCTCCTCACATCTATATCTCTACTTTTAATTATTCCCAAAGACATTTTCATGTAATCTATTATCTTTTACATCATATCGTGTTTGTGCCACTTACGTGTATATGGGAATAAAATCGTTTTGTTTAGTGGTTGTTGCACTCCCAAAGATGATGTAATTTGATGTATCTTTGTTATTTAACTAGCTAATAGTTGTATGCATTATTGAACTCACATGATATTATATGTTTAATTTCTACTGTTTGATTACACATATTCCATTTTTAAAAAATCAGTAAGGAGTTAACATGAATTAGTATTTTGGCTTTTTTTTTTTAACATCTAAGCTGACTTTCTTATTTATATGCAAAAAAGGTTGGATTGCCATTTGAGCTGGATAGTTTTTTTAAAGATTTCTTAAGGAAATATTTAAAATTTGCTTTGTAAACAAAACACGTACGACGTCAAATTTTAAAGACCTTGATTTCAACCATTTTAACTTATTTCTATATCATTCAACCTTATGATTTTCTCTTAAACCATATGATACCCAAATGGTGCAATTTTTATGGGAATAGAGAGGTTCATCATATATAGTGAATCAAATAGTATTTTTTTTTTTTTTTGGTGAGAAAATAGTATTTTTTTTTTAATAAACAGTTTTCAGCTCCAAAAAGCAATATTAAAATCGTAGCCTCCAATGTAAAAAAATAAAATAAAATTTATTTAAAAGGAAAGAGAGCAACCCCACCAATGCTGAAATATTGGGGAAAAAATGGGTGTAAATAAAAAAGAATATCTAAAATGAGAAGTGGACAAGTTGCATGACACAAACCCTAACACCACAACATTTGCATATCCCATCACTTTACACCAAGTCTTCCACTTTTGCTTCGTTTGTTTCGCTTTTCTAAATATTTAAAAATAAAAGCATAACCGTAGGGAAATGGTCCTTAGATTCTTCAAAAGTCTCCAAATAATAAAGTTTTTTTTTATATATATAAACATCAATCGGTCAAGCGTCACTCTCTTTTCTTTCTTTGTTTTTGCTTAATTTGTTGCTTAGTGTGTACGTGACGATTGGTTCCTTCCCTTCATATACTCTTCTCCATATTCAAAATTACAAAATTTAAAAGAAATACTCTTCAAAGTTGAGAGTATTGCCCCAAATTGCTCGAACCCAATGCTTTTTTGGAGGAGGTTGAGTTAGATTTCGAATCTTTACTATGAAAGATGATTTACCACTTGGTTTGGACCAAGAATAATTATAGGAAAGTGTTCAAAATTGCAGTTGCATGAAGATTCATACAATGGGAGCCTTTGCTAGTGTATTTCATATTAACCACCTCACATAGTCACATGTTTGTTCCTCAATATTTTACTAGATTTCTATTTCGAAACATGCAACACATACAAACACTATATCACATGTTAATGTATGTGTAAATAATGTCACAATATCGATAGTGGGTCTTTTTTTTTTGGTTTCATGACATCCGATAGTGCAAATTTAATTTAACCAACCTTAGTTTAAATATTTCATTTACTTTCGGCCTTAGAAAAATAGCATATGTTCTGTCTAACTTAACGTGTGTTTCTTTTAGAATAATACTTGGTTAATAAGTAGATAATATTGAACGTTTCAAAAATGTCATGATTTAGAATATTGGACCTCCATTGGTTGATCCGCCTGTGAAGGCACAAAGATGTCTACATCTAAATCTAATAATATACAAATCAGAAATCCACTTAGAATCGTATGATTAACATAATAAATCAATATCAGATGTATTGATTTTCTCTAGGCATGGAAAAAATAAAAGTAAACAGTAGATAAATTTTGGCTTTAGGACTTTTTATTCGTGCGACGAGAGTATATCCTCTTTAATGTTGGCATGATCTCTTCGCATCGCTTTCTCGTGTCCTCTTCCTTTTTTTTTTTTTTTTTTGAAATCCTTTTTTTTGTTTATATCTAAAAACTTCTTTTCAATATAAAAAAGAATATATTTATATTTCTTGACAACAATATTCAGCAGATTAATCATGTATAAACATCTGTTAAAGCAACTTTGAAATCTTAGTTATACAATTTGATTTAAAAAACAATTATTAGTCATAATCATACCGATAGATGGAATGTAATAAAACGGTGACATGCATAGAATGATAGAACCATTTATCTGATATTATTTTTGTTTAATTGTCAACGATGACATTACTCAAAACTTGTTTTACAAATTTATTACACAAGTATGAAATGTTTATCTATAATGATTTAATGCTCTACGTAAGATGGAACTAGATTTTGACCCGCACGTACGTGCGGGGTTTCATATTTAAAAAATATTTCTTACAAATTTTCATTTAATATAGATTATTTTGTTGTTTTTATGATTTATATTTTAGTGTATTAGATGTAGATCCACACGTACGTGCAGAGATATTTTTTTAGAGATATTGTTATATAGATTTTAAAAATAGAAAATATTTTGTTGTGTTAGTGAACTTCGTAATAATATAGATATTATAAAGTTAGAGTATGAATGAAATTCAGTTGCGTTAGTGCATAGTTATATTTTAAGATTCGGACCTACACGTACGTGCAAAATTATATTTAAGATAAAATTAAGATATTATTTAGTTACAAAAGTTAAGTAATGATACGTTTTTATTTTCTAAACTAACCAAAATATTTCTAGCAGTTTGATTACATGTGTTAAATAGGATATAGATTCGGTTTTAGTTTGAGTTATTTCATATATATTAGCTAGGCGTAACTATTTTAGAACAGGAAACCTATCCCGTCCTGTATTTGTCATAAATTCTTCGTCCCATAACCTGTCTCGTATACGTGAATTAAAAATATTACGGTTCCGTATATGTCATAAATATAATATGTGTAACTGAAAACGTACGTATAGAGTTATGTGTGTAAACAAATTTATTTTATATAGTGTTCATAACACGAACTCATATCAGTTGAGTATTTAGTTTGATTTTTAATTTATGTTCCCCTCCCCTCCCGTCTCATAATTCCTATTCTCATTTCATTCCATTAAAACCATGTTCCCAATTCTTGTTTGCTTACTTTTAAATACTATACAATACAATATATACTGTGAGTTTTTGAACTATAGTGTTTTTAATTTTGGATTTAAATGATTTTATTTTTATTTTTATTTTTGATATAGAATAGTCTATTAGGATTGGTTTAGATAAAATCTTAGTTGGATATCAAATCTTATTTTTTTATTTCTCATTGGTTAACAATTTTTAGAAATTTATTTCAAAATTTCGTCCTTAATTAATAAGAGAGAGAAAATGAGTTTAATTTTTTGGAAACTAATAATTACTTAAAATAATTTTACTATTTTTATTTTAATATATTAATTTTGTGATTACTATTGTATCCTTAATGAATTTATTTTAAAACACTAAAAACTAATGACATCTTATGTAATATTTTACCCTTAATAAGGTTGTTTAATATCTAGTGATTCCCAATTAATAATATAGATATATTATTGATAATGATATGTAAATTTAACCAGCATTGCATTTTTTATTTATCGTTATAATCCTATTTAATATATATATGGAATCTTTGATTCTCGTAATTAATTTATGTAACCACATAAAATTTTGGTAGAAAATAAATGAAATAAAAATAGAGAGAGAAGGTGTCAGGAGGAGTACGCAGGACGAACAACAGCGACATTTGCGCGCGTCCGACGTGTCAGCTTTTTACAACTTCCACTGTCTCTTTCCCTCTCTCTCTACGCGTCTTTGCCGGCGCGTGTCTTCCACGCCTTACCACTGTACTGCTCTTTGGGTCCCCAAACCCAATTATCGTCTTTTGTTACTATTTTTTTTTTTTTTTCATTTCCGTTCCTCTAGTTTTGGGATTATTGTTTTGCGAGATAAGATATTAATCATATACGCTTCTAAATCAAACAAAAAAAAGGAGTAATACAATTATACATATAATCTTTTCTGTTTCAATATTATATAAACAAAATATAAGGGTTGGTTATATATCCTTATATTTGAATATGGTATTTTTACTTATCAAAATTATGGAAACGATGTTTATTGAAAGAATATGAAATATCTGCAAATTTTGCCGGATTTTTCTCTTTCTTTGTAGTCAAGGTTTCCTTTTTCTCATGATTTTTTATTTCTTTGCTAAAATAATACTGTATTCAACTAAATATCCTTACAAATTTTGAAGAAAAAAATAAGACTTCCATTAATTAACAAAAGGAAAAAAAAAAAGTAATGTCCATAAACGGGGTCAAGATGACATGTTGACATGAACGCTAGCGTTTTTAGGAGATCTACAGATGGGACACGTGTGCACACTGGACCCGCAAACTCCACACAAGCACAAGTGTCTGCACGGTAACAGCAACACACACGATTCCTCCTCCCCACAGTTTCTACACATCCTCCTCCTCCTCTCCGCCTTATCCTGCGCCTCCGTGCGCCTAACCCCTTCTTCACCACAACTGCTTCCGCAGCACGACTCCGCATCGTCCTCTTCGTTTATGTTATTCTCTAATCCTGCGCCGCGTATGTCCTTAACCTGCGCCAGAACCTGGTCGAGGTTGGTTCGGAGGTGGTTAGCGGTGGCTTCGTTGGTCTGAGCAAGGTCTCTCCATATTTGGTTCTCCATGGAGAGTGACTTCACTCGCTCCTCAAGCGCGTGGTTAATCTTGCCGATTCTCTCTCTTTCTTCTTCTTTGACTCGAAGCCTTTTAACCAGTCCTTGCTCTATAGCTTCCATTATCGTCCTCGCTTGCCTCTTCCTCTTCTCTTCTATCTCATATTTCACTCTCTCCATCTGATAACAACGAACAAGTAGGAATCAATGACCATTGATGATACGATGCACATTGCAACAAAACTCTGCCATTGATGCAAATCTGTGAAATCTTACATGAAGGGAGACGAATCGATCGATTTCGTGTTGTTGATGATTCATGTGAGAGGAGATATCAATGTCTTGACCAAGAAACGAGAACGGAGTAGTAGTAGCAGCGTTAACACATGATGGTGATCTAGGGTTCTGAAGAAGAAGATGATGATAATAGTTTGATCTGCTAGAAGAATCTCTGGAGCGTTTTCTCGTAGGTAGAGGGAAAAAATCACAGTCGAGATTAGCAGAACCATCGGCGTAGTAATCGGCGGTGGTCGGAATAGTATCAGCGCCGCCGTACATATGAAGAAGAGGAGGCGTTGCTGTTGTGGTAGAATCATTTGGAACGGAGAAAGGTGAAACGACGGTTTGATTGTTATTGCAGAAACCGCCACTAGTTGGTTCCATAGTTGTATTATTGATCATTAATTCTCTGCAAAATACATATAAAGATTCAGTCGATAATCATAAACAACCACAAAGAAAACTCCAAAAAAAATCTCACGAAGGTCGTCGTACAAACCTGTTGGAGAAGAGTTGAGGAGGAGAGAGAAAGAGATGGTGAGCATCGACGGCCATTGAAGGAGAGAGGTCTAGTCTTCTATAGAGAAGAGAGAAGAAGTTGATGATGATGAAAATGGTGGAGAAGATGGTGGAGAAGAAGGAAGTTAAAAAGAAGATAGAAAATTAGAAATGCATGCGTTTCGGTTTTTGTTTTTGGTGCTTTGATGTGCGTGAAGAGGGCTTTGCTTTTTTCTCCTTTCTTTTTTTTTTCTTTAATATTTTTTTGGGGAGGAAAGACCAAATCGAAACGAACCTCAACCAAATGGTTGTTTCCTATTTATACACATCGATGCGAGGAACGTGAAGAGAAGTTTTAGGGACAAAGATATATAAAATATATAATTTTATTAACTTACCATTTTTATCCTGTTTTGATATATCTTCATTTTTGGCTATGTTTATCTTTTTGGTAAAATTTCTCATTTGCTTTACACGTTTTCTGAAGTTGAATATATATATGATCAATTCACTTTTTTTTTGGTAATTTAGTTACCTAATGCTTTGAATTGAATCTTTGTTTAATTGTATCGGTTATTGTGGTGATTTTGAAAACACAAATATTTTCAGTTATTATTCTAAAATTTTGAAGTGGTAACTTGTACCGAAATTGGCGGAAAAGTTATTGAATCGTTTCTTTAGTAATTTGGTCATACTAGTATTATTATTAGGAGTAACGCTCGGATTCGGTTTTTTTTTTTTCACCGTACCAATTAAATAGTGTAGATTGGTTGGGTTGTGAATTTAGCGCCATTACAGGGGTATTGTAGGACATTCATCACCGTTAAAAAATTTGACGTTAATTTTGTATTGAAGAGATATGCAATAAGAATACGACACGTGGGAAAAGCCCGCATGAGTCATGCCCATTGCCATGTAAGCATTCCAGCGTGGCGAACATTTTACTTGGGACCCACTAATTGTCTTTTGTACGGTCCGTTAAAATGGGTAAAATCTTACTTTTTCCTTTTTTTGTAATATTTTTTATTTATTTCGTACGAGTTTGGCGCCATGTGATGCCACGTGGTGAAACATCCTGGCTACTTCTGTTTGACCCTTTCTTTGACCCTTTTTTCCCTAAAAACTATCTGTAAAAATTTAACAAAATACAAAAAAAAACTAAAATCATTTATTTGGATAAACAAATAATGATACATTGGCTCATCTGAGTCAATCTAATATAGGTATTGACAAAAAAAAAAAAACCAAATAATGATGTTGTTAATTTTATCATTTATTGATAATTTTATCATTTACTGATAAATTCAACTGATTATCTAATTTATATTCTCTGTTTAAAAGTGTATTTATTTGGAAGTAAAAAATAATGATGTGATATTATATTAAATTTAAATAAATAAATAAATAACAGTTTGGTTCTTATAAACTGAATAAATTTGATTGGTTCAAATATCCTCTAATTTGATTTAAACAAAATAAACTAAAAGTTGAGGTATCCATCCTGATGTATTGAAGAGAACCAAGAGGTGAAGAAAGAAAGATGGAGACAGGTTCTTATGAAGATGATATAAGATAGAAAGTAACACACAAGAATTAATTCCTACTTTAATTTATGTCCCTTTTACTCTCTTTTTTTTTTTCTTCTTCTTCTTTACATAATTTTGGTACTTTGTTATATTTTCTTTCCTACACAATACAAAGTGAAAACATTATGCCTTTGTCTTTTACAAGCTTTCAAGTTTCCACCATCTTAATTTGTGTTACAAAGGCCAATTAAACAACAAAAAAGTAGACCTTTGTAAAGTAAAAGAGTGGCCATGTTGCACAATGTAAATACGTGTTTGGTTCTTTCAATACATTAACGAGATCATATGTACTATTTAAATTATTAAGTCTTTGTCTTTGACAAAAAAATTTTTATAGAAAAATAATGAAATCTTGAATTGTGGTTTCCTCTTTGATTGAAGAGCAAGTGACATTGCACCTTGACTTTGTTGTATGGTATCCTTTTCTTTTCTCTTTGAATAACTTTTGTTCTCACTTTCATTTTTTCTTCTCTTCTTATTTGATTCAACTTAAAGTTGGTGTTGGTGTTATTCATGTGATATAAACATTTCAAAAGAAAAGAAGAAAAATACTACAACCATTGTAAGAATCTTAAAGGGTGCCTTACCTAGAAACTTCATCTTTCCTTAAAGGAACCACTATAATTTAATTTGTTGTAAAGAAAGATTTCATGCTTTTTGAACTATATATTTATATATATCTTTCGGTTCATATACATAATGATTCGTGTATCAAAGTTTTGATAATAGTGACTTTAATTATGCTTTTGTTCCAACATCATATCACACACCTAGATCTTACAACAATTCAAAAGAGGTTTCACTGGATGTGTAAAGCTTCCCATTAAAGACATGTGTTTCATTAATTGTTGGGGCTTACTAGTGCATACATATCACATGTACTATGGTCCATACATGAGAAGCTCGTGACCTAACGTATCACATAATATTAATCGAAGGCACTACGACATATTTGGATCTAACGTCTTAATCGGAAGGTAAAAAGGGTAGTGGGTAACTAATTAAATACCATATGGATTGGAACTCACTATCACAAGTATCGAAAGTAACAATTGTGATCTAAAATATATGTACATTGATGAAGTCTTCTTTCAAAATTCGAGACCGTAAAATTGCTCAGACCATAGAGATCCATTATGATTTTCGAACATTTAGTGACAAATTTAACATTGTATGTATTGATGACTTGATGTAATATCCATTTCAAAACTTGAAGAAGTACCGATCCAGTTACTCGAATCATAAATCGGATCTCAATTATCGGATATAAATGACAATAATTAGGTGTGATTTATATTGGAAACTATCTTGGGAAGATAGGTAGATGCACAAGAATAGGATAAAAAAAGAGGTAGGTTTGAGAGGTCCCGATTGAATTAAAGATGTGTTGGGCCATCACTCTTTCTTGCTCTTCAAAAAATACCTTACTTAGCCGTATCATCGAAACTTAACTTTCATTATAACAAAAACTTGCAAGATTTTATTCATTTATATTTAAAAAATCGTTGCCCCATTAGGAGACAAGAGAAGAGGTTCTGCAAAAGACTTTAACTTGGTGTCATGTGTGGTTGTGCTTATGGACAGTCTGTGGTCCCTTCATTTTTATTTAAATCGAAAAGAAAAAAGAAAAGAAGAGAACCAATGTGTAGATTGCATGATTCCCACTACTGCTTTCAAAATCTCATCTTCTGCTAAAATGAATAATGATCCCACCTCCACTTTTAATTCGTTCAGACAAAATAGAAATAAATATTATTATTATTATAAATGTATATGAATACGAGGAGAGTTATATGTACTGACTTGTTACCATCAGATCATGAACCACATTTACTCCAAGCAAACAGACAAAGACAAAGATGGTGGTGGTGGTTGTTGTCGTTGTCAGATCACTGATTCACTTTCACCACCAAATCAAGAATTGGTTAATCAGTTTGAATCAAAAGTAGAGATTAGACAACAGGTTATTGTGTTGTTCTTAAAAGTAACTTACACATATCCATCACTACATGAGCCTACTTCAAGTCCCTACCTTGACTAGACCGATCAGTCACATTCGTACGATTTAAGCAGAGTTAATGCGAGCATGAGTCTCATTTGGTCACTTCAAACTTTCTTTATCAGGTCTTGCGAAGTGGCGGTGAGTTGCTGCTGCTACTGTTGCTCCTCCTCCTTTTCCTTCCTCTCAAAGGCCTACGCGTAGCATAATCCCACAAGATGATTATTTTCTCTCATTAATCAGATTTGAAAGCAAAACATTGGTAGGAGATTTTTCTAGTTGGGTGGAATGATCATCCACATTCTTGTATCTTGGGTTTGATCGCAAGCTTGTTAACTAGTAGATCCAAGATAACAATGACAACACAATTTTTTATAATGCGTTTCAATATTAGGCACTGAAAAAAGGTTGTGATATCAATTTAGCTAAGGACCAAGCAAACACCAATTGCATAAAGAATGGGTTTCACCGAATGCTTTTAAGTTTTAGCAGAGAAGCATAGCAGATGAATGGGTTAAACTCAATGTTCCTACACTTAACTAAACCGGGAGCTTCTTCTTAGTGCCACATGTGTTCCAACAGTAAAATAGCTTGACCATATAAAATCGTGAGAAGTATAGTGATACTAGAAGAGTCTTACCTCTTCTGGACTGTGGCTCTTTGATAACTTCCTAGGAGCCTATAAGTTCACACAAGTTAGATAGTCAACACATAACTCAACAAGGCATCTCTTTATTTCTTTAGCTGAAAAAGGGTCTGCAACAAGCCATACCTTATGGGGGCTTGGAGAACTAGAGTAGGAAGATGACCCTCTACGTCTTCCAGCTGAACCTCTTCCCCTGTTTAGAACCAAAGAGGAGATAACAGTGATTTACTATAACTGAGAACAATTACAATGGACAAACACTACTCTGGAAGGAGCTACAATATCAGAATCCACATAGATCTTGGCAATTTGATACCCAAGGCCATTTAGTCATATTTGGCTAACGTTTATTGAAGCTGGTACACGATACGTTTCTATTTCAAAATAAGACAAAGCAGGAACTTGGACCATACTTCTGAACTAGGAGTCTTATATGTACTCTAGTAGCTGTGCAATCACAACACATATCCACTGACAAATATACAAGGATTTAACCATCCCTGCAGGGTGATATCGACCTTGAACGTGAACGAGCAGCCCTACGAATTGGTGATTGGCTACTTCTGCAGATTGGAGATCTTCTTCTTGGACTGCGTAGCCGCCTTGGAGGCGACCTGCATGTGTGCATTCAAGAAATAATCCATCAAATGAAAACTAATACAATGTAGGTAAAACATCTATAAAATTGAAACACTGGTTTCCCCAACTCTAATGCATTGAGTTACATACAGTATAATTTGTTTACCTCATCCTCTAATTACTACAACGCAGTTCTTAAAACATAAATCTACCCTCACCTTAGAGGAGAACGTCTTCGAGCAGGACTGCCACGGATCCCTGGAGGGGAACCCCCCCTGCTGCCAGATAAAAGGTAAGACAGTGGACTAAAGAGGTATTGAACGTGAAAAAAAGGAAACCAGGCGGACTCTGCTAACCTTGGAGGTGACTGAAACCGCCTTGTGGGTGGCCTCTAGAAGGGGATATTGGCCTGCGTCTGGTTGATCCACCAGTCCTAGGCAGAGGTGATTGTCATCTTTCTCAATGTCAGCACCAACATTATCAGATTTTTTAGCATCTCCCTTTGGATCACTTGAAAAAGGTTTGCAGTAGTGTGAAATTTGCTTTAACAACATTCCCATTAATTTGGGCCTACATTAATCAAACAAAATGAAACAAGAGAGACTTTTTCAAGTAAAACATAGTTGGGTTGAAATCTGAAAAGAGACATACACCATCCATGTACAGCTGTGGTTTCTCAGCATCCGCTCTTGCCTTGAATTCAACGTATGCATCTCCTATTGGAAGATCAACCTGTTAATGTCAATCGGAAGCAAAGTACTTAGCAAGCAAATCTGCAAACTAGCCTAGAGCGATTGATAAGAAACTTACCGCTCGATCTATAGCAAGTTCAACATGAATGATTTCACCAAAATTGCCTGCACATAAAGAAAACAAGTGAGATTATCTACACTCACCTATGAAAATCAATGCCAAACCACAAATATGAAGAACAACAGATTGTAGAAAAGGTTTCACTTCTTTCTTCATGAATTCACCTCGAATTAAGATAACCAAATTAGCAAATCGATTCTCTAATTAATCAAATTGGAAACTTGGAAATAGAAAGCCTGACCTTTTTTCCGATGACATGTTGTAGAAGAACAAGCCGATGATGGCGATATTGAACGGTAGCGGGAGCGGGAAACAGACCACGAAAGACTCGAACCTAAGCTGGAACGAGGTGACGAGCTCGAAGCAGAGGCTGAAGTCGCCATGACTAGATTCTAGCGCGCTAGTGAGGTTCACCCCTAACGGCTACCTATCGATTTACACACACACACACAAGTCCACACGTGACAACTGACAAGTCATGGCCTAAGTAAACTATAAAAATAAATAATTTTCGAATAATTAAACGACAAAAAAGTAATTATTGAACAGTAAAAATAAAAATTATTCTTTTAATTTTCATATATTTTATTGGAGTTGCATAGTCTAATTTCCAGTTTTTCTCTTAATATTCTGTGATAATGATATGATTTTTTCTTTTTTTGGAAGACTTATCAGTTGTTTTTCTTATAATAATAATTAAATAAATTGGAAAAGCAATGATCTTTGCATCATCAAATCAATCATAAAAATTAAAAATAAAATAAGGCATCGCTATATCTTCTCTCTAGGGTTAAGCGGTTGTTTTCTTCTTCTTATTCTTCCTTTTCTTCTCCGTCGTATCTGTTCCTCTGCTTCTGTGACGGGAGCCGATATGTATTGTTTCTCAGTAGGAAACTTGTTACTCTGATTCGATTCGATCGTTAAATCCTTCATCTAAGCGTTTTCGGAGTTCGGATTTTCATATTTTTGATATTTAGGTAGCGTATCGCTTAGGGATCCATTATATCCGACAAATTTCTTCTTCTACAATCTGATTCACCTCGATTTTCCCAGTTTTCAAAGCAGTATATTAGGGTTTGTAGACTAATTGGGGTCCTTTAGTGATTGGGATTTGTAGAGAGGGTACGATTATGGACGCTTTTGGAATCGGGAGTCCCGTGACTGAGGATCTTAAGAACTTTGGAGATAATCCTTCAGGTTTTGCTCTTCTTCTTCTCGGATTTGTTTAGTTTTTGCTATTTTGAATTCGGTTTGTTAGATTGAATCTGGATCTAGTTTGTTCTACTTCTTCAACTGTGTAGGAGTATATTAAACTTGAATTGCTTCTTTATTGATTCTTTAGACCTTTGTCGTCATTAATTTTCATTTGCTTTTCATTGTCTTTGTACTCCCACGATGAAGATTATGAAAGATTTAGTTGCTATTTTAATCGTGAACATTCTCCAGTGTCTTTATGGGTCAAATAAGAAACCATATTATACCTGTTGAGATTAGAGCAATCTGGAAGAATATTTCACATTTTAGGGCTTTAGCTTCTTGTGCACTCGTTTTCTTCAAACTTGCATCAGATTCTTATAGTTTCATCTCTAGTACGTGTTTTCTGACCGAAGGTTTCTTTTGTGCAGGTAATACAATGTTTGATGCATCTCAGTATGCCTTTTTTGGGAACGATGTTGTCGAGGAGGTTGAGCTGGGTGGATTGGAGGAGGAAGATGAGATTTTGTCTTTCACTGGAATAGCAGAAGACTTTTCATTTGATAAGGAAGAGGTTATTCTCACCTTATTTCTCTTAGCTATCATCTCTGTAGGGAACCAGAGCAGCTCTATATTTTGGAAGGGCTGAAGCTTTTTCATTTGTTTTATATTCTCGGTTCATATGTTGGAGTGACTGACAATTCCTCCCCAAAATTTGCAGGTTGAAGATTCTAGACTTCTGTCTGACGTTGATGATCTTGCTAGTACTTTTTCAAAGGTTAGCTAGCTTTAATATGCATGATAAGTGATCACACGTGCATTCTATACTTCAATTTTCTTTATCATTTTATATTCAAAATGGTAAGATTGCTTTGAAGAAGCTTGTTACCTGATGATTTTTATTTATGCTGTTACAGTTGAATAGGGAACCTGATGTATATAGAAGTACGGGGCCAATCACCGATAGGCGATCAATACAGAGTGAGTTCCTATGTGCACTAATGTTGTCTTCAAACCCTTGTGAAAGAATACTTGATCAATTTGGTTTTGTGTATTGCATTGATTTAATATTTCATGTACTGTCTGTAAAACTTCGTATCATAGCTTTACTTACTTCTGTGTGTTTATGTATGTCAAATCTGTGTCTGTCAGTTTACTTTTAACGTTATGATTTAGAGTGAGCTGTCTTAACTCCATTCTCCTTATTCATATGTTTCAACGATCTGCCCCTGTTTCTTAATTCATTTCCATGGTTTTTCATCTATCTTGCAAGCAAGGCTTTAGTTTGTGGGTTTAACATATTAATGGTTTTTTCCTCAGATTCTCTAGCTGCTGAGTGGACTCATGGGGAGGAGTTGCCAAATTGGTACGGCCGGCCAATACTGGACTCTGATGCCATTAAAGATGACAAGGCGTGGTCAGCACAGCCTTTTTCATCTCTGGACCTTGTTGAGCAGAGAAACCCTGACAGAACAAAATTGTATCCAGAACCACAGCGTCAACTGCATCAAGACCATAATCAACAACAGTTTTCCAGCGAACCAATTCTTGTCCCGAAGTCATCTTTTGTTTCATACCCTCCTCCAGGCAGCATATCACCTGATCAGCGTTTAGGACACCCTAATATACCATATCAATCTGGTGGGCCTCAAATGGGATCGCCAAACTTCTCTCCTTTTCCAACTTTGCAGCCTCAGTTGCCTACCATGCATCATGGATCACCGCAGCATACTGGAAACAGGCCTCAGTTTCGTCCTGCTCTTCCTCTGAATAATCGCCCTCCATCTCAATGGATGAATCGTCAAAATATGCATCCTGGGGATAGTTCCGGGATCATGAATAATGCGATGCTACAACAGCCACCTCATCAAAACGGTTTGATGCCTCCACAGATGCAGGGCTCTCAGAATAGGTTACCACATCCGATGCAGCCTCCTCTCGGGCATATGCCAGGAATGCAGCCTCAGTTATTTAATTCCCATCTTTCTCGATCATCTTCATCTGGAAATTATGATGGAATGCTTGGGTTTGGTGATCTGAGGGAAGCAAGACCAGGATCAGGTCATGGGAACAGACAGAACATGCGTTTTCAACAACAAGGCTTTGATACTGGCATTCAGAGAAGATATCCATTCCGGTCTAAATATATGTCAGCTGGTGAGATAGAGAATATACTGAGAATGCAGCTTGTTGCTACACACAGCAATGATCCTTACGTTGATGATTACTATCACCAAGCCTGTCTTGCTAAGAAATCTGCAGGTGCAAAACTGAAGCATCATTTCTGTCCAAATCATTTGAGGGACCTCCAACAGCGTGCACGGACAAACAACGAGCCTCATGCTTTTCTTCAGGTTGAGGCTCTTGGTAGGGTTCCGTTCTCTTCAATCCGCAGGCCTCGTCCTCTTCTTGAAGTGGACCCTCCAAATTCAGCTAAATCTGGTAATGCAGAGCATACCGATAAGCCCCTTGATCAAGAACCGATGCTTGCAGCTAGAGTGTACATTGAGGATGGTCTTTGTCTCCTCCTTGAAGTTGATGATATAGATCGTTTCTTGGAGTTCAACCAACTCCAGGACGGAGGAAACCAGTTGAAACAAAGACGACAGTCATTGTTGCAGAACCTTGCGGCTTCACTTCAGCTTGGTGATCCCCTCGCCAAGAATGGGCAAAGCCGGTCTCATGATGATTTTCTCTTTCTAAGGATTATCTCTCTTCCAAAGGGTCGGAAGCTCCTTATAAGGTATCTTCAGCTAATTTTCCCTGGCAGCGACCTAATGCGGATAGTTTGCATGGCCATTTTCCGTCATTTAAGGTCATTGTTCGGAGTTCTTTCATCTGACCCCGATATCATCAAAACCACAAATAAGCTTGCAAAAGTTATCAACGTGTGCATTCAAAACATGGAGTTAGGACCGGTAAGCACGTGTCTAGCAGCGGTGTCTTGTTCTTCTGAGCAGGCACCGCTCCGCCCCTTAGGCAGTCCTGTTGGAGACGGAGCTTCCACGGTACTGAAATCAACACTCGACAGAGCTTCGGAGCTTATTCGGGCTAATAATTTCAACAACGCAGGGATGGCTCTATGGCGCGCTTCCTTTAACGAGTTCTTTAATATGTTGATGAGGTACTGCATCAGCAAATACGATAGCATCATGCAGAGTTTGAATTCACAATTGCCACCGCAGTTTGCTACTGAGATATCTGATGCAGCTGCACAAGCCATTGTCCGCGAAATGCCAATAGAGCTTCTACGTTCAAGTTTCCCACACATTGATGAGCAGCAAAAGAGAATACTAATGGAGTTTTTGAAACGATCTATGCTCGGAAGCCAGAAAACCGAGCCAGTCTTAAGTTGATAGTATCAAAGATTGAAGCAGTAAAATCAAGAAACTGTATGGCGAAGTCTGTATATGGAGGCATAAGATCATGCAGATACCGCGAGAAGAAAGGTAGAGCGAATCGATTCAAACTTTCAAATTGCATCAGAGAGATCAAGTGAACAAGACTGGTTTTGTGTCTGATAGGTAAAAGCAGCGGAGAGGAAGTTTGGTCTCTGTACAGAGAAAAGGTCTTTAGCTTTGCAGAACTTATGAAAGAGTTTTCAGGCATTTGTGTTTCTGTCTTTTGTTTAGTTAATCCCATTGTGGTTTCGATATTTGTTTTTGAAATCCCTATGTTTTTTGATAAATTCTCTTTCCTTTTTGTCTTTCTCTGTCTTACCAATAAACATTTTGAGTTATGCTTTGGTAATGATTATTCCATTTTGTTCTTCATATCATCCATCTTGTCACAAGCTCGAGCATTCGCGTTTTGTTTAAAAGCGTGGTGTCCACGCGCAGGTGTAGACGCGTGGATAACAGAGGCGGAGGAAAAGAGGAACCAAACCTTTCGGATCTTAAGAACACAAGAAAGAAGAATAATAATTCGACTAAATTTTTTGATTTAGGATTAGAGAGAGTGGGAAAGTACATTATGATCCTTTTGTTTTCTGGGTTGTTCGTAAAACCCAAAACTTTCATTTCATCACCTTCCTTTTTCTGATTGCTGTTCGATTTTAAGCCATGTCGACTCTATTGAACTCTGTCTTATCCATGGCGGCGAATCCATCGCCGGAATCATCGCCGAGAAAATCCCTAGGCTTTGTTTCCCACATCCCCACCGGTTTCCTTCATTTCTCCTCCGTGAATAAAGGTGTCGCTAGGGTTTTAGCTTCGACCCAGATTACGTTATCCCCTAAAGACTCCGCCTTTACCATTACCGGATCCAGTTGGAAACCCGATTTGGGTTCCGGGTCGTTTTCTGATGACCCGAGAAGCGACGAGCCGAGTTTGAGCGATACTTTCTCTCATCTTGAATGTTTAGTCACGGAAGGGCATAAACCCAATGTAGCTCATTCTACTCAGCTCTTGTACGATCTCTGCAAAGCCAACAGATTGAAGAAAGCTATTCGTGTGATTGAGCTTATGGTTAGCTCCGGGATTATACCCGATGCATCTGCTTACACTTATCTGGTTAATCAGCTTTGCAAGAGAGGTAACGTTGGTTACGCTATGCAGCTTGTTGAGAAAATGGAAGATCATGGTTTTCCTTCTAATACCGTTACTTACAATGCCTTGGTTCGAGGTCTTTGTATGCTTGGAAGCTTAAACCAGAGCTTACAGTTTGTTGAGAGGTTGATGCAGAAAGGTTTAGCTCCTAATGCTTTCACTTATTCTTTCTTGCTTGAGGCTGCTTATAAAGAACGAGGAACCGACGAGGCTGTGAAGCTCTTAGACGAGATCATTGCCAAAGGTGGTCAACCCAATTTGGTTAGCTATAATGTGCTCTTGACTGGTTTCTGTAAAGAAGGGAGAACGGATGATGCGATGAAGCTGTTTAGGGAGTTACCTGCAAAAGGGTTCAAGGCAAATGTTGTGAGCTATAACATTTTGTTGAGGTGTTTGTGCTGTGATGGGAGGTGGGACGAAGCGAATTCTCTCTTGGCTGAGATGGACGGTGGAGATCGAGCTCCTTCAGTGGTTACCTATAACATATTGATCAATTCGTTAGCTTTTCATGGAAGAACAGAGCAGGCAATGCAGGTTTTAAAGGAGATGAGTAAAGGACACCATCAGTTTAGAGTCACTGCCACGAGCTATAATCCGGTAATCGCCCGTCTGTGCAAGGAAGGAAAAGTTGATCTCGTAGTGAAATGTCTAGACGAGATGATATACCGGCGTTGTAAACCCAACGAAGGAACGTACAGCGCGATAGGTGCATTATGCGAGCATAATGGCAAGGTGCAGGAAGCCTTCTACATAATACAGAGCTTAAGTAACAAGCAGAAATGCTGTACGCACGACTTCTACAAAAGCGTAATCACGAGTATGTGCAGGAAAGGTAACACCTTTGCAGCGTTTCAGCTCTTGTACGAGATGACTAGGTGCGGGTTTGATCCTGATGCCCACACCTACTCGGCTTTGATCAGAGGGCTGTGTCTGGAAGGGATGTTTATAGGGGCTATGGAGGTTTTGTCGATAATGGAGGAGAGCGAGTATTATAAACCTACAGTAGATAACTTTAATGCAATGATTCTAGGGTTGTGCAAGATAAGGAGGACAGATTTGGCATTGGAGGTGTTTGAGATGATGGTTGGGAAGAAGAGAATGCCGAATGAGACAACATATGCGATAATCGTTGAAGGTATAGCACATGAGGATGAATTGGAGCTGGCTAAAGAAGTTCTGGAGGAGCTACGATCGCGCCAGGTTATAGGACAGAACGCGGTAGATAGGATTGTGATGCAGTTCAATTTAGATTGATGGGTAGGAGGCAAAGAAACGAACATCATGAGGCTTTTTTCTATTAAACTTTTAGTATACTGTTTTTTTCACTGTTTGTATCATTTTTATGGACACGATGATTCATGTAATCTTCAGTTTTAGAACAAGTTCAGAGATCAATAAGAATCAAGTAACGCCTAACTTATTAAAAGATCAGATTGAAACAAAATGGAGCGAAAGAATGTCTAAATTCTAGCAGTGAAGAGGTAGATGATGAAGTAAAGTCTGAAACTTTATGTTTTGATCAAAATCTTAAAACAAAAGTCTGAAACATAAAGTAAGAACAATGTTTGCAAGAGAGAAAGGGATAGAAGCAAGAAACAAAGTAGCATGTCTTCAAAAGCCAAATTACTTGGATCGCTGTCTCATCTTTCGTCTCTTCCTCTTAAGCCTCCTCATACGCTTCTTCTTCCACTGCAAACAAAACCCATTTTTATCAAACCCAAAGTTATGATCATATTGTCGGAAGCAGAAATGGTTTCTACATTGACCAAGAAAAGGCTACAAATGATATGATCAACCATAAGATTTACATATTAGGAGAGACAAAGATTGTGAAATGTAAAAACTCAATTGTTTACAAGCCAGAGAATCTCATTTCATACAAATTTCCGACAAAACAGGGCTATTTGATATCAAATCGCAAATTTAACAACAAAGAAAAAAAAACCCGAAATAGATGAAAATCCCAACATTTTCTTTCGGCAAGAGCAAAACCACAATCCTAAACAAAAAGTTCGATATCCTACAGTTCGTGCTACACTAACCAAGGTTCCAATCTCACTCGAGTGATTCGATACACAGCAATTCACAAAATTCCCAACATACTTAAAGATCAACACACAAACATCAGATAAAAATCTACCAAAAGCATAGCTAGAGTTGTAGATAAAAAAACTGACCTTGGCTCTCATCTTTTCGCCCTGAATCGAATCAGAGAAACGAAGGCGTCGTTAAACATATATACACACACACACATTTGTAGAAAAGCCCTAAAAAATTCTTAAATCGAAAATAAATTAACTTCTCAGGGCTATTTCCGTCATTGTTTAGACAAGGCTCTTTTTTCTCCTCTTAAAGAAGACCTTAAAAACCAACAAACTATAACTCGCCGGAAAATGGAGCAGCTATCAGAATCGGACCGCCGCGATTCAGCTGATGCGACTACTAGCTCGTGTCAAACCACCGCCGGACAAGATGGTCAAGTCGGTGGCGGTGGAGAAGCTATGGCTCGAGGCTTATCAGCGATGCTCGAGTCCGTCATTAAAGACTTTGACTCTAAAGCTCTTGACACGCTCAATAGCCAAGATCATCTCTCCGGTTCGCTCGATCGCCTTGTCCAAGGTACTATTCATATTCTCCCCGATTACCATCTCGAGTTTCAACTTAAATCGGTGATGATAAATCAATCGATTCATTTTGAGTATTTTGTTATTTTTCCTGAAATTCGAATGCTCACAAATCAATCTGATTAAGTTGCATTAGGAATAATTTTTCCATTGATCTAACAAAAAATCAAGCATAAGATTGATTCTCACATTGGATTTTTCACACAATTGGTGGGTTTGATTGAAAACAGAGCTAGATCAATTGCTGGAAAACGCTCCATTGCCGTTCATAGTACAACACGCATCAAGAATCTCCAGCGTCAAACAAAGAGTTTCATCTCTCAATCTTGTCCTTAAATCTGTCCAACGACGTATTGATAACATTGATCACATGCTTTCTGCCAACACCACGCTAGGTAATTAATACTACTAAATATCAAAACCAAAAACAATTACTGTATTAGTATTGGGAATTTGTGAATTCACTACATCGTCATCTATATATAGTGCATTATTATCTCACTCTGTTTTGACTGTAATACAGAGAAAACATCCTCGGAAACTACATGATGACGAAATCACTCTGTTACTCTCTGTGTCGCTATCTTTTTCTGCTTACTGCTATGCTTTAGGAGCAAAAGCAAAGAGGTGTGTGTTTTGTACAAGTGCTAGTGTCTTTTCCACTGTGTGGTGTTATTGGGCTTTTAGTGGGCTTTGATCAGTTCGTTTCTAGTTTAGAATACCCAGTTTTCATTTTTATTTATTTTGTTTAAAAAATAAAAAATACTCCGTAATATTTTTATTTGAATCGTTACAAGCTCTAATTCGATGAACCACCACATGGTCCATCAATCAATCATGTAAAACAGAATTTTGAAGTGAATATGTCGGGTCGTTTATTTTTATTTTTTTCGTTTTTGTTGGTAATAGGCTTTACAAAAATTAATATCTTATGTCCATAAAATCTTTGTCACGTGGGTGTACGACAAAACCGATAGGAGGATGCCCGTATATTATTACATGATTGAGCGTTAACAGAGTCACGTGCCTTCTGTGCTGGTCACGTGATTGAAAGCCTATATAATTGGATCTCCTAGGCTTTTTTAGTTTTTAGATTTACTAGCGTCTCTCTAGAGACTACAAGATATGGGCCACAAATTTCTTTTCGTTGATCGATAAACCACTATCATCCTTCTATAAAGAACCATGTGTTTTTCAATATTATGATTAAACTTTCCATTTATGTGAACGATGATGATGGGTGTGACTTGTAAGGGTGTTAATAGTTAATGATGATACAGAAGAAAAGAGGTAAATTAAAACTATGGAAGACCGAGCCTCTGACCAGAAATGTAATTGGTCCGTTTGTGGGTTCATCCATATATACAAACACACAAACCTAAACCCCATTTCGGGAACTCTGCTAAAGTTTGTCTTTAACCCACAAAACTAGCTTACTTTTTTCTCTTTTATGCGCTGCTTTAACAAATCATGAGCTGCAATATAGCATACTCTAGTAAGTACTGTATCATAGATGTAACTTTCAAGACGATATTCACAATTTTTCTCAAAATGGAATTTGATTAGAAAGCTATACCCCAATGCTGTTAGGGTTTTTTAAGTAAGTGAGTGGAGGAGAAAGGGGACCAAAGAGAGAAGTACAAACAGAGGATAGAGACAGGTGAAAGAAGCTTAGGGGTCTTGTACTTGTACAATCTCTATTGCTGGTCCAGTCTATCATTTTTTTGAAGACTTAATAGTAGTCTTTGAACAGTTTGGTACCTTTCACGTACCATTATCATAATAAGGTCGTGAATCCTGACACTTAAACATGTGATGATTCAAACACCAAACCGACGACCAATAGATCCAACATTAATGGTTAAACGAACCTTCTTCTTTGATTAACAAAACAACAACCAACGAATAAATAAACCGCAAAAATGCAAAACATATAAATAAAGAAAGAAAGAGAAAAGTGTGGTAAAGTCTCTGAATACTGCATCATTTCCGAAACACAGAAAACGACAAAATAAAACTATATAATAAAATTACATTTTTTAAAAAATCACATGAAAGAGACAGCTTAGATAAGCTTCAACGTGGGGAGAGCGCAAATACACACAGAAGAAGAGCATATGATAGAGAGAAAAAAAAAGAATCTGTTTCCTATTTTATGACCCACGCGCTTCCCTTTAGCGCGTGTACCTCACTCTCTTTCTCTCTCTCAACCCAAGCACAAGCCAAAAAACACGATTAGGAGTTTCCAATTCCAATTCTGAGTCTCTATGACAATGAACCCTAGAATTACACTTCACCAACGGCAGATTCTTTATTTACACTCCAAGGAAAATTCTAAAATCTTAAATAAAAAAAGCTCTCTGTTAAAAATAAGATTTGTTGTAAACAAACCAAAAAACAGAATGATTACTACTAGGCTACTAGCTAGCTAGCTACTGTTGAATCAACAAGATTGTGTTGTTGTTACCATTTGATGATTTCCTTGTCGGGGTTAGATTCGATCCGTGGAGTTACGACCTCTACTGATATGAGACGACGATCTGTTGTTGTTGTTGTTGTTGCCATTCCCTGTTTTATTGTGTTGCGACGAGGAAGAGAAGAACTGGCCAAATACTACTGAACCACCTCTAATTGAACAAACGGGAACGTTTAGTACTGGAGTTACCCTAACGTTTGAACTATACGATCTCTCCATTCCTCTGTGTCTATACCCGCTTGTTCCACCATTGAAGCTACTAGGACTGCTTGAGCTTCTTTCAAGGCTCTGAAACACGATTTTACCTGAAGAGTTTAGTCTTGGACTGTCTACAGAGACTCCTCTGCTCGTAATCGCTGATGTTTGAGATGTTTCTCCACCGGAACGTCGCATCGGGCTTCGTCCAACTCTCCCTCCTCCGGTTCCTGCTGATGAATGGTTCACTAACCTCATTCTCGGTGGATTTGGGTTTAGGCTACGAGCGGGAGCAAATGGATTCGCAGTGAGATTGTGGTTGAGGTTAATGATGTGGTTATGGTTATGGTTATGGTTAGGTCTCTCTGCATCGAGAGAGAGCCTTGGGATATCTTCGTGGTCGTGGCCGGAGGAGGAAGATGAGAGAGACATACGAGAAGATGATATAGAGATAGATTCGCAATCGGAATCCTTGAGGAGAGGAAGACTCATGAGTAACGAAGCATCTGAAGAGGAAGATCCGGAAGACGACGAGGATCTGGAGCTCCGATGTAAGAATTGTTTCAACGACGAAGTAGACGATCTCGGATTCGAAGGAATCGTCGTTGTCGTCGCCGTTGACGCGGCTTTGCTATTCTGAGAGAATCGTTTAAGCCCTAACAAGTCCCTCCATCTACTCGAACAACGTGGCGCCTTTGGAGAAAAGGAACAATTATCGCCACCACCGGAGATCTCCATCTCAACCACTTCCATCCTCCTGCATTTCCCGCCGGTCTCCACCGTCTGTTGTTGCTGCTTCGTCACGAGTTTTCCGTCGGAGAAAAGCTCATCGGCTGGGAGCATTCCGACTGGATCCTCTTCTAACCTAAACTCGAAATCACCAGCTCCGACTGCTATTTCCTCCTTCGGAATCTCTGATGCGGCGGATCCAGAACTCCGACCACCATCTTCACGGCTGAAAGAAGCTCGTGGGTTGAAACATCCGTAAGTAGGAAATTCCTGAGAAACAGTAACATTGTTGACGCAAACAGAAGCCATCTCCGGCGTTCATGCAAATAATTATTGCCGTCCCGAAAAAATCAACGGCCAGATCCAAAAACCACAGAGAGAGAGAGAGTACAGAAAGAGAGAGGTTTATGGATGAATGACAATGGTTTGTTTGGAGCGTTGTGAGTTTGTTTTGGAGAGTAGGGGCCACGAATGCCATCAACAGTTATTATAAACGAACCAGGTGGCGCGTGCATCTCACCGCATTAGTGGGGGTATTCTCGGTATTTTAAATCGTTCTGTTGGAGCCAATGGCGGAGCCTCTCGGATGAAATGATTCAAACGGCTAATTCACAGATTAGAGAGCTTATTAATTAATAAGAGAGGCTATTAAATAAGAGTATTATTCCATTAATAATAGTAATTATCTTAATTAATAGTCTTTCTTTAATGGAAAGTATTATCTATCTCTGGTATATTCCAAAAAGTTTATCTTATAAATTTTGGAAAAAAAACTTTTAGAAATATTGTTCTTTATAATACCAAAAAAAAAGTTGGAGGTTGGAAAAGTATGGAAATCATTAATAATTGGTCACGTGATATAAGGGGTTATTTTGATCCTATACTATTATTTGGGGAGTACACTTTATAAGATACCCTTAACTAACCTTCCCTTTTGTAAGAATTTACTTAAAAATGCCATTACAAAAATCTTCTTTTAGAACAAATTTCATTTAATTTATTAAGGATAAACAAATAAAATACTAATTTATGTCATTTAATTAATTTAATTAAATTATAAAACGAAAATCTGTTATTTTTTTTTAAATGACCAATCAAAATGAACATATAAGATTTGATATCTAACTTACCATATTAATTTGTTATTAATCATTAAACTTCACCTCTCATCTTTATATGATTATATCAATATGAAACAAATAAATCATCATATCATATACATAATAAAAAAAAGTAATTTTTTTTGTGCATATGCCAAGATTTGAATTTTTAAAAACGCATATAAATTGTTCAATCTATAAAGGAAACAATTAAACGGGTCAAAAATTCAGACTTGAGTAATATATTTTTTTTACACAAAAATAAAGTCAACAAAAATTCCGACTGAGCAACGGGTCAGAATTTGAATATTTATATTCGATTTCATACATTTATTTTTTTGAAATGTATAATTTTATATACTACAATAAAAATTTAAATATTTTAATTTGCAACATTTAAAATAAGTTTTACTTGATATTTTTAGAGAATATCATCAATACTTAATAGTTCAAAAAGTTAAAAATTATAAATACTCTAATTTGATTATTTTTAAAAATATTTATAATAGGTAGCTGGTTAAATATAATATATTATATAATGAAATGAGTTTTGATCCTTATAACTATTTCAATAGTTATATTTAATTTCATATAATTTGTTTTTTGAAATTCATAATTTTATAAACTACAAAAAAAATTTAAAGATTTTAATTTGGAATATTTAAAAATAGTGTAGAACATTTAAATATGGTTTGACACCTCTAAATATTTGAAAATTTGATTCCGCAAGCAATTTTAGAATTAACGAATAATAGATTGTGCACGCAATATTTTAAAATAAAAATATAGACTCCACGCACGGGTTGATTTTGGTATTATTATATACTAAATATATGTTTATAACATATTCGATTATGCGAATAATTGGTAAATTCCGTAATTATAAATTTCAAACAAATTCTGTAATTAGATTAGCTCAAACAAATCTCTATTTCAACAACCAAAGAATTATAAATTGAAAAAGAATTTTCTAAATTAATTCAAAGTAATAGCTAATTTTCTTAATTAATTCAAAATAATCTATGTTTTATATACGATTCATTTATGATATTTTAATTTTTGATCTAACTGAAATATATGCAATCCTATTTTGTGGTTGTTAACATAAATTAACTCATTGTTAAAAAAATATTACTTTTTAAAAAATAAAATTATTTTCCGTTTTCATATCTTAAAAGAAAAAATATCCATAATTGAGTATTATAGAAAAAATTCTATATTTATTCTAATATTGTATATAGGGACTGACAAAAAAATTAATATTTTTTCACTTACTATTATAATATATTAAAACTTAATTCTAATATATATATATTATATAAATTTTATAATAAATAAAATTCAACCCGTACTTTAGTACGGGTGATGATCTAGTTATCAATAAATAAGGTCATCGACAGACGACAGCTAGCGATAAGCTGTTGATCAAGAATATGGATAAGCGGCCACAGGTTGATAAGCGGGAAAAAGTGACTATTCCCTGAGAATTAGTATATGTTTTGATCGGAGAAAATAGATAACTTGGTTTCTGATGTTTGTGTGTTCTTGTTATCTTAAACGTTATAATTAGGATATAGGATTTTGTTTTTGTAGTATTTTATCTACCAGCATTTCATTTATGTGGCGTTGAGAATTGAGATCTATCTGATTTCAAAAGACAGTCTTCTACACAGTCTTTAATGTTGTTATGGATTGCTATGTGTTTGCTATCTCTGTATGTATGATCAAGTGGTGCAATGTGTGTGTGTTTGTCTCTCTTTATCTGGTGTTGTGTCCATTTTAGGATGGACTGCAGACTAAATCTGAGATTAATCACTGTCCTTTTGTTAGCAGATAGAATCCATTGCACATGACACCCCTCACCAGTTGTTTTTTCTTGTTGTTGCAAGCACATGATATTTAAAGGGAATAACATGAAAGGTACGTAGTTTGTCTCATCACTTTCTGAGTTCCGATTCATGTATCTTTCAATCACTCCTCTTTTGATGGAGCAAATTTCAATGCTCTATTGATTTGCATTATCATCGAACTTAAAAAAAAAGAACGATGAGTTGAGAGTACAATGCTGTTGTGCACATCCAAGTAATGAAATGATGATGAATAGCTAAATGATTCATTGCTGTTGTATATATCTTCAGTCGTTGGCAACAACGTTCTATAACTGCAGGATTGTGAAAATCTTAATCAACACCAAATTCTATTAGGCTTTTAGTATCAGTGTAACTGTGTAACCATTACCTTTTCTGTGTACCTTTATCCGCCTTCTCACTCGATTTGAAGGGATAAAATGGTTTATGTCTGGTTGTTTTTAGTTACAAACTATTCCTAGAATATACTATGAATAAAACATCTTTGGCATGTGGTTTTCAGGGTGAAGAAGAAAGATGGAGTAGTTTAGGAGAAGATGGTGGACTTTTGGGGTTGCATTGTTGTCATGTAAATGATTCAAGAAATCGCAGGAGATGATAAAAGTCTTTGAGCTTTGGTCCTTGTTTCACCAAGAACAACAAGACTTTTTAGTTTTCTTCAAAAGCTTAAAAAAAGTTAAAAAAAATGTAAGCTGCTTTTGTCTTTTCTAATCTCACATTCTCTGCAATTTAACTGACTACAGGTCTACAGCATATTATTTGGTATGGATGGAATATTTTTATTAGCTGATTATTTAACTAAAACATTAAACAATTATAATTTTTAATTTTTAAAATATCGAAAATTATATGAGGTTCTTCTTCTTCTTCTTCGTCTTGTTTGTCTTTTCGAGTTTCTGCTTAAACCCAGAAAAATGGATTCACACCTAGTCTTGTCTCTGAAGCTAAATCCTTGCTTCACTCCTCTTTCTCCTCTCTTCCCTTTCACTCCATGTTCTTTTTCGCCGCCGCTATGGCTTTCTTCTTGCTACTCCCGCCGCCTCTATTCTCCTGTCACCGTCACCGCCGCGAAGAAACTCTCCCACAACATCAGTTCTGAATTCGATGACAGAATCAACGGCGCTCTCTCTCCCGACGCTGATTCCCGCTTCCTCGACCGTGTAATTTCTTCTTAATCCCTCTCTTTGATTCACTGTGAACCTGTGTCTCTCAGAGCTGAACCTAAAAGCTTATTTGGGGTCTCAATTCATCGTTTTGAGCTGGAATTCTGAACATATTGAAAGGCTGCTCTCATTTTACTACATTGGCTCGAACATTGTGTCCCAAATCTCTGAGCTTTAGTTACAGATAGTTATATCCTTGTTCTTCTCTTCAATAATTGGGCACTATATATTAGTTTATGGATCAAAGAACGAATTTTGATAAGTTTCATCTCTCATTGAGCTGTTTCTTACGCTTCTTTTGGGCACCAGATACATTGCTCTCTTGCATTGTTCTTGTGTGAGGTGAGTTCTTTGTCTCAGCAATTTTTTGTTTTCTTGGTTTGGTTACAGCAAAAGGCTTTAGAGGCAGCTATGAATGACATTAACAGTTCATTTGGTAAAGGAAGTGTAACAAGATTGGGGAGTGCTGGTGGAGCACTAGTGTGAGAATCTCTTCTTCATGATTAATCTCTCTGTAGATAGTTGTTTTCCACTCTTCAACAGGGCGTTTTGTAGTGGAACGAGTCCAATTGCATGGCACTACACATCTTGATTCCACCGTGTGATTTTTTTTTTTAAAATGATTTTGTATGTTTGTATTGCAGGGAGACTTTTTCGAGTGGTATTCTGACTCTTGATCTTGCTTTAGGTGGAGGCCTGCCAAAGGGTCGGGTAGTCGAAGTATGGACTTGCTGTAAAACAAAATGCAGGATTTTTAATCATATAAAATTGACAAGTGTGGTCTCACTGATTTGAAATTTGATGCTGCAGATATATGGACCAGAAAGTAGTGGGAAGACCACGCTAGCACTCCATGCTATTGCTGAAGTGCAGGTTATCTTTCTTGTCTACTACTAAGAGTAGATGATCCGATCTTTACATCATCACGGTATGTTACTGAAACATAGTTTTCTGACTGTGCAGAAGCTTGGAGGCAATGCAATGCTTGTTGATGCAGAGCATGCCTTTGATCCAGCGTACTCTAAAGCATTAGGTGTTGATGTAGAAAATTTGATAGTGTGCCAGCCAGATAATGGCGAGATGGCTTTAGAAAGTAATCCAACATTCTAAAATCTCGTGTTATGGTAGCAATTGTCATGTAAAATATGTGCCTGTGAAACTAATATGTTCTTTTTATTACTCACCACAGCTGCAGACCGTATGTGTCGCTCAGGTGCGGTTGACCTTATATGTGTTGATTCTGTTTCAGCACTCACTCCACGAGCTGAGATTGAAGTATGAAATTATCTCTTTTGCACATCTACTTTCTTTATTGTATGAAATTCCCTGAGGTTAATTTGTTTCCTCTCCTGTTTCGTGCTTAGGGTGAGATTGGAATGCAGCAAATGGGTTTGCAAGCTCGTCTTATGAGTCAAGCTCTTCGTAAAATGTCAGGAAACGCCTCTAAAGCTGGTTGTACACTAATTTTCCTTAACCAAATAAGATACAAGGTAAAATATATGACTAATCACTCACCTTTGATGTTTTTCAATTTGTTGGTTTAATCTCGTATACAATCATGTTGTGTTCTTGAACTAACATTGCTGTTCTCTTATGCTTTTAAGATTGGTGTGTACTATGGAAATCCAGAGGTGACCAGCGGAGGTATTGCGTTGAAGTTCTTCGCGTCAGTCCGGCTAGAAATTCGTTCTGCTGGGAAGATCAAATCTGTAAGAACCCAGCTTGATTGAATTGTAGTTTATTTCTGTGTGGTTTTGATCCGCTTTGAAACTGAACTCATTTATAATACCCAATTACTTATATATAGAGCAAAGGGGATGAAGATATAGGTCTTCGAGCTCGTGTAAGAGTACAGAAGAGCAAGGTTAGTATCAAAGCAGTACATGTCCGTACACCATGTCTAATTAGTTTTAATATAATTTTGCCTATAACTTTTCTGTTTTGCAGGTTTCAAGACCATATAAGCAAGCAGAGTTCGAGATTATGTTCGGGGAAGGAGTCAGTAAACTGGTATGGGTCCGTGGCTGATCAGTCTCTGACAATACATAAACGTGTATCCTTGTCTTTTAACTTCAATATTAATTTGTAGGGATGCATTCTTGATTGTGCTGAAATTATGGAGGTTGTGGTTAAGAAGGGTTCTTGGTACAGCTACGAAGACCAAAGGTTTGAATTCACATTGAAAACTCATAAATGCTTGAGACTTTTGGTTATGTTATAGTAGTGGATACAGAGTATGAGATATGCTTTTCTGTTTCGGGTCATTGTTTCAGGCTCGGGCAAGGAAGAGAGAAAGCACTGCAGCACTTAAGGGAAAACCCTGCTCTTCAAGACGAAATTGAGAAGGTTTGCTTCCTTTATTCTTGATCTTAACCCATCTTTGAAGATTGCAAAAATCCATCCTTTTAACAAGAATATAAACTGTTTGCATCGATTCGTCCTCCTTATGCATCTGTTTTGCATTGGTGTTGCAGAAAGTGAGATTGTTGATGTTAGATGGAGAAGTTCATCGATCAACTCCTTTGATGAGCAGCAGCTCTTCCTCAGCTTCGCATCGTGAAGAAGAAGAAGAGGACTCGCTTGACGATTTCCAATGACGTAAAACTTAAGCGTGAGACATTCAAATCTATGGATCTACAACACTTGATATTCTCTCATCATGTTCATCTCTTGTTTCAAGTTTCATCAATAAAAAAAACATCATATGGTTCAGTCTCAACCATTCTTGTGCATCGAAATCACAAAGAGGAAGATGAATATATATACAAACACTAGAAGTCTTATAAATTTGAAAGTATTTCTGAGTTTTAAAACATTAGAGAGAAAGAGAACAACAACACAGACACATTTATAGAAACATGATTACACATGCGCTAACAACTTAAAGATTTACTGAGCCAAAGCACTGGTGTTGTACACAAGAAGAGCTCCTCCGGCAAGAATTCCGGCGAGAGTAACCGCCCAAATTGCCAATCCGGTGACTCCGCCCTTGTACACGTCACCACTCGCAGACCAGTCGTTCTCGTTGTAAATTGGACTGCAACCCCAAAATTTTAAAAATCAATCATCTACTACATATATATATCCCATGGTTCTTATCTAAAAAGTGTTATGTCATTATTATTATTCACCTGTATCCATCGACATTAGCTCCATACTTGTCGACGTATTTGTAAACACCATATCCCTGCGTTTATACGACATCGCTTAGAGAATCTAATCAAATTATTAAAAAGATATTAAACGACATCATTTGCAGTTACCAACCTTGCCCTTTCTGCCGGAGGCGTCGACGCCGTCCCTCAAGTCCATGCTACCGTTGATTCCTACACACATATCGATTAACCGAAATAAGCTATACTTGAACGGTAAATATTGTAAAAGTCTTGTGTATGATAATATTATACGAACCGAAGGGCTTGTCGGTCTTGATCTTCTTGACGCCACTGGCGACGATTTTGAAGGAGGGACGAGCTCTTGTGAGCGACGGTAATCCTCTAGCCGCCGTCTTCTCCACCGTGAAACCAGCTGGTTTCAATGTCACCGATGAAAGCATCACTGAAGCAGCCATTATTTTCTCACAAAAATGATCAAACTATTCTTCTCAACCAAATGGTGCATGTGTGTGGCTTCAAATATGAAAGAGAGGAGAATCCGATAAGTGATTTTGGTTATGACACGTGGCGAATATTGTGTGGCTTTGGTCTGGATATCTTCCTTACTAACGTTATCTTCAACTGGTTAAGCAGATCCGTCGGATCAGTTTTTTCTTCATTTCATAATGCCACGTAGGATTCTCAATACTTTATTATTATTATTATTTCATCTGTGACCCCTATAAGTTTTTTTTGGTCAACTGACCCCCATAAGTTTTAGTTTACTTCAAAATAGCCCCGCTAGTTTCTCGCAGATTCGCAATGTATTCCACGTTGTGAAATTGCCCAAGCCTTTTGAAATGGAACGCAGATTCGTACACCTATCAGCGTTTAGAAACCGCGTTTATGATCGCTCGTTGCTGTTGATAGACAACACAAGTAGATGATGTTGTTTTTTTTTTTTTGTTATGTTGTTTTTCTTTGATGATTAATAATTGTCTAATGCTACTAATAATGGCTTCTCCATAACTGGAAACATCAACAAACTTGACCATTGTCTAGACAGCAAACAAGTTCTAATCATATTTACTAATAGGAAGTATATAATATGTGATTGTATTGGTCACAACTCACAAGGATTTGGTCAGAGTTTTCTTTGCATATTCTTCTACTCAAGTCATTAGAAAACAATCAACTAGAGTATAATTACTTTATTATAAGATACAATACGAATCAAAGTCGTTTAAATTAATAACTATTGGTTGATCAGTCGATAGATTAGTTACACGTCTCAGTCGTGATGAGAAAACAAAACTAATAAAATTTAAATGAGAGTGAGTAAGGTTACAAGCTATCAATTTCATAGATTCAGTCTAAATATTACCCACCACAATTTAAATAAATCAAATTATGTCTCACGACTGCTTCTAATGTTAGTAGACCCCAAATAACAAAACAAATGATTATTTTTCCTAAGGATTAAGGACTATAAGCTGTTATAAGTCAATTGACCTTTTTTTTAAATAACATTGAAATCTTCTAATGCAAATATATCTACAATTTGCCTATTATTAATTCTGTTTAATTCAGACTGTACGATAAATTTTGACTGCAAAATGAATATAGAGAATAATTTTGATATTAAAACTAATCATCCATCTTTGCTGTATTCACATAATCCCAAAACTACAAGCACGATGCTTTGGATACAGATAACCGAACATGCTTAACTAACTAATGTCAAATGAAAACAAACAATCTTTTCAAAACAACCTTTAAAGGAAAAAAAAACTCACATGTTCAAATCGATATATCACATAATGCCAATTGAAGAATTGAACAGCAATTATTATATAACTTATTGAACACCAATTTTTTTTAATAATCGATAAATCCAAACCGAAATTTTTAGATTCATATTCAATTTTTTAGAGCATTACTGCACTAGAAAATGCGTTTACCAAGAATCTCTTATGTTGATAACTAAAGCAATGAGCAATGTGTTACATTAAACAATTTGAAAGATTCGGTTCGGTTAAATCCATTGCTTGGCATCTACAATTACATAATTGAACCGGACACAACCAAGTCCGGTTTTGGCTTTAATTGTACGTACGAGCAGCCGCAGGAGATTTCACACTCTAGGAAGTAAAGTGGGACCCAGAAGATTATACTACTCCAGTAAGTAAGTTCTTTTAACACAACTAATAACTCTAATTAATTGGCCAAAAACCAAAGCTAATTAATAATTAGCGACTTAATTACTGTTGCCTTCTTCTTAATGGATTATATCTTGTTGTCTTCTTCTCTCTCTCTCTATATACGCGAAACTTTGTCGTCTCTCTCTCCTCGAAGAACTTTTTGAAAGTTTTGTTTTTTCTCTTTTTCACGAGTTCTTTTAGGGTTTCTCAAGCTTTAGTCTTACAATCTACTTTAACTAAAGAAGCCCATTTTCTTACTTTTGTTTACCACTCTCTCTATTTCTCTCTCCGGGGAAATACTTGTCGGTGGTGGTGATTCTCCGACGAAGCTATTCATTCGCCGGAAAATTACTATGATTAGTGAGATTTTCCTGGATCCGATAAAAGGATCGGTTTTTAAAAGTGGGAGCTTGATGGGTAATTTAGGGAATGTCTTTGAATGAAGCAAAGACTGGTTTTGTTAAGAAAGGGGAAAGAAAAGATTCCTTTTGTTGTTGTTGTTTCAGATATTACGGAGCTTTGCTTTGCCTTTTTTTTTAATCTGTTGTTTTTGGGGAAACTTGCATGTGAAGGGATTTGCGTTGAACGAATAAGCGTGACCGGATTTTCCTCTTGCCACGCTGTGTTGTTGTTGTTTATCTTCTCTGTTAAGTTTATGCGGCAAATCTGTTGAATTAAGCTACCGAACCGTGGTGGGATTTTCTATGTGAATTCTTATCATAGGATTCAAAGTCATTCATGGATGCGAAGCTAGTTTCGTGGAAAGATGAGTCTCTTTGGTTCTGTTCTCACGCCTGTCGATCTCTGTTTCTGTCTTTGTGAGCTAACTCGAGCTTGAGCTAGGGCCTAGGGGTTGAAGTTGTTGGATTTTGGTGATGGAGGATATTGGTTTGGTTAAGCAAGGTTGGAAATGGATGCAATCTCAGAAACACATGTGCTCGGATGCTTGTTCTGCGATGCGATGTTTCGGGGAGAAGATAGGAGGGCTTGTGGAGCGTCACTGGCCATTGGTGTGTAGTGGATGTGGGAAGCTATTAGGGTTGCTTCGCTTGTCAATTCTTTATTGGAAAGACTGCATTTTTAGGGGTTTCCATTGCAGCGCCAAATTGGGTTCAGCTGCTTTGCTTCTGATAATGTGGAGTTGCTTCCTTAGCTTGACTTCCTTTTCTTGCTTGGTTTATGTTCTCCTCAGTATGGTAATAATGTCTCTTGATTTCTCTCTCTTTGCTGGAATCTTTATTTCTGGACTTTAGATCTTTAAATAGCACTATGTTCCACTCACCAAACTCATGCTGAAACTTATCTAAGATGCGAAATGCAGAAAGGCGACAAGTTATTGATCTTTGATGCAATTCCTCACTTATTGTTTTATGTCTATATTAGCTTTGAGATTTCGTTGATTGAGTTGGGTTTCACCTAATGTTTTGAATTTACTATTGCAGGGAGCTGCTGCAGCTGTTGTTCTGAACTTGGGTTGCACTCCTGGGCTCTTTATTGTAGGACTATTTGGAATTTTGATTTTATGGATGTATGCAAACTTTTGGATCACTGGAACATTGTTTATAGTCGGAGGTAATTTTTGATTTTTTCCCTGATCAGTTGTGTTCTTATGCTCTTCCAATGTTACAATAAAGCCACTTTAGATTAGTTTGCTGGGCTGGGTTGTCTTTCAGGTTATTGGTCAATGAATATTTTGATGCCTGATCTTTACTATTTTACATGGTGTTGATTTCTCTATTTTTGTTTGATTCAGGCTATTTATTCTCCTTAAATCATGCCCGCGTGGTGGTTCTAATGGCGGGATTATATGCTATGTATTGTGTCAAAGTCAGACTTGGATGGCTTGGTCTTTTCCTCTCAATAAATCTTGCTTTCTTGTCCAACGATATATTAAATTGTCTTCTTCAATGGTGTGACAATCTAAGTGAAAAACCACAACACGAGGAACCAAAGAAACCGAAAGAAACAATCATAGAAGAAGATTATTCAGGGGAATTTGAGTATCCTTCAGTTCCTGTCGAAGATGAAACCGAGACAAAGATTCACGAGAATAAGTCGTCTGCTAAACCAACTGCGCCTTCTACTGTTGTTAATACCGTAAAGGAGATTTCTAGTGTTAAAATAGTCAAAATAGAAGAATCAAGCTCAGCTGATGAAATGAAGAGAATACTGAATAGTTTGAATCATTATGAAGCACTGGGGATCCCTCGGCATAAAAAGCTCGATGCTGCGGTGCTTAAGAAAGAGTATAGAAAGAAGGTTTCTCCTAGTTTTTTTTTTTTTTTTTCATCAAGGTTTCTCCTAGTTTCCAATGCTGAGTAGGTTAATGCAATTTCTTGTAAGGTTACTGAAGTGTGTTCTATATGTTCTAGGCAATGTTGGTTCATCCCGATAAAAATATGGGGAGTCCATTGGCAAGTGAATCATTCAAGAAACTTCAAAGTGCTTACGAGGTAGTCGAATGACATATATTCTTGAAGTTGTATGTATAGATGTTCTTGGTATTTTGATAGATAGACATGTAAAGGTTGTGTTTTCTTTTTCAGGTTCTTTCTGATTTCGTAAAGAAAAGAGATTACGATGAGCAATTACGGAAAGAAGAATCTAGGACTAGGAGTGTTTGTCAGACATCTCATGCTTCTTCGCATCAGGTTTAGTTACGGTCTTTTAGCTTCTCTGTAATATCTTTTGGCGTGTGGTCTCATGTTCCATACATTATTCCTTTTTGATTTGCAGAGTGGTCCTGATTATCGATCAGAAGAGTCTAGGCGGATACACTGTACAAAATGTGGCAATTCACACATATGGATATGTACCAATAGGACAAAAGCAAAGGCAAGATGGTGCCAGGTGATGAATCCAACCAACTCTGGAATTCTTAAAGCATATTCTTTTTGTCTTTTTTTGTGTTATTTCAAAACTCATTTTCAGATCATCTAATTTGTTAAATGTAGGATTGTGGCCAATATCATCAAGCGAAAGATGGAGATGGATGGGTAGAACTCAAAGGGACATTACCCTTCGAGAGAGCACATAAGGTAAAGAAAAAAAATTAAAGCTTCTTTCTCGCCTTGTTGATTGTTATAATGAATCTGGTTTATTCTCTGTATACTCAACTCAACCACTTTCTTTTTCCTGTCCATTAAGATTGAAATACCGCGTGCTTTTGTTTGCGCGGAAAGCAAAATATTTGATGTCTCAGAATGGGCCATTTGTCAGGTCAGTTCTCTTACCGGTTCCTTTGCGAATTACTTAATGCGAAGATGATTGAGATACATTAACATGTTTTGATTTTGATTAATAGGGAATGGCTTGTAGACCAAACACGCATAGACCAAGCTTTCATGTGAACATGGTTGGGTTGGAGAAGACAACACAAAGATCAAACTCAAGTAGGTTCCCTTGGGATCTCGATGTGGAGATGATGGATGAGGATGAAGAAGAGTTTGAGCTATGGCTTCAACAAGCTCTTGCTTCAGGTCTCTTCTGCGAAACCTCAAAACGCAGAAAAAGCTGGAGCCCGTTCAAGTTAAGCCAGATGAAAAGCAAGAAGCAATGGCGAAGAACATCCACTTGATTCAATTTGATCGAAACCATAAACAAAATTTTCATATAGCTCACCACGGTGAATCCAAAAGCCTTGAAGATCATATTTTTTTTGGGGGGCCTTTCTCTGTAAATAGTATCTGTGGATTGTTCTTCCAAAAGAAAAAAAAAGAATCTGTAGATTTTTCATTGTGGTTAACAACTTGAAAAATTTAAAGAATCTGTTTTTTTTTTTTTTTTTTCCTTCTTTCGAATCAATGTGTACATTTAAAGGCAGTTCATTTGATAAGAAGAAAGCTTAAAAGAAATGTTAATAGTTACTAAATTTATAAAGTTTGATTTTTTAATAATTGTTTCCCTTTCAAATATGAGAAAATAAAAATTGAGAAATCGAACCCGAATTTACTAAAGTTTTCCCTCCTTGTATGTTACTGACGAATCAAACACGTCGACCTCCATTATTTTTATTTTTTTAATTTCCTTCAAAGCTTCGATTTTGACCTTCTGGGTTAATCACGAAAGAGTTTCCTTTTTGGGTAGCCGCCGCAATTTTGCCCGGCAGAGGGAAAAAAAACCCTAGAATCTGGAATTTTACGACGAAGAGGGATAGAGGTTTGGAAATTTTGGGTATTGAATTTGATTTTTTATTTTTATTTTTTTTTATCTCGTTCCATCTGGATTCAAAGTAAAAACCCTAACCCTAAAATTCGTTGTCGATTGCTTTACTGTTTTGGTCTATTTTCTCTGTTTTGTTTTCTCTTAGTGTAAACGTTTTTTTCGAGTTTTGGGATTCTGAGTTATTTGAACATTACAGATTTAGCTTTGTCCTGTCTTATTGGAGCAACATACATATATCTATAGATATCTATATCATCTGTATATGTACACACTTGTAAGTAGAATAGTGAGGAAGAAGGTGATATGAGTAGGCTATCTTTCCGGCCACGGCCATTAGACATTCATAAGAAGCTTCCCATTTTAAAATCGTTTAAAGACTTTGAAGACGATGAGACACCAACTTCTACCACTAGAAATTCTCAGTTGCTCCGTATAGCTTCCGTTGAGGTTGACAATGAGGTGACTTTCCATTTTTTTTTGTCCCTTTCTTCTAACTTCGAATTCTCGATCATTTCAACCATTGTTACTTGCATTATCATTATCATTATCAGGTGGCTCCAGTGCCAAGCAAGAAACCGGCTTCAGAAATACCAACACCTCAATTTGTTATTGTGGATACATATGAAAGGGATTATTCTCCTACTTTTGGTCAGCCTGCTTCTTATCTACGAGCAAGAGGAGGTAACAATTACCACTGCTTTTATTTTGTATTCTTGGCTATGAAGGTTGTTTCTTTGTTATGTGGAGACTATAAGTTTGTTTGTTATGCAGCTCGGTCTGAGCTTGGAGAATTTGTGGAGTATGATCTTGACAATGAGGATGAAGACTGGCTTTATGAGTTTGATAAGGATAAGAAAGAACTTCCACCTGAAAAGTAAAGTAGCCAGTCTAACTATCATTATTGTTCTTCTTCTTAGATTTTATCACCATCAATTCATCATCATCAGTATTTTTCTGTTATCTTGTAGCTGCATCATGCTGATATTTTGTTTCACATAATTAAACGTTGAGGCGGATTGGGTTATTCAGACCCTCTGTGTCTTTTAGTTTTGTATTGTAGCTGAATTAGTTTGCTCTATTCACTAGAAATTGGATTCTGCTAAAATTGCTAAAACCAAACTCTTACTGAAATAAATTCCAAAAGAAGAATCAATCATTTTGATGAGCAAATGTGTTAAATTGTTTGATACAGGCTTGAGAGCATTATTTTTAAACTAGAGGTGTTGGATCACAAGACGCGGGAAAGAGCTGGAGTTATTACACCTACTCTCGGGTCTCCGGTTCCTGTGCTTTTGCAGTTTGATGCTGCTTCTGATGTATACCTTTACTTTTATTGTGTTCCATAGTCTTTTGGATTATCATATCTCTTGTTCTAAAAGCCTACACTCATTTTAGAAGTCAGTACAGAACATTTCAATGAATATATTTGTCTTCTTAATGCAGGCACTGCATTTACTGTCCATTAATTATGGAATCTTCCAGGCGATCTTCAACTACTGGAAAGAAAAGGTTTGAGACTAAACTTATGTGATTGTTACAAGTTTTCTGGATACATGTTGCATAGGTTAATGATCTTATTTGACAGGGTGAGATACAGATGGTTTAACAGATTATTGGGTTCTTGAAACCTATGCATAAACCTTGTGAATGACAAAGCAGTTCCACATACGAAGTACCTTTGGCTGATGATACTAATGCATATGTTTCGTTTTTTATTTTTATATGTGAACTTAGCGCAAAAGATGGCAGAAGCCTATCTTGCGGCGCTTACAGGTTTGTATTCTTATTTCCATCTGAAACGATCAAGGCTTATGCTGGAAAGACATCTTACCTCGATTATTTAGTTAATGTTTTGCTTCATTGTTTGGAACAGCCTCCCCCACCGGTTAATGACACCAATCCCTATAATGTGTTTAGGCCGAGGGAGAAAGTTCACAGACTCCACACAAGAAGGGTAGGCTGTCTTGATATGCGTTTGTGATATTTTTTCTATTAAAATCCAACTGGAGAAAGAAAAATACTGATAAAGCTTTACTTCTCCTTCAGATGCAGAGGAGAGAAAACAATGTCCAGTCATTTGAAAAGCTTCGGCAGGTGAGCGAGGCACCTGAATCTCTATATGTTTCTTTGCTGGACCAGTATCTAATTTCCTGAAATTTGAGCAATTTACGTTTACAATGCCTTCTTTGAGTTTCTTTCTGGATAACATTGTTTTTTTTTTGCCTGTTAATTATCTGTTAGGGGTTCTTTTATGATTTTCTATTGACTTCTGAATACATTGGATGTATTATTATCAGGTTAGACGCAATCTAGGGCAAGCACAGACCATTCTGGAGGCTCTCATTAAGGTGTTCTTTATAACAGTTTTAGAGTTTATATGACTTGTATATAACTCCATTTCAGATCTTAACAAGCGGATTGCATTCTCCAAAGTTGCTAATTTGATTTTACCCATCCATAGAGAGAAGAGAAGAAGAGGGATGTCATGGACAGTGAGGTTAGCCTTCAGAGAATCCAACTCCAATACAGGGTACTTACTATAAAACTCTCTGTTAAATATGCTGTCTTTTTATCGCCTTTCCGGGTTTAAAAAACTTCGTCTATGGGTTTGATACCATAAAAGTTATTATCTATATCCTATATAAATTAGATTTTCTTGCACAGCATGAAACAGAGCTCTTGGAAGATAGCTTGGCTCTGCCTGGATTTCCACCCACTACAACATCATACAAATTTGGCTCAAGCGATGATGAACTGATGGACTCAGATGATCACACCAGTACTCGTGTACGCACAAGACCTGCCATAATCCCTAATTCTCGTTTCACCAACTTAAATCTGAATGCATCTCAACCCGGGGGCATCAAACAAGAAGTTAGAAGACGACAATCGCAGAATGGATGGCTTCACAGACTGGTAAAACCTTCTCTTACAACATCTCTCTCTCTTTCTAGTTTCTATAATCAAATCACTTAAGCAACATGTAATGGTTTTGTTTTTTTTTTATCTCCTTAGGATCCTAATGAACCGGTCATGCTGTTCACAAAACCGCTGGTTCCCGATAAACTGGCAGCTGCAGGGATCGTTCCTCCGACACCGGATTCATCGCCAGGTCAACCTCCAAGTCGGTTTCAGGGGAGGATTGGGCGTGGTGGCCGAATAATATTCGATAGATGGAATCCTTTGATGCAATCTCACATTAATTGCGGAAACTCTTATTACATTGCGCCAAATCACCGATCTACCAACTTCAGTTGAGATATTTCACAATCTTTGTTTGTAAAGAATTCACCAATGGTGACGAAAAAGTGTATGCAATAAACGATTCTCTGCTAAAAAAGTTTTAGCACTTTGTAAAACTACTCTGGATATTGTGTATTCTGTGTTTTTTCGGTTAAGGGAAATAATATGGTAAATTCATATAATCCGGTTCTGTCGGGGGGTTTCGAAAACCAATAACTATTGTACCAGGGACCAAATTGTAATAATATCTTTAATACAGGACAAAATAAAATTTTAGGGCTCTTTATTGATTTTAATCATCGGACGATTCAGTCTTGGTTATCAATCGCAGTGAAGAAGGAAGGAAGGAAGGAAGGAAGGAAGGACCCTTAATCGGAATTTGGGTGCTCCATCAATGGCTTCGATTTTGGCTCGCAGGTCACTGAATACTCTCCGTGCTCGACATCTCGTATGAATCTCTTTCGCTCTTCTGTCCTTTACTTAGAGTTATTTGAATGCCTAGAATGCGAAATGTCTCGTGCAGTTTTGGGAGTTTTAAGAAGATTTTATATAGCTGATTGATGAATTCATGTAGGGAGATATGATCAAAGTTCAATCTTCGTTTTTCTTATGGTTTCCTTATTCTTCGAATGTCGATAATCTCTAATTTCTGTGTTAGAAAAGCCTTTTTTTTTTTGTTCATTAGCTTGCTATGGTGTGTATGTTATGGAGACCTCTCTTATTACTTCTCGACATTGATAGGTTTTTTCAGGGCAAGCTTTGCAGGGATCTCATCTTTCTAGACTGCAGTCCCGTGGTATATCTTATGGCACCAACAAAGGTATATATTTTCTGCTCTTGTTTCCTTGGTGAATCTACCCCCTTTCCAACTTGTATTACGACGATTCTGATTCATATATGACTTATGGTTTACCTATGTAATATTCAGATGATGAAGAAGCAGAGCAACTTTCTAAGGAAATCTCCAAGGACTGGAATACTGGTAACCCATATGATCTAGACACTTTTTTTTTCTTCTCCTTTCTTCTTTTCTCGTGCTTCTTTCTTCTCCGAGTATTAGGGATTTCTGATATTTTGCAATTTTTAGTCTTTGAACGGAGCATAAACACCCTCTTTCTCACTGAAATGGTCCGCGGTTTGTCGCTGACCCTCAAGTACTTCTTTGATCCCAAAGTTACTGTGAGTGACATCTTTCCCAGTTTTCCAAACTTAGATTGAAAGAAATCTCTATGTTACTGAAGCTCTATCATGTATGCAGATCAATTATCCATTTGAGAAGGGTCCACTGAGCCCTCGCTTCCGTGGTGAACATGCTCTTCGGAGATATCCTACCGGGGAAGAACGCTGCATTGCCTGCAAACTCTGTGAAGCTGTGAGTTTTGAGATCTATATGAATCCTTAATTTAATTTAACGTTCTCGTTGTTATCAAAGCTCTTGTAAGCCATCTCAGGACAATGAGTACGCATGCATCTATTGAACAAGGTTGTTTATCCATTATGATGTGTAAAACTGGTGATATTGGCCATAGCTCAAGATCATAGGTCGATGCCTACTGAATTCATCCTAGTAATTAGGAAACTTATTTGAGTATGAGTAAGATTTACTGTTGAGCTGAGTCGCTAGAGTTCTGATGAAATGGTCATATTCGCTGACAATGCTCTGTTTAATGTGTAAAAAAGTTAACCTCGGATTGTGATTCTTGTGAGGGATACTTGTCTTTTTCATCAGGTATGTCCAGCTCAAGCAATCACAATAGAGGCAGAGGAGAGGGAAGATGGAAGCCGCAGAACCACTAGGTTATCATCCCTTTAGTTCTCATTTATCAACCATATGCTTTCTTTTTTACCCTTTCATGATGATTTGAGCTGTCGTATAGGTATGATATCGACATGACAAAATGCATCTACTGTGGTTTCTGCCAAGAAGCTTGCCCCGTTGATGCAATCGTCGAAGGACCTAACTTTGAATTCGCAACCGAGACACACGAGGTCTGTTTTACACATTTTCTAGACCTAACAATTTTTGAGGTATGCTTATTGAACTTTTTGTTATATTCCCTTTTATAGGAACTTCTCTATGACAAAGAAAAGCTTCTTGAGAATGGAGATCGATGGGAGACTGAGATCGCTGAGAATCTGAGGTCGGAGAGTCTCTACCGCTGAACCATTCTACTACAGTCTTTGCTTCAAGTTTTTTTTTCCCGGGAAAACATTGTCGTTGCTTCTGTTAGAAATAAAGATGAGATCATATGCATGTGAAAAACTCTTTTGTAATCCAGCTTTTGTGCTGTGTAATTGAATTGTTTGTAACCGACCTGACTTTGATTTTCGGTTCACGAGTTCCGGTTTAAGTGTTTTTCGTTTGGAGAAAGAGCATTTAATTTGGTCAAAGACAAAACAGATAACTCCTTAAACTATAAGGGTAAAGCTGTAAATTAAGAAATATTTGATCGGACGGTCAAGATCATGTCTGTTTTTTTGACGGCGGACGGACAGGATCATCATATGCGTAGTTTATCCTAATCTGTCCGATCTAAACATAATGCTGGTCGAAATTTTCATTTATTTGCCTTTTGGTTGCGCCAATTATCGTATTCAGACAACAAAATTAATATTTTAATGTGTATTTTTTTGGGGTTACTATTTTAGAAAAACAACGAATCCCTAGAAAGGAAAGAAAAAAAAAATCAAAATCCCCAAATCGAGCGAGTCCAAAGAAAAATCCCCAATTCGACGAACCTACAAGCCCAGAAAAATCCCCCGATTTGGGAAAACCTGAATTCATTCGCTTTTGATTTTCCGTCTTCTTTCAGGGATTTGTTGACCTGCTTGATCCTAATTTCTAACCTCGCTTTTGGTTTGAGTTCACACGTGCCGCATCGGCTGTTCACCGACTTTGTTTCCATTGTGCAGAATCCAATCATCGTAATATCACTAGCAACCGGTTGGTCTCCGTGAACTTCTCTCTGGGTTCTGCTCTTTGCTGCCAAATTTTACTCCTTTGTGTATCAATTCAAGATTTGGGGGTGAATTTTTAGGGTTTATCTTCTTGTTCAATTTTGGTAATTCCTTGGGGTTTAATTACTTCCTTAGCTGATCTCAGTTTGTTGATACCAATACTATCCCAACTGGATTGAGATTAATTGTGTCAATTTCAGTTCTCTGATTATTCCAAGTTATTTAGCAGGACAGTCTAAGGTGCTAATCAGGAGATGAAATTTGGATACGGTGACTTCTGGAGGAGAGGAAAGTTATGCACTTTTTGTTACTGTTAGTTACCAGAAGAACTAGGACAAGGCGACGGAGACTGAAGAGATTACTATGAATGTTCAGGCTCACATGTCGGGACAGATGTCTGGGCAGGTTCCGAACCAAGGGACCATGTCCCAGCAAAATGGGAACTCCCAAATGCAGAATTTAGTTGGTGGTGGTGCAGCTCCTGCTGGTACTGGTTTAGGACCTTCACGTGTTTCTCCTGTTGACAATGACATCTTGAAACTTCGGCAGGCCATGCGAATCAGGATGTAAGCCTTTGCTTTTCTTCAAGCTTTAGACTTTTGGTGTCTTCCCACCATTTTCTTGCTCTTGTTATACAGCTATTTATTGTCGATTGGATTGAATCTCTCCCACTTTATCGCTAATCAAATCCGTGTATTTCTGTTCTTTCTTTTCAGATTCAATATCTTACAGCAAAAACAACCATCTCCAGCTGATGAAGCATCAAAGGCAAAATATATGGATGTTGCTAGACGCTTAGAAGAGGGGCTGTTTAAAATTGCTAACACAAAGGTATTTAATCTACTTAAGAAAAGGATAGGCATGTAATTGGTATTTAAATGTTGCCACTAGATCCAGCTTGTTGGCCAATGTCCTAACTTGAAATATTTCTTTGAATTGTAGGAAGATTACGTGAACCAGTCAACCCTTGAACCTCGGCTGGCAAGTCTAATCAAAGGCAGGCAGTTAAATAACTACAATCAGCGACACGCTAATTCTTCTTCTGTTGGAACAATGATACCCACTCCAGGATTACAACACACTGGGGGGAATCCAAATCTGATGATTACTTCCTCAGTAGATGCTACAATGGCTGGAAGTAATAACATCACAACTAGTGCTATGAACAATGGAAACCTATTAAATTCTGGTGGCTTGCTCGGAGGTTCTTTCACTACAACTTATATAATATGGCCATAAAATTGTCTGCACATATTTTTTCTGAACACCCTTACTTCTCTTTGCAGGTAACCTGTCTAATGGATACCAGCATTCATCGAGTAACTTTGGTCTTGGTTCTGGAGGGAACATGTCATCCATGAGCTCCCAGAGAAATACTGGCCAGATGATGCCTACCCCTGGATTTGTCAACAGTAGTACTAATAACAACAGCAATAATGGCCAGTCTTACTTGAATGTTGAAGCTTCCAACAATAGTGGTGGATTTTCTGCTGCTCCCATGATGGTACCTCAGACTCAGCAGCAGCAGCAACAACAACTGAGGCAGGATATTGGTGGCCAAAATAGTCGTATGCTGCAAAACCATGGAAGTCAAATGGGTGTTGGCCTTAGACCTGGACTGCAACAAAAAATGGCTAATGTGTCTAACAGCTCCATAAATGGTGGTGTTGGAATGAGTGGAAAAAGCGTAGATCCAGGTACATCGTACACCAATCCTACCAGAAATTCACAGCAGGCTTATGATAACCTTCAGCGTCCAGGAATGCAGGGTAAAATCTTTATTTCCCATCCCTTTTCTGCTTTTTTTTTTGTTTCATATGATTTCTAACCTCTTGTCGTTGTGTCTGTCCATCATAATTTTTTGATTTTTATGTTATTTTACCGTTTCAGGTGAAGGATATGGCACAAACAACTCTGACCCATTTGGATCGGGAAATTTGTATGGTGCTGTAACATCTGTTGGGATGATGACAAATACTCAGAATGCCAATACAGCAAGTTTCCAGTCTGTACCTAGAACTAGCTCTTCTTTGGTAAGCAATTTATGGAATTCACTTTGTATGCAGCAAAGTACACCAGTGAAACATCACTCTATTTTTCAATCTGATAATACAGTTGTGTAATCTTCTTTCGTACATTTTTTGGCAGTCCCATCAACAGCAGCAGTTTCAGCAACAGCCTAATCGGTTTCAGCAACAACCTAATCAATTTCAGCAACAGCAGCAGCAGTTTCTTCATCAACAGCAATTGAAGCAGCAAAGCCAGCAGCAACAGAGATTTATAAGTCACGATGCTTTTGGGCAAAATAATGTGGCTTCTGACATGGTTACTCACGTTAAACATGAACCTGGAATGGAGAACCCTAGCGAGTCTATCCACTCTCAAACTCCTGAGCAATTTCAGCTTTCTCAGTTTCAGAATCAATACCAGAACAATGCAGAAGACCGTCATGGAGGTTCTCAGATCCTCCCTGTCACAAGTCAGAGTGATATGTGCACATCAGTTCCTCAAAATAGCCAACAGATACAGCAGATGTTGCACCCGCAGAGTATGGCTTCAGACTCTATTAACGGTTTCAGTAACCTCTCTGTTGGAGTGAAAACAGAATCCGGGATGCATGGTCACTGGCAATCTCAGTCACAGGAACATACTCAAATGTCTAATAGTATGTCGAATGAACGGCACATTCAGGAGGATTTCCGGCAAAGAATGTCTGGAACGGATGAAGCTCAGCCCAATAATATGTCTGGAGGCTCGATTATAGGTCAAAATCGTGTCTCCACTACTTCGGAATCCCTTAATCCCCAAAATCCTACTAATACCACTTGTAGATATGGAAACGGAAACCGGGATCCGAGATTCAGAAATCAACAGAAATGGCTCCTCTTTCTACGCCATTCTCGCAACTGCAAAGCGCCTGAAGGGAAGTGTCCCGACCGAAATTGTGTTACGGTTCAGAAGCTCTGGAAACACATGGACAGTTGTGCTACACCTCAATGTTCATATCCTCGTTGCCGCCCCACAAAGACATTGATTAATCACCATCGAAATTGTAAGGAACCTAACTGCCCTGTCTGTATTCCTGTGAAGGCCTACCTACAGCAACAGGCAAATGCACGGTCCCTTGCTCGTTTGAAAAATGAAACCGATGCGGCCAGGTCAGTGAATGGTGGAGGAATATCAAGTGATACTGTACAAACCTCTGCTGGAGCAATATCTTGTGCTTCGCCTGGTGCTGCTATTTCAGATCATTTGCAACCTTCATTAAAACGGTTGAAGGTGGAGCAGTCTTCTCAACCTGTGGATGTTGAGACAGAAAGTTGTAAGAGCTCAGTTGTTTCCGTAACAGAAGCACAATCATCTCAGTACGCTGAAAGAAAAGATCATAAGCACAGTGATGTACGTGCACCTTCAAAGTATTTTGAAGTGAAAGCTGAGGTTTCTGATGTTTCTGTCCAGACACGACCCGGATTCAAAGAGACAAAAATTGGAATTGCTGAAAATATTCCCAAGCAGAGGCCTGTCAGTCAACCTGATAAACAAGATTTGTCTGATGTCTCACCTAAGCAAGAGAATACCAAAGTGGAGAAAGAACCTGAATCACTTAAGAAAGAAAATCTGGCAGAGTCTACTGAACATACATCAAAATCTGGAAAACCAGAGATAAAGGGTGTTTCATTAACTGAATTGTTCACTCCTGAACAAGTGAGAGAACATATCCGTGGTCTCCGTCAGTGGGTTGGCCAGGTTTGTGATTTTTGTAACTTTTGATGTTTACACAATAATGTGATTAATTAGTAGTAATCTCTTTATATGCGGCTTGTTTGATTAGTTTTCCCTTTTTACATGTACTAGATGACTCATCTGCAGTTTGAGGCTTGATTGAGCTATTGCGTTAAACATATTTTTCCATATTTATCTAAATAATTATTTGATTTATCTGTTTTTTTTATGTGCTTGCAGAGTAAAGCCAAAGCAGAAAAGAATCAGGCAATGGAGCATTCAATGAGTGAGAATTCCTGTCAACTATGTGCAGTGGAGAAGCTTACCTTTGAGCCACCACCTATTTATTGTACCCCTTGTGGTGCTCGCATCAAGAGAAATGCTATGTATTACACCGTAGGGGCTGGTGACACTCGTCATTACTTTTGTATTCCATGTTATAATGAATCTCGTGGGGACAATATACTCGCCGAAGGGACGCCTATACCTAAGGCAAGACTCGAGAAAAAGAAAAATGATGAAGAGACTGAAGAATGGGTAAAAGGCTATCCACTCTGTAGACTTGTTTTGTGTTTGTTTTCCCGTCTTTGTATGGTTTTTTAGTTCATGCTATATTTCGTTTCTATGATTGATTTTGCAGTGGGTCCAATGTGATAAATGTGAGGCGTGGCAGCATCAGATATGTGCTTTATTTAATGGGCGAAGGAATGACGGAGGGCAGGCTGAGTATACCTGCCCATATTGCTTTATAGCAGAAGTGGAGCAAAGTAAGAGGAAGCCTTTACCTCAGAGTGCTGTTCTTGGAGCTAAAGACCTACCGAGAACAATTCTCAGTGACCATATAGAGCAGCGGTTGTTTAAGAGGCTAAAGCAGGAAAGAACAGAGAGAGCCAGGGCTCAAGGAAAAAGTTATGATGAGGTAATTTAATGGTGGAGTTTGTTAAGGTTTATGTCTTTCATTTATTTCACATCTGCAAGCTCTTTTTTTGTTTCTATTTGTTTGCTCTAGTGATTCTTTGTTAGAAACAGTAAATTGAAGCTGACATTGTTTTTTCTTTGACTTGATACGGACAGATTCCCACTGCCGAGTCCCTTGTGATTAGAGTTGTTTCATCTGTTGACAAGAAGCTGGAAGTCAAACCTCGATTTCTTGAAATTTTTCGGGAGGATAGTTACCCAACAGAATTTGCATACAAGTCCAAGGTAAGAATGATCAAGGCGCATTGTTACTCTATTTCCTGCATATATGTGTTATTTTTCCAGAATTCCTCTCTTACAATTATCCTTCTCACTCTCCATGCCATTTTATTTTTCCAGGTAGTTCTGTTGTTTCAAAAGATTGAAGGCGTAGAAGTATGCTTATTTGGGATGTACGTCCAAGAATTTGGTTCTGAATGCGCATTTCCCAATCAACGCCGAGTGTATCTCTCGTATTTGGATTCAGTCAAGTACTTCAGACCCGAGGTGAGATCTTATAACGGAGAAGCTCTGCGTACTTTTGTTTACCACGAAATTCTGGTAAGTCCTGGTCTTCTGAAACCTTGGTTTCTAACCAGTATCTGTGCTTTTTTCTTTCTACACTGTATGGAGGATCTAAGAGTATAATTTGATCCTGTTTATAGATCGGCTACCTAGAATACTGTAAGTTGCGTGGTTTCACGAGCTGCTACATATGGGCTTGTCCGCCGCTGAAGGGCGAGGACTATATCTTATATTGTCATCCAGAAATTCAGAAGACGCCAAAATCTGATAAACTGCGAGAGTGGTCTGTTCATTTACCTTTTTGGGATGAACTTCGTAAATTTTCATATGAAAAAGTCATTTACATCATCCAACTGCCCATGTTGTTTATTCGCAGGTACTTAGCAATGTTGAGAAAAGCTTCAAAGGAGGGCATTGTTGCAGAAACTATAAATCTATATGACCATTTTTTTATGCAAACTGGTGAATGTAGAGCTAAGGTTACAGCAGCTAGGCTCCCGTATTTTGATGGTGACTACTGGCCAGGTGCAGCGGAGGATCTTATATACCAAATGAGTCAAGAAGAAGATGGAAGAAAGGGAAATAAGAAAGGAATGCTCAAGAAAACCATTACCAAAAGGGCTCTAAAAGCTTCTGGTCAGACTGATCTATCTGGGAATGCGTCCAAGGATCTGCTGCTAATGCATAAAGTAATATTTTCGTTATGCATATTGCCTCCTTTTTGTATATATATTTTTCTTATTTGTTTTGTTTTGTTTGTCTTGTTAATCATATTCACCTGTTTTACCTATTCGCAGCTCGGTGAGACCATTCACCCGATGAAGGAGGACTTTATAATGGTCCACTTGCAACCTTCTTGCACTCATTGCTGCATACTGATGGTATCTGGTAATCGTTGGGTCTGCAGCCAGTGCAAACACTTCCAGATATGTGACAAGTAAGAATTCTTTTTTTGTCTTCTTGCTCTTTGATTTTATAATCCCTTGGGCTATGTGTCCTTGTTACTGATTAAGTTCCTCTTGCGATCTAAAATGTTAATCCTTCTTTTTAGGTGTTACGAGGCTGAGCAGAGACGTGAAGACAGGGAAAGGCATCCTGTTAATTTTAAGGATAAACATGCGTTGTATCCCGTGAGTTACATTTTCTTGTTGAGGATAGTGTCCTTTAGCTTTGTCTATTGTCAGTTTTGTGAATGTTGGTGGTATTGATATCGCAGGTTGAGATTATGGATATTCCTGCAGATACGAGAGATAAAGATGAAATACTCGAAAGCGAGTTTTTCGACACTAGGCAAGCATTTCTGAGTCTTTGTCAAGGGAACCATTATCAGTATGACACGTTGAGGCGGGCAAAACATTCGTCCATGATGGTCCTTTATCATCTACATAACCCAACCGCTCCTGCCTTTGTCACGACCTGCAATGCGTGTCATCTTGACATTGAAACTGGTCAAGGCTGGCGCTGTGAAGTATGTCCAGACTACGATGTGTGCAATTCCTGTTACAGTAGAGATGGTGGAGTTAATCATCCTCACAAGTTGACTAATCATCCATCTTTAGCTGATCAAAATGCTCAAAACAAAGAAGCAAGGCAGTTGCGAGTCTTGCAGGTATAATATTATCATACTGTTCCTTTCTAAAGCTGGTGGTGCTTCTCTCTTGGTCCTGAAATTTCTATGCAAATAATAACATTTTTTTTCTTCTTTTGGATTTGCAGCTTAGGAAAATGCTTGATCTTCTGGTACATGCATCACAATGTCGTTCGCCACATTGTCAATATCCTAATTGCCGGAAAGTGAAGGGGCTGTTCCGACATGGTATACAGTGCAAAGTACGTGCTTCGGGAGGGTGTGTTCTATGCAAGAAAATGTGGTATCTCCTGCAACTCCATGCTCGGGCCTGCAAGGAGTCGGAGTGCCATGTACCTCGTTGCAGGTAAACATACCTCATGAAATTACATCAACCTTACATTTGAGACATCAAACAGTTTTTGGTCCATGTGATTTCGAGTTGATGATCTTTAATAAACATCTCTCTCACTCTGTTCAGGGACCTGAAGGAACATCTGAGAAGATTACAGCAGCAATCAGATTCACGGCGAAGAGCAGCTGTAATGGAAATGATGAGACAAAGAGCTGCAGAAGTCGCTGGGGGCTCAGGTTAATAGAAACTTGTACATTTAGAAAAATCAATTCAAGTTGCAAGAACCTTCATCCATGTGCCGAAGGTAACAAGAAAGATGTAGAGCCAAAAATCTTCATACGCCTTTTGGAAGAAGAAGAGCCAGTTAGAGAGAGAGAGACTTATTGTGAAACTAGCGTAGGTTCGTAATTAACAGTCACGGGTCAGGGAATAACATGCGAGCTTAAACCAAGAATGCGACTTTCAGAAGACTTGAAGAAGAAGAAGAATAGCAAAGCCAGTCTTCTTCGCAGATGACAGTGTTGAGATTCAGGTTTGATGTTGGGTGATCTTCTGATTTCTATACATACACACGCACACACTTGCTCACTTTTTTTTGGTAATTTATTGTATTTTTGTAAAATTGCCACTTCTGATTTGGGAGTGGCAAGTGTAAAATATACAGCAGTACGTTAACGTGTTTTTCTTTTGTAAGCAAAGTAAGATAGAGAGAGTTGTCTTTAGATTCTCTTCCACTCTTCTTTTTTTGTTTTGATGAAAATTGTATTCACACTTTCAATCATAAATAAGTTCTTGGATTAGATTTCTTTTAAAGGCGCATTGGAGTTGCTGTGATTAAGAAAAGGTTTAGAGAGGAGGAGACGAATCTTAATGCCACGTAAGCAGGAGATTCTGGTATTCGTGGAGTTTGAGAAGTATCTGAATTCCAAGCCACCAGAAACTGACACGTGACCAAACAAGATAAGAGTCTAGAACAAGAACCACTAGCTTCTTTAATTCTCTTGAGAAAACAAGACAGAGAGAAGATTCTTAATGAGAAAACTGCAAGAAGAAAAGTGATGATAATACATTGTCCGTCTTCTTCTTCTCTCTATCGCACGAGTTTGTTATACAAGAGAGGTGGTCGATCTTATCAGTGTCAGAGCCGCTTGGTTACTAGATCAGCGGCTGTTCGTATATCCACGGCCACGATCGGAGCCATAGCGGCGGCGGTTATGATGGCTGCTGTGTCTGTGGCTTCTGCAGAGCTTCCTCCGCCTCCGCAAGACGGAGAAACGTTATCGAACATACCGCAAACGCTGTCAGGCGAAGACTGTAAGAAACAGAGGATTCAACGACCAAAATCCAAAAACGCAGAGAAATGTACTGTCAAATGCGTCAACACTTGCATTCGAAGCGGAGACGGAGAAGGACCGATCAATATCAGAAGGTCTCTCTCTCTCTCTCTCTCTCTATCTATCTCTGTGTATATATCTCTCTCATTCTTCATCACTGATATTTTCTCTCTTGTAATTGATAGGCCATTAGTGGTATTCAAGCAAGGATTTCGTAGCCGTAACTACTGGTAACAAAATAATAGATTAAAAGGTTGTTGCTTTCTTATTATTGGAGCTGATTCTTTGTTTGTAATTGTAGCTTAGTGGAATGTTCGGATATTTGCAATTTGATCGGAGATGGTGACTATGGTCCCTGAAGAAACAAGAGAAGAAACAGAGGACAAAGAAAATGAACTGCTTCAGATTTTGTAGATTCTGTTTTTTTCTCAAAAGAAGATGATATATAGACTCAATATAAACAATACACAGGTTTCAGAGATGGCAGATCGATCGAATCCAAGTGACTCTGTCTTGTTTCTTCGTGACGCGGCAAACACGTTGTTGGGCTTTATCAGTTTGTCTAGTTATCTCGTTGATAAATCAAGGCCCAATGGGTGGTAATATGGCCCAATGGAAAACTAATGGGCCTTACCTTTTTTCGTAAACCAGCTTGTTTTGTTTTTCTCATTACATATATCTTTTTCATTTATTTTTTGTCGACATATTAAAATTATTGACAACAAAGAATTCCTTTTCTGCATCTATAGCACCTTTATGTCTTAATTAGAAAATAACATTTTTAGTGTACATGAAAGTTTAGGTCAATTCTCAAAGGGTTGGCTGATTTTATAGCCATAAACTAGTTGCATTCTCAGCTTTTCCCCCTAACCTTTTCGCTCCAGCTAATTCCACCATTAACTTAGATAATTCTCGCAATTTCAACATGTACTTTCGGATTCATCCTTAAAACTACGCCTCCAATTGAACCGGCCAATAAACCGGTACCACATAACTCGGTTTGATTTAATTCAAATTTAACCAAATTTAAACCCGATTTTGACCCAATCTTCTTCTTCTTCACCCGATTTTGACCAGAATTTTTTTTCTTTAACGACGGCAGACCCGACTTTCAACTACGACGTTTTGGGTCTCATCGACGGCAGATCCGAAGACTACGATCCCTGCAACTGGGTCGGTTGCACATGCGACCCTGCCTCCAACCGGGTCTCGGAGCTCCGACTTGACGCCTTCTCTCTCTCCGGTCACATCGGCCGTGGCCTTCTCCGTCTCTAGTTCCTCCACACCTTGGTCCTCTCCAACAAAAACCTCACCGGAACCCTAAACCCCGAGTTCCCAAACCTCGGCAGCCTCCAAGTCGTCGATTTCAGCGGCAATAGTCTCTCGGGTCGGATCCCAGACGGGTTCTTCGAGCAATGCGGGTCCTTGAGGTCCGTCTCCTTGGCCAACAACAAACTCACAGGTCCTCTTCCTGTCTCCCTCAGCTACTGTCGGAGAAGATGAACTAGGACTACGAGGAAGCGGAGGAGCTAGGGGAGGAGGAGGGTGGTGACGATGATGAGGTTGATACTCAATTGCGGCGGTTGTGGATGAAGATGGAAGAAGAGACGGTGGTGGAACAGAGGAGGAATCGTCAGGTTCACGGCGGTGGAAGTTACGGTGACAACCACAAGCTGCACACTTGTGAAGTTGGATCGGAAGGTGTTGAAGAAGGAGACGGCATGAATTCTCCGCAACCGTCAAGCGCGTGACCACCAATCGCCGCCGAAGAAGAATAAGATTCGGTTGGGTTGGCTGATTTTATAAAATTTTGGTCAAAATCGGGTTTAAATTTGGTTAAATTTGAATTAAATCAAACCGGGTTATGTGGTACCGGTTTAATGACCGGTTCAATTGGAGGCGTAGTTTTAAGGATGAATCCGAAAGTACATGTTGAAATTGCGAGAATTATCTAAGTTAATGGTGGAATTAGCTGGAGCGAAAAGGTTGGGGGGAAAAACTGAGAATGCAACTAGTTTATGGCTATAAAATCAGCCAACCCATTCTCAAATATACCAAACTTAAGTTTTGGTTTTCTAAAAGTTCTATATATCCATAATCGTATATAAAGTAAAATAATCACTGTGTTTTTTCTTTTCTTTTTTTTTTGCTTAGGAAAAATGTTTGTTTCCGAGATTAAAACAAATGCTACTAGTTTGCAACGTAAGTTTAAGATAAATGCTTGCTAGCAACTTAACTTTAAAATAAGTGCTATTTGGCCAAGTTATTTTTTAAATATTCCAATAATCCATGGTTCAACCAATTTGACCAACTGATCCAAAGATGTGAAAACAATATGACTTTTTTCGGTTTCGTTTCAAAAACAGTACTACGAATCAATAAAAGAGCTAAGACTTTGATTTCAGAATTTAGATGTTTCACTCCTACTAATGATGATTTGGTTTGATTATGGACACACTTTGTTATGATTGCAGTATCTGAAAACAGATAAATTTATAGAATGATATTGACCATGTCATTCTCGACCACAATCATAAAAAAATATTTACATCGGTTGATAATAATAAATCGATATTAATTATTTGCATCACCATTTTTAGAATCATTTGTCTAAGTGATGTAAATTTATTTTCATCAATAATGAATAATACAATTATATAAAATGATATAATACACACTTTCTTTTTGTTGTGATCACTTGTTACGATTGCGTTAGTATACACCTTCTTTTCTTTAGTATTAACTTTTTTTATGTCTGGTGATTACTTACCATAAACGGTAAAATTAATAATCCGTAGTTGGGATTTGACAGTGGAATAGCTGTGGTCACTGGTCAGTGGTCCCTTAACTGCTGAATCTTATTGGCTCAGGAATCAATCTGTCACGTATCCATGATCCGATTGGGGGAAGTTGGTTTCCAATCAAAGTATCATGTATTTAAAAATGAATTATACCCATCGAAGTATTTTTAAAAATAGAAAGAAAGAAATAGGGAGATGATTCTTGGTCTTCTATCTATTAATCTAATCAGATTCTAAATGACGTGTTAGGAAACAGTACCATTCTAAGAGTATCGGACCAATACAGTGATTTTCCGGTGATCACCTCACGACCCAAAACTCAACTCATCGTGTTTTTATATTATTCATATATATTATTTTAATATTATTCATATTATTAAATAATTAACCACTATACGTCGAGATCACGTCCGAGTTAACGTAACAATGATATTGCGCTTTTTTTTTTTTTTGTTATTCTTATGCATGTTAATCAATTAGCATTTTCACACGTCTAGTTTCTTGTGAATCTTTGTTTCTATTGCCACTTGCCACCAATCAACTCGAGGTGTTTATATGATTATCATTTTTAACGTATAATGCATAGTTAATAAATATGTTGTTGTCTAATGTATCGTTTGTATAATTCGTATATTTATTTACAAAGAAATGCTCATCGTTTACCCATTATTCAAAAAAAAAAAAAAAGGGTCATCGTCTAAAATAGACCAAGTTAAATATTCTCTAACACTTAATCTTATCCTTTGTTGACATATACATCGATACATGACACAACTGTATAGCAGACGACTTATTAAAGCCAAGTTAAAATTAGAATATATAGAATTACGAAAGACAGTGCAACCACCATAGAAGCAGTCAGTAGTAACATGGAAGATATAACATTAATTTAGATGTCAGAACGTAGACTGTATATATATTATCCATCAAAGTGATCTACCACATCATATTTCTATCAAAAAGGAAACATTTAAAATGTAAATGAAAAAAAAATCCGGATTAAAATTAATTATAACCAAAATATTTAATATAGTGTTGTATATATTATGTAGAATGGTAGGATACTTCTATCAACATATTAAATACGTAGTGGTGGATCAAAGAACGACTATTAAATTATTGAGATATAAAATACAGAGTTGAATAAATGGAAATTATTGAGATATAAAATATAGAGTTGAATAAATGAATTATATTATATCGATCATAATAATAAAACATTTTTCATAGAAGTTCTAATTATGTATGAATTGAAAAGTGAAAGTGTGTGAGAAACAGACAATTTTGTTTTTAATAGATGGAAATTACAAGAAGTATGGTCGATGCAGGGAAAAGAAAAAAAGACAATCGCGCGTCCAACCTTAATTCTTCTATATTGGGGGGAATCTATAGAGCATTCACATATAAAATTATATTATTGGGACTTAATTACTTGATTAGTTTAGTTTTGGAACCAGAAATTTGACCTCTTTAACTTCTATAGTAAATTAGTTTACTAGTCAATTTGTCTTTAAAAATAAGGTTTACTAATTTACAATAAATATATGTTATAGAACTTACGTTATTACAAAAAATTACTATTTAAGATCCAATTTAATACTCACCACGTAAATGGTAAGATCCAATATAACTGGTTCATTCATGTATTATAAATATTTTCGATTGATTAGATTAAATTGATATTCGAAATACTGTGTTATAATCTATGTTGCATGGAAACTCTCTTCGAGGTCCGTTTCCCGTTTCCGAAACGTTTCGGAAACGGAAACTCTTCGGAAACACGAAAAACGTCACGGAAACACGTTTCCTAAAAATCTATGTTTGGAAACATGATAGAAACTCACGTTTCCAAAATGGAAACTTAATAAATAAAAGTTAAAAATATTAAGATTTATAATACATATAACTAATTTTTGAAGACTCTGAGTTTTAAGATCTTTCTATCGACAAACTAGATTTGGAAGCATCTTTATATGATCTATGATGAAACTAATGAAAATGTTGGTCTAAATTAAATATTTGAACTTGAATCTTTTAATCTTTATCTTTTAGAATTTTAGTTAACCTATTTAATATTGATGTTTTGGACTTGTATGATTTAATTAAACCATTTTTTTATAGTTTTATGTTAATGTTATATATATACATATATATAATATATGTATGTGTATACGTTTCCAAAACGTTTCCAACCTCTAATTTTAGAAAAAAAAAACGTTTTCCGTTTCCGAAACGTTTCGCTTCCACGTTTCCGTTTCCGTTTCCATGCAATATAGGTTATAATTGAGGTTTGTGACAGAGTAGTTTGTATTATTATTATTGCCATGTTATCGTTAAGTTTCAGAATGACGTAGTATAGGTGCGAAAGTTATAGATGAATTTTTTTAAAAAATACTCAAAAACACTGAAAAGTTTTGGTTGACAATATGCTGAGAAGAGACACTATTGATTGGTTGAAAATCAGCACTTTTGTTTTTTGGGCAAAAATATAAGTAGAAATGAATCGAAGATAAATGCAAACAATAGATCGCTAACACAAAAAGTTAATTACAATGTAAATTGTTAACCTTTTAATCTAGACAGTTAGCCGCCTAGTTATAAATATTAGATTTTTTTTTTTTTCAAATTAATATCAGCGAAATGTTGGAAAGTTTCACACCTAATTCACTCCTAAACTCTGTTATAAATTCTCTTCTTGACAGCATCTTCCAACAACCCACACCACACAAACATTCTTCATTCTCTCCGAAAACAACAACCAAATGGGAGAAGCGGCGGAGCAAGCACGTGGCTTCCACGTGACCACCACTAGGAAGCAAGTCATCACGGCGGCTCTTCCCCTCCAGGACCACTGGCTCCCTCTCTCGAACCTCGACCTCCTCCTTCCTCCTCTCGACGTTAACGTTTGCTTCTGCTACAAGAAACCACTTAACATTACCAACACAGTGGCTCATGAAACCCTCAAGACGGCTTTGGCAGAGACTCTCGTCTCCTACTACGCCTTTGCCGGTGAGGTCGTCACCAATCCTACCGGAGAACCGGAGATTCTCTGCAACAACCGCGGCGTAGATTTCGTGGAAGCCGGTGCTGACGTGGAGCTCCGAGAGCTTAACCTGTATGATCCAGATGAAAGTATTGCCAAGCTAGTCCCCATCAAGAAACATGGAGTCGTAGCGATACAGGTAACAGTTTCAGCTGAAGACAACAATAGTTCATTACAACAATATATATACATATATTTAACTCGGTTTTTGTTTAATTTTGCGAACAGGTGACTCAACTGAAATGTGGGAGCATAGTTGTCGGCTGCACATTTGATCATCGTGTAGCGGACGCGTATTCCATGAACATGTTCCTCTTATCTTGGGCCGAGATCTCACGATCCGATGGACCAATCTCTTGTGTACCATCTTTCAGAAGATCTTTGCTAAATCCACGACGACCATTGATCGTGGATTCATCTATAGACCAGATTTATATGCCTGTCACGTCCTTGCCCCCTCCACAAGAAACCACCAATCCAGAAAATCTCCTTGCGAGCCGCATCTATTACATCAAAGCGGATGCATTAGAAGAACTCCAAACTCTAGCCAACAGCTCAAAGAACAGTAAAAGGACGAAACTCGAATCGTTTAGCGCGTTTCTATGGAAACTCGTGGCAGAACACGCTGCCAAAGATCCAGTCCCAAGCAAGACCTCGAAACTCGGGATCGTCGTGGACGGAAGGAGGAGACTTATGGAGCAAGAAAACAAGACTTACTTCGGAAACGTTCTCTCAGTCCCATTTGGTGGGCAGAGAATCGATGACTTGATCAGCAAGCCACTGTCTTGGGTGACTGAAGAGGTTCACAGATTCTTGGAGAGATCAGCAACCAAAGAACATTTCTTGAATTTGATCGACTGGGTTGAGACTCGCCGTCCAACACCCGCGGTTTCAAGAATCTACGGAGACGGATCCGACAATGGACCCGCGTTTGTGGTTTCTTCTGGGA